CGGCGCGGGGCGCGGGCCTGGGACCCGGGTCCGCGTGAGGCTGACGCGCCGCCCCTGCCCCGCTTCTGCCCGCAGACAGCAGCGAGGAGGCGCCGGGGGAGAGCAGCGTGGACGCCGGGGCTGCGGGGCCGGCGGAGGCCCCGGGCGGACGGCCCCCCGACGAGGCGAGCGGGACCCCGGCACAAGCCCTGCTGCTGGGGGGCTTCGGGAGGAGCAGGGCGCCCAAGGTGAGCCGGGCTCGGGTGCGGGAGGCCGCGGGGCTGGCGAGGCTGTCGCTCCCCCAGCAGGTGACCCTGGCGTAGGTGGGGGGTGGCGTTCAGTCGGGGTTCAGGAAGTGAGCGCCTTCCCAGGAGAAAGACCCGCACTTCAGCGGGGCGTCTTGCAGTTTTGTTTTAGCGGCTTGCATCGGCGCAAACAGCATTTCTATCTTGAATCGTAAAAGTTCTCCGTGAACGAAAAGAAGGCTTGAACCTTTGTAGATTTAAGGTTTTTCGTTTGTTCCCATCTGAGGACATTCCTGAGAGCGGAGCTCCAAGAATTCTTGAAACGGTGTTTGACTTTAGGAGAGCGAGGGGAAGCATAGCCGGGCCCCTGCAGTTTTAGCGACATACGTTCAAGGATTAATAGTTTTGCATCAGGACGAGAAACTATACAGATACATAGGGCGTCAAGCACCTGGAGTCGCTGGGAAGGGTTGTGGAAGTGATTATTGTACGTTTTTATCAGGACGTAGAAAGGGCAGGCACTGCCGGCTCTAACCCGCTTGTCTTTATAATTGGGACTGTTAGGAAGTAGGCGTGGCCAGCCCCACGGGAAGACGTTGGTTAGGAATGCACTGTTTCCTTGGTTACTGACCAAGTTGGAGCAGCAGCTTTTCCTTTTTCATTTCTCTCCTTTGAACATACATCAGCCCCGGGGATGCATCAGTGACCGTTTTGATTGTCCTTTGGTCCCACGGAGCTAGGCTCATTTCTAGGAAGTCAGCCGTTGGTAAAGCAGCATCTGTCTTCTGAGCCATGGGAGGGGGGGGGGCGTTTTCGGGTAACCTGGGGCATCGCCCCAACTGTTTAAAATGGCCTTCCCGTGGGGTCAGCCAGGAAGAGTGCTCTGGGTCCTTTCTAATCTGCAAGCTGGCGTGATCTGACCTGCGACTTTTGTGGTGGTGGTGGTGTTCTCTGTACGTCGGTTATAACACTCATAGGATAACAGTATTCCCATAATACAGGTTGGAAACAGCGTGACCTGTGTTAGGTGAGGATGAGGCGGGAGCAAACATCCCAGCCAACTAGAGAAGCCTTTACATGGGTCATCATATTTTTTAATTAAGCTAACAATGCTTTTTCCTCCTTTGTCTACTGGTGTCGGTATCTTATTATAGGTCTGGCCAGATGAAGAATTTTAGTCATTTCATGATCTAACAGTTCTAATTTTTCTTCTGGGCAAGCAGTTTCCATGGAAACAACTTCATGGGATTAAGTTCAATCTCCCAGTACGTCTAATTTTTGGTACCAATGTTGTTACAAGTTTTGTTAGCCTCAGGTGAAGGCGCTTTGCCTGTAATCTCAGTATTACACCACATTCCTGTAGCATTATAATATAAACTTAGTATTATTGCGGTGAAGTTACTTAGGATCACAGGGGAATTTTCTAATTCCTCCAAACAAAAATGTCGTTTCCCCATATAACAGGTGTTGTTGTTTGTTGGGGTAGATACAATAGGCCAGGTCTGAGTGAAGTCACGAGTCCATATAGTTTGAGGGGTGACCATTCACATTTTCAGTTTCTACAGCCTGATAATGAGCTGCATTTCCACTTGATATTTTTAAACATGGCCCATCTGGTTCCCATTGGAAGCCCTTGAGAATTATGAATGCTAGTCCCTGTACCAGCCAGGTGAACTCTTGAAAATTGTCGTTTGGGGCTTCGCCGGTACCAGAGCGGTTAAAACACAGTGTTGTCACGCTTTGCAGGAGGACCACGGGAGTCCCATCGGTGTCTGCGTGGGCTTCTGCATCCATTGTAGTCGGCCATGGCTTCGTAGCCACCTGATTCCATTTGTGTTGACATAGATAACAGGCCTTGTGGAGTTAGAGGGCGGGCCGTTCCCAGTTCCCATCGTTGGGTTTGTGTGTGAGCTGTTTGTTGTAAGCTGTGGGGGCCATTCTACCTGTGGAGCTAATAATGCTTCGTGGTTTTCCAGGCTGTCTCCCAGCCTTTCCCTTCTTGGAATAACATTTCTTCTGTGTTTTTACTGTCTTAGACGAAGAATCTTTTTCTAACGAAGGATAGCCACAAATTCAGCTTGTCCCAGAGTACCGAGGCCAGTCCCTGTTCCTCCAAGTGGCTCTTTCTTTCTTATGGAGGCTCAGTGTTGTTGGAGCCACTGGGCATGCTGTGGCCATTGAGGGCTTATAGCCTAGAGCATTTGGGGTGTACCAATGAACCACAGAATGTTTCCCGTGCCACTCCCAAGTGAGCTGTGGTCACCCCATAGTGAGCCTGAGTCTGGGTGTTCCATGAGGCTCCCCCAAGCGTGCGGGTCTTATGTTGGGGGTGTGTTCAGGGGTTTTAGCCATTCCTGCAGTCCATTTTGAGGTGGCCCATTGGTTTATTTTATTATCTTAATCTGTACCTCTCCAGCCACACAAACATGGTTGATAATTGTGGGGAAGAGACACTGAAACATTGGGCACGGAGTTGTGGGGTTTCAGTTGCATTACCATACGTGGCCTTTTTTAGTTTTTTATTATTTAATAGCCACACAATGTTTGTCTCTGTTTCATTTATTTATCTGCCAGTTCTGCCAGGGAGACTATTAGGAAGCTATTCTTAAAAATGTTCTTGTAAAGTGAACCATTTATCCCAGGTTTTAAAGTATAGATAGGTATCCAGAAAAATCAGAATCAAGGGACATGTCAAGACTGAGATTGTCTCGTAGAAGAGCTCCTAGTAGAGAATCAGACTTTTCATCATAACGACGAACTTCAAGACCATTCATAGGAACAGAGGGATCACAGTGTGTGATCGCTTTAATGTATGACTGAATTTGGTTTGCTAATACAATCCTGTACTCTCACCCACCTAAGAACAAAACGGGAGATCCCACCAGGTTCCTGGGCTAGTCGCATCTCTGTCTTAGCAGATTTTCAGTAAACACATACACTAAGGGCCCCTTGGATGACAGCGATTGCCGTGACTAAGGCGAGAGGCTTGGCTGGGTGCACGGGGCACTGTTGTCAGGGCGTGTGTCACCTCTGAGTTGTGTGTCAGGCCCTGAGGTACCAGTGAGCTTGGGGTGCAGCCAGTGACGGGAAATGAGGTCAGGCAGGTGGGTGCTGGATCTCAGGGGACCTTGGGATGTTATCAGAGACGTGAGGGGAGGCCCCAGGTGGACCTGCTCAGGGGAGTGGCTCCTTCAGGTGTGTATTTCCTGGTTCCTTAAAAGGCTGTGTGGGAAGGGGATCCGGGGAAAGGCAGGACACTGGTTAAAGGCTCCCTTCTGCAATTTCTTCAGCCCAGTTCCTGGGGACTTGTCTCCCTGGCCGGGCAGCTAAGAAGCGAGCAGTCACCTGGCCTCTTTCCTGCACGCTTTGTGGTAGGTTCGGCCTTTCCTGCCAGCGTGGCTGGCTGAGCCAAGCTGTGTTGCAAAGAATGTCACTGAAGACCTGGTGCCCATCGAGGACATCCCCGAAGTCCACCCTGACCTGCAGAAGAGGCTGCGGGCACATGGCATCTCGTCCTACTTTCCAGGTGCCCAGCCTTGGCCGGGGGCCGGGGTTCCCCCAGCATGGGCGGCCCGACCTGCTGCTGCTCGTGGCTCCAGTTTCCCCTCAGGGAGAGTGGCTGGCCCTGGGGCCATGGCCAGGCCTCCGTGCCTGTGCTGAGGGGGTGTCCCTGCACAAGTGTGACTGGCCTCTCGCCTCCCTGTCCAGTCCAGGCTGCGGTGATCCCCGCTGTCCTGGAGAGCGCGGCCAACGGGTTTCTGGTGGGCAGAGGTGGCTACCGGCCCAGTGACCTCTGTGTTTCTGCCCCAACGGGCAGTGGGAAGACACTGGCTTTTGTCATTCCCGTGGTGCAGGTGAGAGGGAGGGCCCACCTGTGAGCGGGGTTGACAGGCAAGGAGCCCTCTTCTGACAGTGGCCCTGCTCCCCCACGGGCGGGACCCCTCCCCTGCGGGCCCTCCTTCCCACAGCTCCCCCAACGACCCTGCTCCCCCACTGCCTCTCCCCACCTGGGCCTCTCCCCCACTACATCCACTGCCCTCCTTCCCACAGGCCCTGATGCCGCGAGTCGTGTGCCAGGTCCGTGCCCTGGCTGTGTTGCCCACCAAGGAGCTGGCCCAGCAGGTATGTGGACCCTTGGCCTGGGGGGTCAGACCCAGAGTGCTTGTCCCTGAGACGTGCCTCAGGTCAGGCCAGTGACACCTGTTCCTTGTCCAGGTGAGCAAAGTGTTCAACATCTACACAGATGCCACTCCTCTGCGCGTCGCCCTAGTCACCGGGCAGAAGTCGCTGGCCAAGGAGCAGGAAAGCCTCGTCCAGAAGACGTAGGTCCCGCTGGGCCGTAGGTTCTGGGGCAGCGGTCCCGGCCGGTGCAGAGGGCCAGGCACGTGTGCCCCTGGCCGAGGGAGTGGCAGCTGGGGGTCCGTGTGGGGCTCCCGCTGAGTTTCTCCTGCTCCGCAGAGCCAACGGCTTCCGCTGCCTGGCTGACATCGTGGTGGCCACCCCAGGCCGCCTGGTGGACCACATCGACCAGACGCCGGGGTTCAGCCTCCAACAGCTCCGCTTCTTGGTAGGTTGCCCACCCACCCGGAGGGGCCCGGGCTGGGAGCAGGTGCCGACCTCGGCCACCGGACCCCACGCCTCCTGCCTCCCCAGGTGATCGATGAGGCCGATCGGATGATGGACAGCATGTACCAGTCCTGGCTGCCACGGGTGGTGGCGGCCGCCTTCCCGAATGACGGTGCTAAGGGTCCCCCTGCTTTGCTGCAGAGGCGGCAGCTCGAGGCCGTGACCGCTGCCAGGTACCTGGTCCTGAGCTCTGCTCTCGGTGGGGTGCCCAAGCAGAGGCCCTTGCACGTGGTCTGGGCTCCCGAGGCGGCTGACCAGGCCACGACTGCTGTCCCAGCGCCTGCCTCTCTTCCAGCACCTGCTGTCCCCAGATGCCACTGCAAAAGCTGCTCTTCTCGGCCACCCTGACCCAGAACCCTGAAAAGCTGCAACAGCTCGGCCTCTACCAGCCCCGGCTCTTCTCCACGGGGCTGGCTCGCGGGGGCACCAGAGACACCGGCGAGGACGTGGACTTGGGTGGAAAGTACACCTTCCCCGTGGGGCTCATGGTGAGTGGGGTGCATGGTGGCAGGGGAGGGGAGCACCCAGCACCGGGGCCCAGCCAACCCTGTGCTGTGCCCACAGCACCACTACGTGCCCTGCAGCCTGCGTGCCAAGCCCCTGGTCATCCTGCACCTCATCCTAGACATGAACTTCACGAGGGTTCTCTGCTTCACCAACTCCCGTGAGAACTCCCACAGGTGAGGCCCGGGAGTGGGCGTGCGGAGGGCCGGCAGGTTCTGGCAGGTTCCGGCCCTGCTAACCGGCTTTTCCCACCCAGGCTCTTCCTGCTCGTCCAGGCCTTTGGGGGTGTGACGGTGGCGGAATTCTCCTCCCGCTTGGGGCCCGGCCAGAGGAGGACGGTCTTGAAGCAGTTTGAGCAAGGGAAGATTCAGCTGTGAGTGCCGGCAGGGGTGCCCCTCCTGGGGGGTGTCTGCGCCTACCCTGGACAGCGCCCACAGTCCCGCATGTCCCAACAGTCTCATCAGCACAGACGCCACGGCCCGCGGCATCGACGTGCAGGGCGTGCAGCTGGTGGTCAACTACGACGCCCCCCAGTACCTGCGGACCTATGTGCACCGGTGAGGGCTGGCTGTGGTCGGGGGTGGGGCCTGCAGAGGGGCAGCCTTTCCACTTGTCCCCTCAAGGGCTGGGGACCCGCTCTGGAGCTGTCTGCTTGTTTCCAGGGTTGGAAGAACCGCCCGCGCTGGGAACACCGGGCAGGCCTTCACGCTGCTTCTCAAAGTGCAGGTCAGGCAGAGTGGGCCTTGGTGGGAGGTGGGGGTGGGCAGGGAGCCCCTTCTCACTTGGCTTCCTCCCTCCAGGAGAGGAGGTTCCTGCAGATGCTGGCAGAAGCTGGGGCGCCCGAGCTGGAGCGCCATGACGTCCCCAGCAAGCTCCTGCAGCCGCTGGTCCCGCAGTATGAGGCGGCCCTGGCCCAGCTGGAGAGGGCCGTCAAGGTGAGGGGCCAAGCTGAGGCCTCGTCGGCACAGCTCGGGCGGGAGGGGCCTGGGCTCCGGAGGTGTAGGCACACGGCCCAGCACTGCACTTTCCTCCTGGGGTTGGAGGGGCCGGGGCTGCAGACGACCTTGGGGGAGGACAAGGCCGATCCCCTTTCTGTCCCCCTGCAGGAAGAACGAAGGCAGAAGGCAGCCTAGGCAGGGGCTCAAAGGGCAGACGGGGCCCAGCGGCCTTGCCATGCAGCAAGGTGTGTGCCCCTGCTGGGGTTGGCGCTGTTTTAGAAGAATTCTGAGTACCAGCTGCTGGATGTGTGAGCAAGACAGGGATTCCTCAGGTTTCAAGAAGGGACCTTTGTCCCCTAGCACACGTCCTCAGGCCAGGCCCCTGGACACAAGGACCTTTCGTCGCTGCACCAGCCCTGGCCTGAGACCATCAAGGGCATACAAGGTCGGGCACTTGGAAATAGGGCTTTAGTAAAATGGTCGGTGCTACCGCAGAACTGACAGGATGGCATCTGTCCTGTTTGGCTGGCAGTGGGGCTGGCCCGAGTCGCTCCCTGTGGGCTGGGAAATGGCACTGTAGGAGCCCTTCCCGCCGTGTCCTAGCAGACCCGGAAACACAGCTGTGGGGGCACCGCCAGGGTACACAGTACACTCCAGCATGAGATGCTGTTTGTCACGAACGTAATTGAAATGTTTGTAAGAAGGCTCTTTCCCGAAATTTATATGCTGATGTTAAGACAAACTTAAGAAAATAGGAATTGGTTTTTTATCCTGCCTGAAAGTACGTTATTCACGTCAGCAAAACCCACCTGAACACAAGTCTTGGGTTCCATGGGATGCTGTCGCCCCAGTGGACACAGGGCAGGTACACGTCAGGAGGGCAGTGAGGCATCTGGGAACCAGGAAACGTTGCAGTTGTGGCTCGTGAGTCCTGAGGGGCAGGGATGGGAGGGGCTGGACCTCTGCCTTCTAAGAGGCTCCTGTTTGCCCCCTGGCCTCCAGGCCTTCAGTCCGGCGGTGGGACTGTCCTAGGTGTGACAGGGCGGGCCCGGTGCGTTCTCACTGTGACACTGGGGTGCGTTGTACTTCCTGTTGTCACGCCGCCTCCCTCAGCTGGGCGCGGTGGAGCCTTGAACCTGATGCTGGAGGCCTTGCCAGCAGCCAGAGCCTGTCCAGGACCTACCATCTGTGGGGAGGCGGTGGTCACTTTCCACTGAGCCGCCACGATGGTGTTAGAATGCACCTGACCCTCTGCGTTTGACGGGTGCTAAGGACTTGACGCTATGCTCTCACAGTGGCTGAGGACAGCTGAGCCCTCCAGGCGCTGAACCAGCCTCCGCAAGTGAGCAGAGTGCGGCTGGTGCCGAACCAAAGCCCCCTCTGAACCAGGAAGCAACACTTGGCGTTGGCACAGACCTGGGTCTGGCTCTTGGCCGGGGAATGCGCAGGTGACGAGTGGGCTTGCAGACGGCAGTGCCCAGAGCCCGCACGCTGTCTCCCCATGAACACCAGCCGTTTAAAGTCCGGGAGGTGTGCTCAGGGCACACAGGAGGTGGGCCGGCATATGCCCGGGAGGAGGGCCATTCGAGTCCTGCTGCCACCCCAGCTCGGTGGGATGGACGGACGTGCTGCTGCTGGGGGTTCAGCCAAGGACACTGGCCAACAAGCCAGGAGCAGCGCAGTCACTAGGAAACGCACATCAAAACCACAGGGAGGGAGAGCCACCTACCTGGGGGCCGTGGGAACACATGGGGACATGGAGTTGCTGTGGCCGGGAGAAGGTACGTCCGGCCGTGTGCATGTGTGTTGAGAGCAGTCGCCAAGGAGTAGAAGCAGGCGGTCACGTCAGCCACGATAGACGAGATGTGGGAGTGCACAGGGTAAGCGGGAAAGGCACAGGGCGACCACATGGATGAACCGGGGACCGTGCCAGCCGGCAGAAGCCAGGCGCACGGCCACGTCCTGGGGGGTCAGGCACCTGGAGGGCAGGTGGGTGCTGGCTGGGAGGGGGAGCAGGCCAGCAGCTGCTGATGGCCACAGAGCTTCCTTTTGGGATGAGAAAGTTCTAAAATGGGTGAGTGACCTGCCCTGTGTGTGACGAGGCTCAGTCAAGCACGGAGAGCGCACATGCAGTCACCTGGGTGACAGGCTGGCTGACGAAACAGGTTGCTGCCCTCAGCTCGCCTTTTTCTGTGCATTCGAGGGAGGGGGAAAGGGATTGGGCCGCTGACTGAATATAGCAGCCGAGCCTTCGGACTTTTGTAATAAATGCCAAGCAGAACACAGTTGGATTGTCACTGAGTCCTGTGGAGCAGCTGGGCATGGGGATGGGAGGCACAGCACGCAGCACTGAGCCAGTCCCACCAGGGTCTGTGCAGCAGGGCACGGCCCTGACCTGCGGGGCTGGGAGGCGAGGAGAAGAGCATGCTGTCTGCTCTGACACGAGCTGCACACATAGTCCCCGGCGTGAGGCCCCGAGGTGGCAGTTCTGACGGCACAGCCTGCTCAGGAGACTAATTCCAGGGCGAGAACCAGGACAAGACGGGGCGCTGCCTTTCCGCTTCTGACTTAGCTTCCCCCCTTCCTTAGGACCATCACGTCCAAGGACGCTGCTGGGTTGGTGGGGACTCGGGACTAACGGGACCTGGCCCCGTTAGCTCAGTCATTCGTTTGTCACTCAGTCACCAGGACTAGTAGGGCTCTGGGCACTCTCCTCTTCGCTGGGTCTCAAGGACACAGGCTCAACACCCTCGCGGTCACCATTCTCAAGCCCTGAGGAGGGGAGCGCACCATGCTGGCATGGGGGGCGAGACTCAAGGGGGACCAAGGGGATAAAGAAGGGACAAGGCAGTGAAGTGAGGTGAAGCTGGCAGAGGCCCGGGTCCCTGTAGGGTTGTGACCACGAAGAGACACGGGTCTGCCCCGCACCCAACAGGAAGGCTCCGAGCAGTGACTAACCCAGTCACCTCCAAAATGGATCCATAACAAGGCCACCCACATGGCGTTTCCTCAGATCCAGGGAAAGTCACGCAGAGCGCGTCGTATGGTGCCTGGTAAGCAACCATGTAGCAGGGCGTGGTTACGTGTGTGAGGAATCACCCCGTGTCACCCTCGGTGTGACGCACAATTTGCTCACATATCCTCTGAAGGGGGCCAGGTACCACAGCCTGTGCACCGAGCCTGCAGTCATGTGCCCTGGCCCTACTGTCCCCTGGAGCCAATGAGACAAGGACCGGGCGACCGCAGGAGCACATCCCATGTGCAGGGGGCTTCCTTCCCGAGGGGCAGGAGCACTCACCAGGGCAGCGGTGCTGGTCACGGCCGTCGCTGCAGCCTGCCCCCACGTAGGGTGACTGTCATCCCTTAGTCTGCAGTGGGGTCTCGTCTGCTACTGAAGAGCCCGTGACGGGGGCTGCTGTTCGGCCAAAGCCTAGAAGAAACCACACTTGCTCAGAGGCTACTGGAACATTCTCCACATCACAATCTATTTCCCCGAAGAATTAGGTAGAAAATGTGACTGGCATCATAGGTCACACAGTGCTGGCAGCACTCCACTGGACTGACGCACCTGGAGAGGGAGCCTTGTCACTACAACTGGCGTGGAACCTGGGCCCACAGCCGTCACCCTGCCTTCCGAGCGATGTGTGCACAATAGCCACATGCCATTTTGTTAGGCGCCGGGCATCTGCACTCACACTAAAGCACCTGGTCAGTTTTTAAGCCCCCGGTGTAGGAGAGTCCTCTACTCTCAGCCCACTGGCCTCTGCGATGGCATTCATGCGTCAATCAGTGTGCAGTTTACTCTCCAGCCCCGCGGGGGAGGCAGAATTCTTCACCCATTTGACAGATGGGAACCAGTCAAGCGACCTGACCAGAGCCCCGCGCAAGTGGAACGCTGGAACTTTGAGCATCTTAGGAAGGGAATGGAACCAAACCAGCGCTCCGAGATAAGTACTTACTTAGCTCTGGGCAAGGTGAAGTGTCTTTTTAAAATGATCGATTTACAGTCTTCTGTGCAAGTGATGTTATCAGTTCTTCCTTTGTGTGATCGGAAATGCCCACTGGGGATGTCTCTCCCCGCCAGACACGCGCGCGGGCGGCGTTAGCACCACCGACAGCGACCTCACAGGCCAGGGTGGGGTGGGGAAGTCACCGAGGCGGAGGGGGGTCACAGGGATGTGGGAGACCAGGCGGGCGGCAGTCACCGGGCGGGGGGTGGGAATCACCGAGGCGGGGGTCACCATGGTGGGCAACTTCACCATTGATGAGGGACGTGCGGTCGCGGGGGTTCGAAGGCACAACGGGCAGGCGGGGGCTGAGGAGAGCCGCACGCCGCCCCCTCACGCCTGCCCGAATGCGGACACTCAGCCCGTCACTCACCAAGGCTGCGCTGCGCGCGGCAAGGACCCGACGCTACCAGGCCCATTTGATGAGGCGGAGCCACCGGCGACCCGACCCCAGTGCGCAGGCGCTGGGTGGGAGTGGAGCGGGCGGAGCCACAGGACAGGGGCGGGGCCCGCGCCAGCGCCGCTGGCTTCATTCTCTCATTCGTACTTGCCTCCAGCCCTCCATCTGTCCACCCCTGCACCAGTCACTTACTGCTACTCTGGCCGAGCACGTCTAGGCCCTGCTGGTAGAACCTAGTCTAGCGGGAAAGGGGCACCATCGGGCAGTAAACGCGCATCTGGAAGAGGAGGCATCCGCGGAGAGCGAGGCTGTGGCCGCGCCTGTTTGCAGCGGGGACAGGGGGTCAGGAATGCCTGGCAGGCCGGAAGTGCGCTCTGAGGACCCACGAGGGACGCTTCCCTGGCCTGTGACCCGGGAAACGGCCTAATGTGTCCCAGTTCTCACTCTCGCTGCCTCTGCTCTCGGCTCCACCGCAGAAAGGGTGAGCTTTCAAAACTGCCCATCAGGGTGCCTTCCAGCTTCCACCTTTTCATCTACTCAGGACTACGTCCAGGCCGCCCGGCCTGACCTTGATGCCCCTCCCGCTGCCCACCGTCCTGAGTCCTTTCATCGCCTGTCTGGCCTGCTGGAATGTCACCTTTTCTACTTTGCTCACGGCTATAGCTCCGGGGCCTGAACGACAAACTGCCACACAGTGTGCTGAACTCAGCTAACATCAGCTGAGTAAACCAATATTGACCCTTCTCTCTCTCAATGGCTTTGATTTAAAGAAAAGAGCCAGAAAGCCGCGACTGCTGATAAGGCTGCCATGTGTCCATTCGCTTCCATACAGTCATTGGACAGGGACAGGGGCAGAACAGAACCGCGGGATGGCTGGGATGGAGACAAGTACCGTCTGGTACAAGGCCCTCTGGCGAACGGGCACATTGTGGGGACACGAATGAAGGGATGAGCACACGCTCTGCCATGTGGTTGGTCCTCCAAGGAGAGGAAGAGGAGAAATACTTTGCAACAGGGAACAGATCAGACAGCACTGAAAGTTGGGGAGACAACGGAGGCTGCAGGGAGCTGGTGAGTGAAGCCAGCTACACAGGGTCCCTGCCAGAGATGGGAAGCGGAACCTGCTCCATAAACGAGCCCACTGGGTGGGGGAGGGCGCAATGGACAGGCTGTTCAGGGATCTATTTAAAAAATAATTCATGCACACGGCAAACCGCTTAAACAACAAGCCTACACCAAACAGAACGAAGCACCCCTGCCTGCCCAGAGGCAGCCTGCAAGCAGCTCCCCTCTGGGAGCGGCCGACCCAAGTGCACCTCACACACCTTCCAGACCAGTCCTCTCTAGGCTACACAACTCTTTGTTCTCATCAGCTGCAGTCTATTCCACTGAACGCATGTACTGCCATTTATCCAGTAAAATATCCAGTAAAAGGGGATCTTTGGAAGATGAGCCTACTTTGGAGCACAGATACTGGCCGAGGGCAGACCTGCTGTCAGACCCTCAGGCGAGGCCGCCCCTCCTCTCCCAAAGGCCCAGTCACAGTTCCATCTGGCGAGTGGAGGGGACGCAGGCAGCAGCCCATAGGGGTCTCAACCCCCGATACGTCAGAGTCCAGACAGACACCTGAGACCTTAAATAAAGTTGGTGGCACCAGGTGGCCTGCAGGCGGGTCTGCCTACAGGGCATGCTTTAGCTTAATCTCGGTTTAGATGCCCCTATGCACTGGAGCTGGTGGCTGACTGACTCAAGAGGTGCGACCTGCTGTGACCAGACAGTAGAAATCACTTCACCTGAGTGACCCCTGCCCTGCCTGAAGCACAGAAATACAGCCTCGTGGCCAGAAAAGCCTGCCCTAGGCCTCCTCACGTACAGCTGGCACACTGTCATGGTGGGGTCATGGCGATGGGACAATGGCTCTGAAAACAATCTCCTTCTCTGAATAACCCTGAGAATCAGAGCCGGCGCCAGGCTGAGTGCTTCCCAAATGCCACAACCGCTCTGGGAGGGAGCACACAGGAGACGTGAAGGCGCTGAGGCGTGAAGCCGCTGCCCCACCACACAGCCAGGCGGGCACGTGAATCCAGACCCAGGGGGCCATGGACCAGCGGCGTTTCCCAGCACCTGGCAGATGGTCCTGTGAGGCACCAGTGACTGCCCCAGCAGGCGATGCTGCAGGCTGAGTGGAGGGGCATGTAATGCGAGCTCAAAGTTCGGTCGCCCTGTTCCCATAGCAGGAGGGAAGGTTCCAGACCAACCACGGATTTCTCAGAGCACTCCTCTTGTATTAAGTGCATTTCTTAATAAAAAGAGCGGTTTTATCAAATGTGTTCTTTTGCAATCAGAAATTTTTACTGAAGGAAAGGTCTGAAAGTGAGAGAAGACACAGAAGAGAAACGCCTGCTGGCCACCCACCTGCTCACCGGAGTGTGATGCAGGCATCTGAGAGGTCAGGTGTCCAAGTACCTGTGGCTGGCCTGGCCCGCTAGGGCACCAGGGCCTGCCGGTGGCTGTCACAAAGACACAGGGCAGCGGCGGTGGCACCTACACACACAGGTCCTTCCTCCATTCGCGGCTTTGGAGTCAGCGGCCAGTGCACGCAGTCTCTGCAGACATAAATGGCGATTTTCACTGAAAACCTTCACGCACGCGTCCTTCTTTCTAGTTCCTCCTACAGTGTGTGTGTGTGTGTGTGTGTGGGGGGGGGAACCGCTGCCTCCAATGCTTGTTTCCCTTTTGTTTTTTCTTCACACAAATGAAATAAACACAATTAGCTTCTTATTTTAACACGTTTTCTATGAAAGACAAGATGAAAAAACATATAAAAAGGTCATTTTATTGTACCTTTTCTGTGGTGGGGTATCAATGCCCTTTAAAACCCTACTATTCAAGTACAAATGATCATGTTTACAAGTATGTACAATTTCGGCCTCCCTCCTTTATACTTTAAAACACAACCGCTATCTGGTTACAACAGTTAACAAAACTCATAAAGCTGGGAGAGGAAGGCTTTCCCAGGTGGCGGCACCTCCCCGCACCCCCAATCTTCCAGTGAGAGCCCAGCTTCGTCAGAGGCCAGCCAGCCAATGCGCAGCTGCTGTCTCCACGTTCTGAAGACGTGTTCCCGCCGTCACATGGTGTGCTGCTGGGCACCACGGTTCACACTACACGGGCGGGAAGTCTAGCCTTGAACACTGTTCTGGAAGGAGGACTCTTCCTCAGCGACTGCTGGAGACGAGCAGGTCAGGGTGACATGTGGACGCCACTAAAGCAAGTGACATGAGGAAACTGTAGCTGCACGTTCTGCATCAGGCGATGGCTGCTGAAGGAAACACGCTCCAGAGGCGAGCCCTTCGCCCACGGCAGGGCGGGGCAGCAGTCCCACACCGCACATCTTCAGGGCCCCAGGCCTGTTCTTAGAAAGCTGGGCATAGGTGCTCTGCACTGACAGAGACCTCTAGGCTGCAGCTGTGCCAGGACACTAAGCAGGGCACTCCGTCTGTTACCGTCACCTGGGGAGCCTGCAACACTGCGCGGAGGAGAGAAGGAAGCTCATGGCGCAGCAGTGAAGTAAGAGCAACAAGGATTCCCGCAGCCCAGCTCTGCACGTGGGCGCCGCGCGGGGCGTGCTCCACTCTGGACCAGCCTGCCCAAGTCCTGTGCTTCGACGTGCTCAGGTAAGTGTTAAATCCCTTCCGTTTTCAACACTTGCTTTTTGCTTTCTTCCGAATTTCTCTCCGAGCGCTCAAAAAAATAAGCTGCACACTGGCTTCACTAACAGTCGTTGCATCATTCGCTGTCCGTTAACTGATGGGAAACCAAACACTCCAGGACAGAAGGCTTTCTTTCCTTTGCGCCATCAAAGAGGTGAGATGGAGGGGCAGATTAAATCAACATAAAACCCTCTAGTATGCCGTAACTCATCCTCAGTACACATAGACCTGACAGGACGGTTTCCTGGATCGAGTGAGTCGGGAGCTCAGAGCGCAGATGGTGTCATCGATGCCTGCTGTGTGCCTGGGGAACATTCCAGGTAAGCAGCCGTCATCAGCCAGTCAAGCCCACTGCAGTCGTTTCTGTCATCGTGCCGTTCGTTGTGAAAAATGAAACGGTACAAACATGGCCCTCTCTCTGCCCCTCCACTGTGGGCCCCTTAAAACAGCACAGATGCTGCGCCATTTTACACAGAACCATGAGCACGTGTGTCTGCTCAACATGAGACCCCGGCACAGAAACCCGATGTCACAAGTCTACGAGGGAGAGTTTATCACGCCCGTTTCTGTGGGTGACACTGGGCCCATACACAGACTGCCCCGTACGAGGTTTCTCACCTCTGCAGAGCACGCCCGGGCTGGGCATGAAACAGGAGAGTGGAGAGTGGGGTGACAGGTGTCCCTGTTGTCACCGAGTGCTGTGCACTCAGCAGTGACACCCACAATGTGACAGCTGCACAGTAAGTGTTCTGGGCCCCAAGTCCAAACATGAGCTTTACGCCAAAACTGGGCAAGTGTCGTGGAGTGCCGGGGTAGAAAACAATCCAGAAGGTTCCGCCCACGTAGAAATAAGTCACACCGGGAGAGGGTCGTGGAGCCACCCTGGCTGCTCTTTGGAATCAAGTTCAGTCACAGGCTGTTCCCTTCCACACAAGCTGGGATGCGTTATGAATGTGCTTCGGTGGGGCCAGTACGAAATATTTCCTCAAGAAGTTCCACAAGTCCCACTGTGGGAGGGAAGGAAGAAGCCACATGTGTCTCTGATCTGAGCAGATGGACCTCGGACAGCCTCTCTCATCTACGGCCCGGGGTGCACTTTCCGTGGGGTGTGGAGAACCACGCAGAGGCAGATGCTGTCAGAGACGGCACCGTAGCTTTAGGAAGCCCACTGTACGGCTCACTGCACATTCCTAGTGGTTCCTGGGATGTGCACACGCTGCCCTAACAAGAGCCAGCGCTGCTCTCTGCAGGACACGAACAGGTCAAGCGACCTGGGCGAGCCTGCCACTGCTGCCTGAGCCGCTTGTCATGGCATCCAGTGAAGGTGCACTGTGATGGAGGGCTCCACTGCTGTGTTTCAGTGACAGCTTTCCTGGAGCCGGACCCTCAGTGGCACTGCCTCCCGGTCTGGGTAGCTGGTGCGGGGCTTGGGGGCCCACCCTGAGGCTGCCGCGCTCCTGGCTAGGGGCACGGAGGCTTGGTGGGCGTCTTCAGCCGGACCGCGGGCACTCGCATCTGTAACTTGGGCTGCTGGCTTGGGCTGTCGGCACTGGCTGGCACCTGTGCCGGGTTGGGGACGCCAGGGGTCTGCAGCTGAGCCGCCGTCGTCACTACCTGCTGCTGCATGAGCTTCTGCTGGACCACCTGAGCAGTCGCGGTCACTGCAGGGATCATCTGGACCTGCTGCCCGGCCGCTGTTGCCTGCGTGAGGGTCACAGTCTGTGGGGATGCCTGAGCAGAAACAGAAAATGCACATCAAGTGAGAAATTCCCTGTTCCTGGGGCTGAGGAGCGGGGTTTTAGAAATGTAACTAACACGCATTTTGTAAATGGTGACCACCGCCTGGCCTATAAGGATGGGACCTCTGGTTCATTCTAACCAAACAGAAGGGGAAAACTGAACCAGTGTCACTCTTAGGCCAGCATGGAACCCTCTGGGAAAAGGCTGACGAGGGGGTGGCGGTGGCATCAGCGCCTACCATTACAGCTGACCCTGAACAACGCGGAGTCTGTACGCAGGCCACTGTGGGTCACACCGCCTGTTCCAGGGTCAACACCGCGGCTGGGGGTCCATGTCCGTGGAGAACGGACCCAAGCTACACTCGGATTTTTGACCGCTCGGCTGGTCAGCGGCCCTAACTTCGTGTCGTTCAAGGGTCAACTGCATTTGATTTCTTAAAATCCACATGCCAGTGTGATTCTGAACAAAATAAAAATGTTTAAAGCTCTGTTCTTATCTGGCCATGTTCTGCAGCAGTAAACACGACGGTAAGAGCCTACTGGTTAGGAAGCCGCTGCTGCTGTCCCCAGCAGTGTCTATTCCTCCAGTTTCCCTGAAACTCAGGTGTGGTGGCAGTGGTGGCCCGACACACCTAGCACTGCTGACATGCTCATCCCTGAGATGAGCACCTTCAGCACATCTGATGCGGACACTGAACACATCTGCTCAGGTTTTATCCTGCTAGTCTGAGGTGTCTAGTGTTTGCCCCAATGTTAACTTTTGTTTATATTATGAAAATCAAGTGATTCTCTACTAATTAAAACTCTGCTTCCTCAGGATGAGAACCAGGAACTCTTAATCTGGGAAGCGTGAAGCTTCCTGCAAAGTCCCCATGGGAACATCCCGGGTGGCTGCCCGTCTTCCGTCCTACCTGCTGTGAAGCCAAGCCCACCTGCTGGATGCTGGCCACCGGGGTTTGCTGCTGGACAACTTGAGGGAGTTTTGCAACCTTTGACAAAGCAAAAAAAAAATCAAATTTAGAATTCAAAATAATGTGTGCACAAAAAGAGGGGTTTTTTTTCCTCCTTCTCAGTTCTTAATACAAAACCAACAAAATCAGTGGCCAGATGACACAAAAAAAGCAATTCTCAAAGTGTGCTGCCCTAGAACCCTGAGCAAACCTGAGGTCAGCTTCACACTGAGTGACGATCTTTTCCTACTCTACAATCTTGTGTAATTTGAAGCTTATATTTTTGGCTTCATATTTCAGACAAATTTTTTCTTCTACTACAAACTGCTCCAAGTTTACATAAGAGAATTAAATCAAGGTTGGAATGAAATATTTCAGCATTTCATGAGTTCTCAAGAGAGCCTGTTCTTCATGTCTGAGTGGTGCCCCAGGGTGTCGGGACTCAGACCAGCACCATGGTCAGCTCTAGTCCAGAGACACGCCCACATTTTAAAGTGGTTGCTTTATCATTTTCCTTAATCATGACGAGAGCTTCCTCTTAATAAAACAAAACTTCCCACCCTATGGCTGGCACATGTGTCTCCTCAGGGCTGTGGGGGTGCTGGCTCTAGAAGGCAAACAGGCTCTTGAGTGGGCAGCTGCTGGGGAACAGAGAATGAAGATAAATCCTGCCCAAGATAATTCTGGAGAAAATGTGAAATTTTATGATATTCTTGTAAATGACAAAGCTGCAAGTCAATGTCATCAGTCCTTACTATGAAAATTACAATCAACCAGAAGAAGGCTTCACTAGTTTATTGTAATGTAACGTGGAGAACCGTAGCCAGGCTTCGCGAAGGTGAGCCAGCCCACCCAGCCCTCTGCAGCACTGCAGGGCTGAGCACAGGGGCCGGGCCTGAGACCAGGGACGTGTGGACAAAGCTAAGACAACGTCTTGGATGCAGCAATGAAGCTGCAGAAAGAGAGAAATGCCCAGTTCCCAAACCTAAGCGAAGCCGGAACCTGCACGGCAGCTCTCAGCCCAAGTGCATGCTCACGGTCTCCCAGAGGGTGGCTGGCAGGGCCCACGCATGCCAGCCCCTGCAGCTGCCATCCTGTCACCCAAAGGGGTCTGTGAGGAAGTCAGTGCTTGGGCCTTGGTGCTGGGACCTTGGAGACACAGGTTTAGAGGCCAAAATGACGTTCCCTGAGAGATACCAGACCCTCAAGCCACAGCTTACGTGGTCCTGACGGAACCCACAGAAGCAGAGAGGCCACAACCCCCCCTAGCCCAGACCTCAGATCACATGTCCACAAACAGGACTTCAAGGAAAACCAGCTCACAAGAAAGCAATCCCTATAAAGATGACGACACAGTTCCCGAAGCAAGAACAGCAGCAACAAGTAAGATCAGATGTTCCAGGACTTGAAACAGACAATTATCAACACACACAAAGCAGCGTGTCCACCCTGTGCGGCCTGGAAACATGCATAGGAACAAGAAATTACAAAGAAAAACCAAGCAGATCTGAGAGAAAAACCACCAGAACGTCTAAGAGTAAAACACATAATAACCAAAAAGAAAATCCAACAAACAAGCTTAACAGCCGCTCAGACCTGCCAAGTAGCAATCAGTGACGCAGAAGGGCTAGAGGACGTCACTCAGAACTCATCTGGGGCAGTGAGCCACAGTGGACGAGTGGAGGGAAGGAAAGTGGGGCGGAAGTGATGTCTCACGAAATCACAGCTGATCATTTCCTGCACTGACTGACAAGGGAGATCAGTGTCCAGAGCCCAGAGGGTCCACAGACTGAGCAGTGACATCGCAGAACACCGAAGGCCAAGAAAAGCTCTCAAAAGGAAATGGGGGGATCAGTCACCGTCACACCAGGGCACCCCTGACCTTGCATCAACAACGAAAGAACCAGCAACCAGGGACTCTCTTGATGTGCCGAGACAATAAACATCCACCCAGAATTCCATACAAGTAAACTACCTTTTAGGAACAAGGGTGAGACACAGGCATTTACAAACACTACCAGAAATTCCAAAGGGTGGATGTCAAGCAGAAGGAAAGTAGTTTTACATGAAGTCCGAATGAAAAGGGGCAACATGAAAATGCATGGTAACAGCAGCACCTCAGCTGAGCAGCCCAGTGGGGCTGTGGTGTGACGACGGTTTGCTCCAGTCTTTGAACAGGTACATGTGCCTGTGGACATTTCAGGGTAACCACTTATAGAGCACAAAAAGACTATACAATTTTAAAACTAGAAGAACACCAGTGCAAAAAAATAGATACATAAGCAGCATAAGAGAAGAAAGGATGGAAAGTGGAAACAGAACAAGCCACACAGAAAGGAAGTCAGAGCCCACTTCCATCAGTCCCCACCGTAAAGAGGCGTGAACACGTTTTAGGTAAAATGCCAGAACGCAGAGGAAGGTGACGACAGTGACGGCAGCATCAACACAACTACTTCCGTGAGGAATGTTCTAAAGAGACACACAGAATGTTGAAAGTAGAGGGCGGGGAAGACACACCAGGAAATCTAACACAGACAGATGTTCTCAATATAAGGCAGGATGGGTTTCAGGACCAAGAAGAGTGCTGACAATAACAGGCCACTTCAAAGTAATAAAATTAAACATTCTGACTTATACGTAGCTAAAAATAAAGTATCAAATCTAAAAGGCAAAAACAGAAATATCAACACACAACCAGGGCAGGAGGTTTCAGCACACCTCTCAGTAACTGACAGAACAAGGACATCACAGTGACACAGAGCACAAGCCACACAAACAAAGCGCTTGGCCCTAATGAGTGTGCTGGACACCACCAAGTGCGCACACACCACCCCAGAGCTGCCGGTGGGCAGGGGGCGGGGTCTGAGCATGAGCGAGAGAAACGGCACGCGACAGCAGGTTTGGCCCAGGTAAGGCTGAAGGTGCTGTCCCTGAGCTGGAAGAGTTCAGGTGTGCACAGGTGAGGTCAGAGCTGCCTATCAGGTCTTTGGGGAGCTGTCCAAAGGCAGTTGGGACTAAGACCCTGGAATGGGGAGACCGAGATAGGTCGTAGACTTGAACCTGGAGTCATCGGCACTGAGATGGACGGATCACCAGGGGAAGGGTGCAGACAGATGGTGAGAAAAAGACAAAACGCCGCAGCAAAAGCAACAAAAACTTCGAGCAAACTATAGATGAGGAAGGGAATTTTCCTACTCTAATGAAAGCTGATTTTAAAAATGATCGTAATGACAGTGACAGGCTGAGCCTCTGTCTGTGCATCTCTGCACGTGACACTGCGGCCTTGCCAGCGCGAACAAAAAAAGGGAGAGGAGGAGAGAGGAAGACATGGCCGCCACCACGTGCAGTGACACGATGGAGCCTACCGACGACCTGTCGGGGAAGCAAGAACTGACCAAGCCCACGAATTCAAGTCACAGGACAAGGTGTACGGAAGGCACAGACAGAGCCTTGGGGGCATGTTATTCACAGAAGCATCAGAAAGGACAAATTAGGAACAAATCCAATCCAAGTGGTAGGATCTTTATGCAAAAAAATGCAGAAAACTTAATACAAGGGCATTAAAGGTAAGCACCAAAGATGGACCACACTGGTGAATCCGAGTCGAGACAAAATGCCAACTTTCCCGCAGACTGAGCCACAGGGTCTTAGCAATTCTAGTGACGCCCAGCAAGCAGCGTGACTGCGGAGTGCCAGCTGGAAGCGGACTCAACACTCAGATCTGTATGGGAGGCTGCAGAGCTGAGGGCAACAGGACAGCCCCCAAGGGCAGCATGGGGCAGAAGGTGTGCCTTCCAGATGTCGGGTCCACCTGGAGCTGGGGGGTGAGAACAGAGCAGGGTGGTCCAGGCCGAGGTCACACACCACAGGAAAGCCCCATGCAAACCACGCAGGACTATGCCAAGGCGGCACTGTGGGTCTGAGGGGCAGTGACCCCTCAGTGAATGCTGCTGAAAGAAACAGGGCATTTACATGGAAAAATCAAAGTGAACTCCTATTCTTTTATCGGGAAAAACCAATTCCAGGGAAGTTACAGAACTAAACATGAACAGTTATAAAGTTTTTAGAAGACGATACAGGAAAATAACATCATGACATTTGGGAAGGATTTCCTAAGCAAGACACTAAAAGCACTATTCAGAAATGAAAAGACAGATGTTCCAATACATTAAAACAAAGAATGACTGTTCGTCCACAGACGGCACAGTTTGTGGCCATGTGCTGGGGGAGACAGTGCGACACAGAACAAGGGCCGGGGCCCGGAAGTGAGCTCTGGGAACCCGTAACCAGGCACTTCCCCAGAGGAAATGCCTGCTGGTCAACGGAATCACCAGGGACGCAGACAGCAGGGGCCACGGAGGCCACAGCAGGAGCTGGGGAATGTGCACACAGCCCACAGCCGTCCCAGGCAGCCACCACCGGAGCAGCCCTCGCACCATCACGTGTCAAGGCCCAAACCTGGAGGGCGACCGCGGCTCCTGAGGAGCGTCACACACACACAGGACGTCACTGCAGTGTGACCTGAGCATGCCGCAAGCCACACTTGGGGATCCCACAGACAGATAGCAAAGGTGGCGAGGACGGTCTGTCGGGTACCAGCCGCCTCTGAGGAGGAGTGGAGGGCCCGCCCTGCCTACCCCACCCACCGTGCTCACCTGGATCTGGGTCTGCACCTGCTGGGTCCCAGCCAGCTTCTGCGCCTGGGAGATGGGCGTGGTGAGAAACTGGGTTTTAAGGGCTGGCTGGGTGGCATAGGTGACCTTCTGCGGCTGGCCCTGAGCAGCGATCTGCTGTGCAGTGATCTGAAGAAAGAGAGACAGCCCAGGCTTAGAGCCAGGCCAGGCCTGCTCCCACTGCCCCACACCCACGCGTGACCGCCCCGTGTTCCAGCAGCTGCGCTCCCTGCATGCCCAGCCCCAAGTCACCCGTCTCCCCTCCCGGAAGTCCCCTCACAGCCTGGGCAGGGGTTAACCTTTACATCTTCTGTAGCACCTGGTGCCGTGACCACAATATCAAAAACATACACAATTTCTCAAACCCAGTTTTAAGAATTTGGCATGTACCCAAAAATATCTCGCACAAGGGGCGACAAACCTGTAGGCACAACCTTGGCATAGTGAACCTCATTTCTAGTTCTGCCAGGAGAATTCTAATACCATTCAAAGGGCCAGGCAGGCACGTGTGGTTTACAAAGCCATGTCCACACATCTCAGAAGTGTTCTTTCAAATGATACCAATGTGCGGACCAGCACTGAGTTCAGAGCACACGTCTCTCTCTGACAACAGCTAAGCCCACGCGATGATGCAGGCTCCACCTGTCTGCATCTCCGTCTTTGTGTCCTTACCTGATGCCCGGCTCCCGCCCCTACACAGCTGACCCACAGGATCACTCAAAAGGCCTGGAGATGACTCTGAGTGGGGTTTCTTTCTCCAACTGCCCACAGCAGGGGAGAAGGCACCTCCCAGAAATAGGTGTCAATGTGATGCCTACACAGCCCATGCCCTGAGTGCCAGACTACTGAGGACTTGGCTGGGACCCGAATCAGCTCAGAGGCACCTCCCCCACTTGAGGGGGATGCGGACAGCAGTCCTCCACGTGGGGCCCTCTGCCTGGCGCTCCCTCCTGCACCCTGGAAGCACATGCGCAGGACCCGGCCCCGCCTGGCTCCTTACCTGAATACAGGCTTGCGGGAGCCAGGCGGTAGCCCCGCCTGGCTCCGTCTGGCCTATACAACAGGAGCCCAGGCCGGTCACACGCTGGGAGCTACAGCTGCTCCCGAGTCCTTCTGGCCCCTGAGCAGCTGTGCAATTCCACAGCCTGCGCCCCTCACCGCTCCCCACAAGCCCTCAGTGAATGGAGCTCCCCGTCTCACAGCCACCCCCGCCCTGTGGGGCCTCGGCACAGCCCGAACCCCAAGGCCGCCCTCTGCAGCCCAAGCACAGGACCACAGTGTCTCCTGTGTGCAGGGAGCCAGGCAGCGAGGCAGGGGCCCTGCAGAACCCTCTGGTGCTATGTGCGCCCCAGCCTGGGGGCAGGGCCTGACTCAGCGGAAAGGCAGGACAAGCTGGGAGCTGATCGCGGGAAGCCAGTACCTTCTGCTGGACAGCGGCTGGGCCCGGGGCGGCCTGTGGCTGGATGGCTTTCTGCTGCTGCACTGCTTGCTGCTTCAGCTTCAGCAGCTGCTGCACGTGCACGGGCTGGGCCACAACGGTCTGTCCTGCGAACACCGATCACGTGGGTGAGCCGTGAGTGCTCAGTCGGGGCTCCCTTTAAGTTCCCTGCATTTCCGAGTGACTGACTGGCTCAGACTGACTGCTTCCTACAGAAGCCTGAGTACACCAAGACAAAGCCATCTCTCACACACACGTCCCATGTTCCTGGGCCCGGCTACACTGACATTCAGGTCAGAGCACAGAAGCTCAGAATGGTACTGGTGAGATCCAGAGAAGCTGAGACACTTCCACAGGAACATACCACCACACCCTTGAAACGGGTGTCCAGCAAAGGAGCCACTTCCCCTAGAAAAGGCTTGTTAGCCCCACTCCAGTGGAGGGAGGGGCTGCACACAACAGGCACCTGCGGCTTTCTGCGGCTGCCCAATGGCCACACTGATCCCAGCGACGTTCATGGGCAGGGTCGTGACGCCCGGCGAGGAGACCACGGCCGCGGGCACGGACACCACCGGAGGCTTTGCCAGCGCCACCTGAGCCGGTGGGGGTGCCTGCGTCTGCATCTGGCCTTGTGCCTGCAGCTGCGAGGTGGGGACCCGGGTCTAAACAGGGAAGAGAAAGGGAGTCTGGAGAAGTTCAGGATGCTGTGCGTCGCTGCAAACACTGTCTACAAAAGTTCAAGCGGCGAGAAGCTGACAAGGCTGGAAAGTGGACGGCCAGAGGCCAGCAGCTCCCTGGAGGCTGACCGACGCTGCTTCACCTGTCCCGACAAATGCAGGGAACCAGGCTCAGCAAGACCTACCAGCCAGTCCGTCCCCCAGAGGCATTCAGAGACTGATTCTGTCACACGGCGTCTGTCTGTGCTTCCCCCTCATCTCCTGCCTATGCCTTAGGGCAACCCCATCATGCCATGTTGCCCACAGAACCTCTCGTTTCCTGGGCCTCCAGCTCAAGCTCACTGCCCTGAGCCCACTCACAGGGTTACCAAGCACTTTCTTAAAGTTTCATTTTAAAAAAGGGGAATGAAAAAAGACCCATTTTTATATGTATAAGAACTCGGGCTACTTAAGATACGAGGTAAAATCACCCAGAACCCACACACACTGCCGCAGACGAATGTGACAACCAGCATGGAGCCTGCCTGGGCTGCTCGTATTGTGCGGCCTGCTGGGAAAGCAGGCAGAGTGGGACGACTCAGACGTCTCGTCACCCGAGTGGTGCACAGCCCGCTGTGTGGATGCTGTGCGGGCTTCTAGGGAAGGTCTCGGTCGTGGGGACGAGGTTCCTCTAAACCAGTGGTTCTCAACCTTCCTAATGCCGCGACCCCTTAATACAGTTCCTCATGTTGTAGTGACCCCCAACCATAAAATTATGTTCGTTGCTACTCTATAACTGTAATTTTGCTACCGTTATGAATCGTAATGTACATATCTTTTTGTTTTCCGATGGTCTTAGGTGACCCCTGTGAAAGGGTCGTTCGACCCCCAAAGGGGTCATGACCCACAGTTTGAGAACCGTTGCTCTAAACAGTGCTGACACAAATAGGTGTGGCCACTCATCGCTTTACTTCTTCAGCATGTAACAGAAAGGGGATCGCCAGGTAAAGTCCAGTCTTGAGCTCAATTAATGGAATCCCATCCTGGAGGGAGCTGGTTCCTGCCCAGCCCCGGCCGTCACACCTCATCGCCACTCTCCTCATTTGAATTTGCACTTTTTGTGAATACAGGTGAAACCAAACTTCCTTTCCCAGGTTTTATCCACTTCTATCCCCTCTGGCAGACTTAAAATAGCCCCAAAATCCCAGCGTGCGTTGTGGGTGACTTGCCGTAGGATTTGGGCAGGTCACCTAAGCTGCCAGCCTCAGTTTCTACATCTGCAAAATGGAGCACCATTACAGCAGCCACTCGGCCTGGTCAGTGGTCCCTGAGCGCCGCTTGGGTGGCAGGTGTAGTGCCAGGGCAGCGCCTGAACCAGAGCAGGACCGGTGATGTGAGCTGTCACCAGAGCCACCACGGGGGCTGCCCATGCTGGGCGCTGGCTTGGCTGACATGTCTGTCCCACTCGATCAACACTTGCTGAATGTAACTGTCTTCCCTGACACGCCTCTTACCCTGTGTTCCTCCTTCAGGAGTCTCTCTGTGCTTACAAAGCACTGTGACGCCTGAGCCTGGCGTTCGGGCCTCGCCCACCTCCTGCCATCTCCTTTAGCCTCTCCTCCAGCATCCCTACCCCAGCAGCACTGGGATGTCCCCCACAGGCCCTACACGTCTCACCCTCCTACCCTCCTCTACCCCCCAGCACTCAGCCCATAAACTTTGTGACACCTAAGCTCTGGGAACATGGTCATTTAAGTGTTCCCCACAAGCTGTTTCGTCCTCTGCAAGGAGAGCTGAAGCTCTTGGGGAAGAACAGCTTGCCTTTTGTCTCAGCTCTAAGTCTGCCGGGACACCTGACAGGTCCTGAGCGAGCACCAAGAGTTCAGCTAAAATGTAAGCAGACTGCTCCGAAAGAACAAGCGTATCGGGAACTTACGAGCCGGGCCACCTGCAGGTTGGCCACGGTGGTGCCCGTGAGCAGGGCTCCGGGCCGCGAGGCTGTGACCGTGGTGAGCTGGGGGCTCTGCTGCTGTGTGGGCTGTGGCGGTTGCACCTGGGCAGCGGGCGGCGGGGGCCCCGGTGGGGCCTGCGGTGGGGGGGCCTGCGGGGGCAGCTGCAGCTTCTGTTTCTGCATCTTGATCAGGTGTTCCTGAAACCCAGATGAAACAGCCTTTCATCAACATGAACGGTTCCAGTGCTGGACGTCTCGGTGTCACGTTACTCTTCTACGATCCCTTAAATACCAAAGAACCAGCTGCTCGTATGCAGGGTGTGAACTGCCCTCCAGGGTCTTGCCATCGTTTTTTTTAAATGTTCCTTCATTAAAAATTAGCAAACCACTGACAAAAACGAGCAACACTGACTCTGACATTAGGAAATTCACACAACTTCTAGGGTCTTTTCACTCACAACTTAAACCTGCAGTGACATCAAAAATTTTAAAGATCTTAAAATCATGGTCCCTCTTGAGATTTTAAAATTATAAGATGTGTACCTGCTCTCAATTATTGTATTTATGCCGTCTCCAAAGGAAGATTTCATGAATAAATTTCATGTCTTTAAGTCAAAACATCATGAATCAAGATTCTATTTTTTAAGGAATACATGTTTTGTTTTTTACAAAATTCAAAAACTATATTTAAGGAATACATGTTTTGTTTTTTACAAAATTTACACTGAGTTGTTCATGACTATTAGATCTCTTCCAACATCCTGAAAATGAAACTAACTTTGAAAAAACTGAGAAGGAAGAATGTACAATGAAGGAACCATTAAGTGGGTAATGAGTGGGAAAGTGGGGCCCTGGGCAGCTGAGGGAGGGTGAGCAGGGCACGGACGGCCCTGAGGTCTCGAGTGGGAAGAGCAGGAGGGTGAGGAGAAGAGGCAGCCTGGCCGGAGACCAGCCCCGAAGACTCGCCCCTGCTGGGCCCTGTAACTCTCCTGCTCAGCACCGTGATGGACATGTCCCAGATCTGAGCTGTCCATACACACAGGGCCACAGCCCCGTGTGGCCACTAAGCCCCTGAAATGTGGCTGATCAACTGAGGCAATGTGTTACTGGGCTGTATCTCGTTTCTCTGGTGCGTCCCGGAGCCTCGGCGAAATGCCAGCACATCCCCCACAGACCTCCAGCAGGCCCGCCTGTCCCGTCTGGAACCGGGAAGCGTCAGGCCCAAGGTCAGGCACTTGTTGGGGCAGGCCTGACAGCTTGCTGGAATTCTAAAACAGTCTTGTTTTTATTACATGTTTTTCTAGTTACCTTCTAGGCCAAATATTAGTGCTTTTCCATTTATGGCAGGAATATTGAATTTCCTTTAAAAATAAGTTTTTTACATATATAACAGCACAGGTGAAACACAAACTGGCAGAACATCAGTACTCAAATGACCCCTTTGAGAAAAGAAGCTGCAAATGGGCTGTGTCCAAAATGCTGGTCTTCACACCTTGTCCCCCAGGCTGAGGGCTCTTCCCTAGCACCTGCTCTGGCTGGGGATGGGACCCTGTGGCCTCCAGTCGTCTCTGGAGCCTGACCCGCTGCACGGAGCACAGAAAGCAGGTGGGAAGATGTGCTGGGAACAAAACTGAGGCCTCCAGAGCACGGTGGGCCAGGCCCGCATGATTACGGAAGTACGCTGCACGGAAAGCTGTTTACACACACACTTCCTGTACAGCGACAGTGGCACATCTGTGACAAATACACCTGGAATTTCGGATGCAACAAGTTGTTGCCGAGTGCTCACCGGGGTCAGCTTGCTGACGGCTTTGATCTGCGTGGGCGGCTGGGCCTGGGCCGGGACCTGTGGGCCCTGCACCTGCGTGCTCTGCTGCTGCTGCTGCTGCTGCTGCTGCTGCTGCCGGAGGAGCTGGAAGTGTGCGGGCGTGATGGCCTTCCCAGGCAGTGGGACCCCTGCGGCTGGGGGGGCGTCGGGTTAGGCTGCGTGCGGGTGCAGCCCACTGCCCTCCCAGAACTAATGGAAGCCAGTTCGGGTTCCCACAGCGGGGCAGCTGAGCCATAGAAACCAAACCTGTGTTTACCTTGGGACACCTGAGTCACCAAAGATCGAGTTGGGGTCTGCACTGCAGTCAGGCTGGTAGTGACCACAGCTGAGGCTGTCACAGAGGTGACTGCTCGAACACCCTGAGTTGGTGCCAGGGACACCAGGTCGGAAGTGGCCGGGGAGCCAACCGCTCGCTGCTGGGTGTGGACCACCTGGGCAGGCGCTGAGCCTCCGGAGGTCTGGAAAGGCGAGAGGAGGGACTATCAGGTGGCTGCACTACTCTTCAAGGCCTTTACCGTCGTCGTCGTCGGGTGAAGAGAAAAGGGCAGCAGCCTCTGAACCCAAGGAGGTGACATGCGTCCTGAAGGTGCCAAAGGGAACCTTTGCTTGCAAATCCTAAGCAGTGCCGAGCTACACAGGGGGTTGGTTGGCCACACGAGGGACAAGCGTTTCAGACGACAACGTTCCCGCACCCATTCTGAATCCGAAATGCTGCCCTGTCCTGTCCTCATGCAAAGGATCTGCTCAGACTTCTGACCATCCTCTGGATACGGGATTTACCCCCGAACACACAGTCTAAGGTCCCAACTGTCCACTGCTATCCCCAGTCAGGCCGGAAGCTACAGCTTGAAACCTGCTGTGCACTCAGAGCTCATGGCACCCCAGCCTCACCCGGCTCAGAACTCGGAGCAGCCTTACTGCCAAGCGGCCCAGCTCTGACCCTCCATGTCCTGGCTGCCCCAGTCCTACAACAAACCGGTGGGCAAACCTTAGAACCCCCTCTGAGGTCGCCCTGCAATGGGCTGCCTGCCCCTGCGGGCCCCCGGGGCAGTCAGCATGTATTCCTGGGCCTCAGCCCATGTCTGACCTGGCCACACTTCATTAGTTGCCCGTCTAAGTGTAAATCCAGCGTTTCTGTCCCAGCTCTCAGGTCCACGCTTCTTTTACTCTCCTCTCCTGCCTTCTTGCAGATTATTTTCTTTTCCTCTCAGTTTTCCCTCTCACACAGGGGAAGTGACACTGTTTTGAATCTTTCGGTGGCTCGTCTAGTAATTATGTCATGAACATTTACCAAAGTTTAATCAGTAATTCACTTTTCCTGAATAAAGAGACTAACACGTTTTAGCCCCTGCAGCCCTTTCCCGCTTTCCACGTCACTGTTACTCTGCATATCATTTCTGTCCTTGTTAATCCCACAGCCAGTGCCTGTGTTTGTGAAGTCAATCATCACCTCAGTTGGCGCACGCACGTACTTCCTTCTTCTCGTCCTCAGACCTTCCATCTGGGAACACCTGAACATCTTCCTTCTGCCTAAAGTACGTCATTTAGTAAAGATCTGCTGGTGATTCAGTTTCTGTTTGAAAGGTTTTGTTTCATCCTGCTCTTCTGCGTATTTTTCAAGGAGGCAGGGCCCCGGGGTTGGTGGGTGTCTTCTCTCGCCAACTGTGTTCACTAATTCTCTCTTCAACTGTGTCAACTGAAATTAAGCCCAATTATCAGGTTGTTGTTTTTTTTTCAATTTGGTAACCATTTTTTCCATTTCTAAAACTTTTCTATATTCTTTTTAAATAGTTTCCTGGTTTTTATAGACAGTCTTAAGCTTCTCCTGTTTTATAATTTATGCCGAGTTGTCCTATTTTCTCGTGTCTTTAAGGGTCTGCCCACTGTCTGTGTTTTCTGCTTGTCCTTCTGAGCCCGCTGGTGACTCTCCAGAAAGCCTCCCCTGCCGTCTGCCACGTTCCTGCCTCAGGACAGGTGGGAGGGGCACTGTGGAAGCATGTCGTGTGTCTGAGTCACGTTTCTATCCCCACGTCACCAAGAAAAGTATCTTGTCCGTAAGAGGTGCTCAAACAATACATTGTGGGTGAATTATTTTCTTTTAAAATACACACAGAAACAGGTCTTTTTCAAAATAAAACATCAACTACATGGACTTGGGCTTTCTATCCTCACAGAAGTGGGGTGCTGGTCACACAGGTGCTCCTAACGCCCCAAGCCTGACAGCTTGTTAGTTACTGAAATGGCTGATTCTGAAGTGGTCTATTGCAAAGCAGGAAGGAAAATAAATGAAATAACCCTGAGTCACATCCTAGAAAAGCTGTTTTCAAGTATACTCTATTGCTTAAGAGTATTTTAGTTTTCAAGCCCGATTTACTGACATATAACTTACGTATACAGTAAAGTCACTTGTTTCAGGTATACGGTTCTATGAATTTTAACAAATGCACTTGGCCATGTAGCCTCCACCAGCATCCAGACTCAGATGTTGTTTCCTGTCCTTGTAGTTTTGCCTTTTCCATGTTATGAAATGGATCATACAGCATTTCACGCCGCGGCAGAGCCCCCACGCTGCTGCGTCCCAGCAGCTCCTCCCTGTGCTCAGCTGGGCAGTAGCGGGTGGGACGAGGCGCCCATCGGCCCTGCACTTGCCAGCTGATCAGAGCACACGGGGTTGCTCCCTTTCTTAGTTAGTAGTTGTGAAGCCACTGAACACATTCATGCTCAGGTTTGTTGTGCAGACATGTTTTCCTTCCTCTTGCGGGAAGCTGGGCAGTGGAACTGCTGGGCTGTATGGACAATGTATGCCCATTTTTATGAGAAATAGCCAAGCTGTTCTCCAAAGTGACGGCAAAACTGTGTATCCCATCAGCAACGAGAATTCGGCTGCTCTGCCTCTCTCAGTGTTTAGCATCACCCAGGCCTTTGAGGGTTTAAGCTATTCTTGTGGGTGCAGCACATCATCGCAGCTTTAATTTGCACTTCCCTGAGGACTGGTAACGCTGAGCACCTTTTCACACTGACTAGCTCTCCATACGTCTTCTTTGGTGAAGTACCAGCTCAAATCTTTTGTCCATTTTTCTAAAGTTGTTTGTTTTCTTATTACTGACTGAAGAAACTTTATATAATCTGAATGAATACCAGTCCTTTATCAGATATATTCTGCAAATATTTTTCATGCTTTTCATTTTAAAAATATTTTTCAAAGAGAAGTTTGTCATTTTGATGAAGTCTGATTTATTAACTTTTATAATTTACTGGCTTTTGGTACCCTAAGATCTTTGCCTAAAGCAAGGTGTTTTCTTCTGGAAGTGCTCCAGTTTGGGGTTTTACATTTAGGTCAATGACCCATTTTGAGAGAGAAGGTAAATCACAGGTCATGGCTCCTGTTTTGCCCGTGGTGACCCAAGTCTGCCAGCCGTGTTTGCTGACAAGCCTATCCTTCCTCCATGAGTCCCCACGGCACGCTTAATGAAACGCAACCAACCACGCGTGTGGGTGTTCCAGACTCCCCGTTTACCCTGGGATCTGAGTGTGTCCCCTTCTGCCAGCACCACCCTATCTACATTACATCTTTGTAGGAAAGACACTTGGCAAAACCCAAGAGGGACATTCCACTTGCCAAGGCACTGCTGACTCTGAAGCAGTATCTTCTCATTCAGGGCTCGTGTTGCCTTTGGAAATCAGGACGTAAATTTAAACTCCTAAATCTAAGTTGTGTATTTTTCTTTTTACGGTGAAACAGCACAGACAAGCAGGTGGCTTGACATAGTGTGTGTCTTGAGGAACGCGCGGTATCCTCTGGTTAGCACCCTGCTTACACAGGGGTCTTTGGCGCCACATCCCTCTGCCCAAGTGTGGCCCCCACCTGCTCCCGCACCTGGGTCTAGACACCCCATAAACTGACCACCCCCTTCTGCACCCTGCCTGACCCCCTCCCACAGCGAAATCCCCCCAAGAGCGACCATCTCTGCATCCTCACACGTCACTCCCACCCCCAGGATGAGGGGCACCTCTCAGTGGAGTCTGAAAGCCCAACACAGAGACCTCCCCTGAACGCGTGAGCATTCATGTTATGTGGTGAAGCTAACTAGGTCAGTGCTGTCTGCACCCATAGAGCAGGGGCGACTCACCGCCAAGGCTCCAGGTGCCACAGGTGAAGCGAGGCGCTTGTTAATCGACTGGAAGGTGGCGGCAGGGACGCCTGCGATGGTGTTCACGATCACGTTCCCGCTCACTGTGCCTGCAGAGAAGGGTCTGTGAGGCAGGGGCTCGCTGAGGCAGCCAGTCCTCACTGCGGCACCGCTGACTTCTTACCTGCTGGCATGCTTGTCCCCGTAACGGATGTTTTAATGGCTCCTGCCTGCTGAAGAAAGAAGCCATTGAATCTCAGGTCCAGCTCGCATACACGTCCACATCAGCCACCTTCCCAAAGCTTCCACATCACCAGAATCAAATGCAAACTTCTGAGGACAGCACCCTGGCCAGACAGACCAACTCCAGCACTCTCTGTCCCCCGCCCATTGCAGTGCTGCAGTGACTGTCTCTCAGTCACTGGGCTCGGCCATGCTGACCCTTCTGACCCCAGGCTGCCAAGCTCAGGGCTTCTGCCCTTGCTGTTTTCTGTTCTTTTCTGACTGACACTTATCACTCAGACCACAGCTCCAGGGCCAGCTCCGAACAAAGTCCCTTCTTCCTGACCACGCACCACTGCTCTCCTTGAGGTCCTGCCTGGCTGGGCTGCCCCAGCAGGAGGCCTCCGTTTGTGTAGGGAGCAGCGCTCATGTCAGGCGGGTGCTTGACGAGTGCATTTTCTGAATGAATGAGGGATAAGCTGCGGAGCACATAAACATTCCACCACTGCCAACAGGGTTCAAACAAGGGGGCGGTCCTCCGTGACAACCACCCCCGTGCTGGGCAGACACTGCGGACAGCAGCTTCCCGCCCAGGCCCAGGCGCTCCCTAACGTGACCTCGCGAGCCTGCCTCTTTCCTTTGCCTGTACACTTTACCGGTTTTCTCTAATGGGACTAAGGTTCATGCGTGTGCATGAGCACGGGTTCATGTGCTTTGAGTAGCAGGGAGGGGTCAGAAGAAAGTCTGCAAACTGGCAGACAGTATCTGTTCTGCGGGCTTGAGGGCAGACAGGGGGACTTCTTTGTCAGGCTCACAAATCCTGTGTAACTCCAAACGTCCCAGCCACCCGCACCTCCAAATCGCTCCTGAACTCACCCTGCTGCACACGCCCAGGGAAGACAGAGCCCCCAGGAGGACAGAGCCCCGAGAGGACAGACCAGCAGAGAGGCGAAGACGTGTGCCCCCAGAGGGCTCCCCCACCTGCACCCCCCACCGCTTTCCTGGAAGAAGGGCTGCTCACCAGCACAGCGGCGCTGCCCACCGTGGTGATTGCGGGAGGCGCCTTCGGTGGGGGCTGCGTGGGCTGCGCTGGGGGCTGTGCCTGGGCAGGTGGTGGCACGGTGGGTGGGGCCGGCTGCTGGCTGCCCGCCGTAGGGGGCTGGGGCAGCGGCGGAGGGGGCTGCTGGGGGGGCGGCGGCTGCGGAGGGGGCGGCGGGGGCTGTGCCACTGGCGGCTGCTGAGCCTTCTGCTGATCCGCCAGAGCCTACAGGGCAGGAGGGCGTGGGTAGGGCAACCACCCGCTGGTAGGACCCGCCCCCCGCCACAGGCCCCGCCCAATGGCCGACAGCCCCGCAGGCCCCACCCCCGCAGGAGGCCCCGCCCAGGCTGCCACACCTTCTTCTCTTTGGCGATCCGCTCTGCGCGGAGAGATGCAACCTGAATAGGAGGCAGGGGTTTGTCGTAGTTGATTCCACTGTAAGACAAAAACAAAAGTTAAAAATAAACCGGCAGGTTCTGAAGCAGACCAATATTCTAGGAACCCAAAGCCCTAGAGGACTTTTCAAGCTGAGGAGTACTGGGGGCAGCTCCAATTCAGCCCAAAGGCAGGGGCACTGGGAGGGCCAGCCCTGCGAAGGACGAGGTGCCTCAGGAGGTCCGCGCCCGCGTCGGGTCCCTTCCAGGCCCGTCAACCCGGGAGCCCTGCGGCTTCAGGACCCCGGGCGGCAGCATGAACCCCCAGCCGTCCACACACTAGGCCCCAGGCAGAGCCTGACCGGCAAACTCCCCACAGGTCTCCCCCCGCCCCTTGTAGAGCCGCTGTTCCTGGGGGCTCCGGTATCTTCTCCCACCGACCCTCGCCAGTCCTCCTGTCACAGAGAGGCTGGCCTGGCTGAACACCGTGCTCTCCCTCCCTGTCCCAGGCCTCCCACCAGTATGGCCAGGCCCCTGCTGCACCTGCCTCCGGGTCACCACCTTCTCACCCTTTCTCTGCCCTCACTCACGTCAGCCCACCCAGCCCCCGCTGAGTCCTGCCCATGGCCCGGCAGCCTCCCTCACCCTGTGTCCCTTCATCACACTCATTGGTAAAGCCAAAGCCACACCCACACTGACTGCCCGGTCAGCCTGCTGGGGGGCCGGGACTGAGATCCTGCACTGCTGGGGGCAAAATCCAACTGGGGCCCAGCCACCCAGTCTCCTGCTCCACAGGGAGCCCCCACCTCCCACTGCCCTGGCACACGGCCTGGCTCCGTCCTCACAGCAGGCCACGCCGGGTGTCACCTGTGGCTCCTGCAGCACACCTGGAAACGGCCCTGCCTCTGCCGCCTGCCCTGTGCTCTCCTCTCACCTCCTCGTCCTGTCCACCAGCATCTAAACGGGATCCTTCTCTGCCCCAAACCAAACGCACAAAAACACAGCCAAGCCCCCAAGTGCCCCTCTGGATCTACACTCACCCTAAACCCTCTGCAACTCACTGCAATCACGCTTCGGCCCAAACTGCTCCCGAGACCCCAGTCACCTCCTCGCTGGTGCGCCTGCCTCGGCGGTGCCACCGCAGGGGGCTCCCTCCTCCCTGCTCGGGTGACCCGACTTCTCCTGCCCCCTTGGCTCCACGCACACAGGGACTGGCCCGATGTGGCTCTACCCTCACCTGGAGGAACATCTCGACTTCCCCAGCCAGCCACATGCTGCCGGCCAGGCCCTTCGCAGAAGGCCCCCCGCCCTCGGCTCTGCTAGGCTGTCTATTCACGGCCAGGATGTGCCCTGAGCCTCTGTAAGGATCACACAGCGTTTGCCTCGCAAAAGCTACAAAGCGGGACAGACTGCTCCTGTCTTGTTCACTGCTGAGCCCCCAGACCCGGCATGGTAAGCGAAATCATCTGTTAATTTAATCACAAGTACATACTGAATGCCTGCTCTGTGCCTCTAGACTTTAGAATTCCTACATCCACGGAGCTCAGACAGATGCTAAGCCAGTCGCGTTAAAATGCGACCGTGACTCGCACTATGAAGAAAAACGGGCCGGGGTGCCGCTTTTCAACAAGGTGAAGAAGGTGACTGTGAGAGAGGGCCTCGGGGAGAGGGGCCAGCCGTGCAGACACCGGGGAGGCATGGCCAGAGGCGGAGCTGACAGAGCTGTGCCCAGCCTAGGGCTGCCCGAGAGCTGGGCACAGAGGCCAGTAGAAAGCAGGCCATCAGGTAGGGCCTGCACCTCACCTGGGCGATGATGAAGGCTTGAACCAGAGGGGGCAACTGGGTTTCACCTGAACATGTATTTCCCCAATATTTTAATGTAAAAAGTCAAACACAGAAGTTGCAGGGACCCCACAGCAGGTGCTCTGTCCCCCGCACCCAGACCCCACAATTCTATTGACTGCATTTGCTCCCTCACACCCTCACTTCTCCACCCATCTGTCTTTTTTTCCTTTGATGAGTTTCAAAGCAAGTACACTCAGCCCCAAACTGGATGTATTTTATGAAAGCGGCAACACAATGCTTGTCAGATTAGAGCGGGCATGAGGAGGGGGGAGAAAGCCCCTCCCGCCCTGTCATTGGTCGTGTGTCCAATGACAGTGTGTCCATTGTCCAGACTGCAGGCAAGGACACCCTCCTTGTGAGAACAATGATGCTTGCCCCACCCTGACCCTGTCCCAGCTGACTAGAACACACTGTTTGCACAAATCTTCACTAAGCTTGCTGGGTTTAAGAGGACACCGAAACGTAACCACTTCAAAAAGTGAAAAGCGTGTCACAGACATCGAATTACCTTTCTGCCAACACGGAGGCGTGCTTGGGGTTTTTCTGGAAAGGGTTCATGCCAAGCCTGCAGCACAGACAGGAGACAAGAGTTACCGATGGAATGAACAAGGAATGCTAGGGACAAACCAGGAGGTCTCGGCCCGGCTACCCGCGCAGGGAGGCCCCGGGGCCTACAGAGGCTTGATGGGGGGGCTCCGCTTCCCGGCTGTCATCTTCATCAGGTCAAAGTGGCTCGTGTACAGCTGGGTGTGCGTGGCATTCTCGTCCTGGGCGTACATCTGGCCTGTGCGCAGAGGGCGGTTGTTCTTGCTCTGAAACAGGATGGATGCAGCCTATCGTCACACGGTGGCCCTGTCAACGGGCTTCGCTGACCCAGAGGCCCCATGGTGAGCCCGTCATTAGACCAAGGCCCCCCTTCCTGACACAGTGGCCGGCACCTGCCGAGTGCTGACGCCACCCCTCAGTCTGTGTGGGGCCTTTGTGCACGTGTTCTGAGGGAGCCTCCCAGCTTCCCAGAGACGGGGAGCCCACCTTCAGCTGGGAGGACAGTTGGCCAAGCGCCTGAGGCCACACAAATGACGCAGAGCCCACACCTTCACTGGCAATCCGACCCTCCCTGTGGCCTCTGCCCAGAGTGGACAGTGGAGGGGACTGACATCTGAGGCTGTTCTTGGGGGGCCTCAGCACTGCTTGTGCCCGGTAATCTTGCCTTTGTAAGTCCCACAGCTACAGCAAGCCTGCTGCCAACACAACCCAGGACCGGTGGAACTCAGAGCAACCCCTCGGCCACACAGAGAATCCGGCCCCGCAGAGTAGTATGTGCAAGGCCAGAGGCTGGGCCCAGGCACTTGAGCTCCACAGTGCCTGCCCAGGGCCCTCCTGTGCCACTGAGCTGAGAGGCAAATGCACAGAAAGCCCAGGCTCCCACAGGAAGAGTGCCGCGCGTGGCAGAGGGTGCATGTGCGCTTGTGCGGACACATGCTCGTGTTGTCCATGCTCAGTGAGCGCCTTCAGTCGGGAGGGGAACAGGAGAAAGTCAAGAGCCACAGAACCAAGGTATGGGGGCGACCCCACTGTGCGGCTGCCTGATGCAGACCACTGTGTACACACTCCCATGCCAAGGACCGCGAGAGTCGGCCAAGCCTGGGGCAGAGCCTGGCCACAGCATGCGGGCCATGTGTGAGGGGACCCTACTCTGGTTTGCCTGCGTGTGAAGCACCCCCCCTTAACAGCCTGGAGCCAGCAGGGCCTCATGTGCACCTCTCCCACCAGCACACTCCTCTGACCGCTGCCACTATCACAGGCTCCAACAGGGCGCGAACAGCGTCGGCCTCTACAGCAAAGACACAAATCCTCTAGAGCAGGGGTCGGCAAACTTTTGAGACAGAAGAGCCACTCCTGTCCCTCACAACAATTTAAAAAGTATTCAAGAGCCGTAGAACAAATGAAATCACCATTACGTGAATAATATCGTTTAAAAATTTTACCCAAAAAAAAAATTATAAATGAAACTATGAGAGTTTTATTTTCATTTTCAATTTTACTTCAGAGCCACATGTATGTACCCAAAGGGCCGCATGTGGCTTGTGAGCCGCCGTTTGCCGACCCCGACTGTAGAAGGACAGCACGAAGCACGCGGGGGGCTGAGTCAGGCACCTTCCTTTCACAGGCGCTAAACGCGGCCTTGCAGTTCACTCAGCATCCCCACCACACCTGACAAACGCTCCTGGCCTGCCTTCTTCCATCGGCTTCACCCACCAGCTACAAGACGACAAAACCTCACCCTCACGTTTTCCCACGTTAAAGTTACAGCTGCTGTTAAAAATGCTTCCAAAACATAACAGACCTAAAGCAAGATTTCAGAAGTCTTCCTGGTGAAGGCCCCACAAATAGTATTCTCAGGAAAGCTTACTTTTTGTTTCTAAACAAGAAAACCCCAAATGCCTTATTTTGAGAGAATTATTTTAGAAGCATGAACCTGAGAGGATTCAAAGGCTGGATACAGAAACCATTAACAGAGGCAAACTGGGCACCTGCCCGCCGCAGCATACGCAGACACGTGACCGTCCTTGCCATTCTGACGGGACATTAGCACTGGAAGTGAGGACCCCTACTCTAGAGAGCACGGGGCACTTGTGACTGCTGGTGTGACCAGCCCGCAGGGGCCTTCTGTAAAGAGCTGTGGACCCTGCCCTAAGGAGAGGCGGGTTGTCGAGTGGCAAGAAGGGGGTGGGGGCTGCATGAAGACAGTGGATGGAGGAGGAGGAAGAGACGGATTACGCTCCAGAAGGACAAGAAAAGGCCCCCGAGTAGCGACCTGCACTGGAAGAGGCCTCCTTGTCAGCAGAGCTGCCTCCTTGGACTTCCTGGTGACAGACACCAAGTACCCGGCTGTCCTGCGGTCAACGGCATCCACGATGCTCGTAGCTGGGAGGGACCAGAGTGTCTACAGCGTTGTCATATTAGTGCAATGGCCGCAAGGCCAGTGAGGCGCTGACAGATGTTCCTTCAAATGAGCTAATAGTGCGAAGCAAACACTTTTCGTCTACCTACCCGGCACAAAGGAAGACAAAGGGGGGACCAAGTGCTCGATGGTGCCAGGAGCCACCAAGATGGTGGCACAGAGAATTTTCCGAATGCCAAGCAGCACGGATGCTGCGGATGGGTCATTTCAACACGGGGGCTCATGCCTGCACGACGTGTGGCCATGCAACCCCCCACCCTCCCACGGGCGTTCACCTCATTGTCCCCCAGCACCCACCTTGCCCTCCTCCCTGGGGATGAGCACCGTCTCGTAACGGCTCCGGCACTGCTTGGAAGAGCGGTAGATGCGGCTGCAGGAGTTGACGACGTCGCTGACGAGGTCCCAGTTGGGCGTGTGGGCTGGGGACACGATCGTGAGGTTCAGGGGCAGCTCCAGCAGCTGCTTCACGGCCTGGAGAACCAAGGTCAGGCAGAAGTCACCTAGCTGAGCACCGTCAGGCGTCCCCCTTTCCAAAAGGGTTGGGTGGCGTGGACGTGCGTGTGGGGATGCGTGGCTGTGGGCTCACCTGCAGCAGCGCCCAGTCCTCGCTGACCAGCCACTCGGGGTTGTCAGGACCTGACTCGGTGGCTGGTTTGGCAAATGTCGGCAAAGGCTTGGCAAACTGCGTCTGCTGCTTCAGCAGCACGTTCTTCTTTTGGTCCTTGCCCTCTCGCCGCATCTTCAGCAGGCCCGGGGCAGCACGGTCGAACAGGGACCTCGGGGGGACGACAGCCTCCCCGTGCCGCTGCTTCTTCTTCCTGCCGGCGGCTGCACAGAGAGGCAGCCCAGACCGCAGTCACCAGGGCACCCAGGGGAAGGGTCAAGGCGCCCCCCAAGGAGGCCTGTCACCAAAGAGCCCAGGAGCCGCCAGCACAGACTAACCCTCTCCTGCTCTCCCTGCTAATGGGCCGTCATCGGGAAGGCCCTCACTGCCTGTAGGAACAGCATCGGGACGCGTGGGCATGGCCGACAGGTGCGCACCTGAGGGGTCCGTCTTGTGTCGCCTGCGTTCCCTCCTCACGTACACAGGAGGCAGCTTGGACTCCGGGATTGGCGTTGTCTCGTACATGAGACACATGACCGAGTCGATGTAGATGTCGTTGTCGTCCTGGGGGGGCGTGGGAGGCGTCCAGAGCTGCGGGGACAAGGGCAAGGCCATGAGCTGTGATATACAGAGGAAGGCACAGCACGCAAAGGGGACGAGGCACTCACCGGCATGACTTCCGTCTGCCCGTCGGCACCTTCGCAGATGTACTCCTATGGGAAAGGAGGCGTTTTCAACTTGACAGGCATGGTTTCCCAATTCAAGCCACGGAGAATGTACCTTCACCCTCCTAAGGCCTCAAAGTAAGTACAACGGGCCTCACTAGCTCTAAGGCTCACAATGCGTTTTAATCACAGCTGGCAACACGTAGCCGGCAAACGGGGCCTCACCCGCTGGGAGGGCAGGCACATACCGCGCTGTAGGCATCCTCCCTGGTGTAGGTCAGCAGCTGCTCCTGCTCCCGCTCCCGCAGCGCCTGGGCCTCCTGTGCCCGCAGCGCCCGCAGGTTCTGGGCCTCCCAGGCCCTCAGGGCACTCAGAACAACATCCTGAAGGGAGAGCACAGGTTCGGACAGGCTCGGACCACCACACCCAGCCCACCCCAGGGCTCCCGCCGCCTGTCCCTTCCCTCCTGTCTCGCCTCCAGCACGGTCACACTCAGACAGAGGAACCCCTGCTTCTGTCATGGACCCCTCTCCTAGTGATGGCTGCTCATTTTCCAGAACCTCTTACACTCCCAACACAGAGCCAGCCATCGAGCACCACACTCCTTCAAAGCAAATTAAAATTTTGCCCACATAGGGTTTCCGAGGCTTTTCTTATCAATCAGCGTCTACACTTTTGGGACTTGGGTTTTATTCCTTTGATTCGTGGTGAGTCACATTTACTTCAAACCCAACTACACGCTGAAGATTTTGAGACTCTCGCGGATTAAGATGATCAAGTTCACCTCTCACCTCACTATTTCTCTCCTTCTCGTGATCGATGGAAGTATGGAATAATTCCAGGTAATTCAAAGCATATTTTTCAATTGGTGTAAGCTGTTCCAAAAATATATTTTTTCAATAGGGTTAGTAGCAAGTTAAGAAGGGTTAAGTTCTTTATAATACCCCACCAACATCTGAGTCAAAAGAATAATTATTCTTGGCCAAAGTGAAGAACAAATATTTAATAAATGGAGTCAAACTTTAAAAACATTTGGCTATAAAGAAAAAAATTTAGTTGAAGCAAAAAATCGAAAACGCCAAACCTGTTCCATGAAGTCAGCCAGCTCCTCCAACTGTGAGGGCGTCTGGTCCCGCCCGGCACTGTCGGGATCCGGGGAGCCGGGCACGGCCTCCTCCGCGGGCCTCTGTGCGTCTTCCTCCAGATACTCGATGCTCCTCAGGGCCTGAAAGTAACGTGTTCATGTCAGATCACTCTGGTATAGTTTTTTTAAGTTTTAAATCCAGGGGCTCTGAGAGAGCACCCCGCCACACAAGGTACCTGGAGGCCCACGCCGCACATGGCACCCCAGGTGATGCACTCGTTCGAGAGCCCCTCATACATGTGCCACGGCACCGAGGGGACAAATAAGTGTGACACACTCATCACAGGGAAAAGCCACAGGCACACACGCGACACACATGCATGCGGACACGCACAGCAAAGCTCCCAGGCCAGGCCCAGAGCAAGACGGGTGGCTAGTCCATTGCCAACACCCATCACGGCCACAGGTCCTGAGCAGAGCGAGCAGCTGTCCACAGCACACGAGACACAGGCACATCCATGGCCCCAACAGGCGGAGAACCACCCAACATCAAGGTGGCCAAAAACAAGCTCACAGAAAAGGGGATGCGGATGACGAAAGGCCCATAAGCCTGTCCCAACAGCTGGGAGCCACCTGACCGGTGTGACAGATGTGGAGACGCTCACGTGGGATGTTACTGTTCCGGTTAGCGGATGACACCACCTGGTACAACCTCTCATCAGGGCCATTTGGCACAGTCTGCACGGTTTACACCATAACCCTATCTCACACTAGACAGACACTGCTCCAGGCAGATCAAACATCTGCACGTGAAGAATAAACACTGGAACGTCTAGGAGAAAATGAAGGAACGCATCATGCTGACCTCAGCATCAGGGGCCCCTGCACACAGAGCACACAGCACCACGCACACGCCAGGGGCAATCCGGTCCAGTCCGCTGGGTGGCATCAGGACCAAGAATGCCGGCTCCTGGCAAGACGGCATTTAAAAAGGCAAACAGCAGGCTGGGGAGATGCCCCACGCATCCAACAAAGGCCTTGCATCCAGAACATGTAAAGAACCCACCGAGTCGTTGAGACAGACAACCCAGCTACAAAACGCGGGACAGGTGTCAGCAGGCGCATCGGGAGGCGTTCACGCTCACGACGCGCCTCAGGAGGCTGCCGATGGACACAGTAGGCAGCACACACTCGGCAGCCACCAGCCACACGCCGCTCCAGGCAGGGCCCCGCACACGTCCACGGACAAGCCACATCCCGGTGGCACAAGCAGCCACACCACGCTCCTGTGCTGCTGCCGGGAGGGCAGCTGGCACAACCACCTCGGAAACGGCAGCTTCTGTCTGTGGCAAATGTGCTCACGGGAGACCCAGGGACTCCACCCCAAGGCACAGTCAGCAGAAATGCACATGTGTCTACACCAAACGACACATGGGAACACAGAAGCATGACTCAAAGCACAGTCCCGTCACGTGGGCTAACAGAGGACATGACAATGGAACAAACGTCACTGAGCAGGACAAGAAGCCTGGCCCTGGAGAGCAGCCTCCGTCTGCGCCAAGTTAAAAACCGACAGCGGTGCAGTCGGGAAGAAGAGGGAGCAGTGGGAAGGGCAGGCAGTCCCCGGTTGCTGCTGACACCCCCCTCACCCGGGCGCTGGCACTGGAAACCGTTCGAGCGGTCCTTACGGTGGGGTACTCCTCTGCATGTCACCTTCATGCCCAAAACCTCTGGTGAGCGTCCCACAGCTGAAAACTACAGCTACACCAGCACCCCAGACGCTGAAAGTAAAGGGTGCCACACACAACTGCTCACCACCCCGGGGCTGGTGGGCACAGGGAGCTGCCCTGACTTTCACCCATGTCCACAAAGCCCATCGACTTTGCTCTTCAAAGTCCCTCCATTCTCCCCACGCCCGCCTGTCTACACTGCTGCCAACCGTCATTGCTACTGGCCTCTGAGCTGATCCCCACGGTCTAGTCTCAGCACACAGCCACGTGACCGTTTTGCATAACATGCCCAGTCAGCCTCGTCTCCATCACCCCTCAGCCCACTGTCCACACATGGAGGCAGGCCCCCCACACGCTGTTCTCGGCCCGTGACGCGCTCCGTCCCCTGGCCCGGCTGCTCGGCACTGCACACAGCCTGGGTGAGGATGCGCCCATCGCACTCGCTTGCGGGCTTGCCTCTCTCCCCCCTGCCTAGAACATAAGCTCCCTGGAGGGTGAGACTTTTATCTTTTTTCCAATGCTAGTCCCTATGCCTAGGATGGTAATGAGGCAGTCAGACCTATGCCAACACGTGTGCAAAGGGTGCTCGCTGAGACACGATACTTCTTTGAAGAAAACAAAGCAGGGATCTGTGCTAACACGCGACATCTCCAAGTACCAGGAAAACAGAGCGGCTGTGTCCCGCACTCACACGCACATCCTCGTGCCTCGTGCTCTTCCTCCAGGAAACCGTGACGTGTTTAGCAGTGTTCGACGGCCACGCCCGGGACAAACTCTATTGCCCCTACTGTCCTTGCGTGCTGTCAGAGCCGCTTTCCAACCGCATGCATATAGCACCTATCTTAAAAGCACAGGTAGGTCTCTGTGCCTCCCGGTAGAGAAACGAGACGTCTCTGTGCCAGGGCCCCGACACAGAGCAAGCGCCCCGAAGCAGACAGGACGTAGCCAGACAGTGGCTGTGAGGCCTGTGCGGGAGCCCGACTTCACTATAAACCCTTGAACTTCAGCCCTGCACTGGTTGCTTCTCAATACCCAGACAGTTGGTTTTTAAAAATGGAAGAGGGGGTGTTGAGTCCTGAGCAAGGAAGGGCCTCAGCCCCATGACGACGACGACGACAATGACAATGATGCAGCCCCACAGGCCTCCCAGCAGGGGAGGACCCAGGGGAGCCCAGAGCCTGCCAGACAAAGGGTCGGGCCCAAGGCAGGTGGCTGCCCCACGGCATCAGGGCAGGCTCCGTCTGTCCTCACCTCTATGAAAGGTCGTGCAATTTTGGGCGCGATGGTTTCTGTGACAGAAGGTTCTTGAGAAAGGACAACAAACTCCTCGGCTTTCACTGGGAAGCCAGCGTCGTCCATGGGTGAGCACACCTCGAACAGCTCCTGGATGGTCCGCTGAACACAGAGTACACGTCACTCCCCCAGAACAAGGAGACGCCCGCATCCCCGCGGTGACCCCTGGGCCTGAGCAGACGCAGGTACCTGTGTCAAGAAGGCCATGGAGTAGTCGTTCCCCTGTGCGGCCACCTCTCGGATCAAGTCTTTGGTGCCGTTTTTCAACAATTTCTCTTCAATGGAATTGCCACTCACAAGCCTGCAAACAAAACACAGACACACAATGACAGTCAGGTCACGGGAGCACAAGGACCCCCGTGGGGCTGCACAGAGTAGCGGGGGGGGGGAGTGCTGTGAGGCTTCCAAAGCACATGTGGCCATGCTGGGAGCTTCCTCCTTCCCTCGGGTGGGGTGGGAGGTGGCCAGAGGCCTGGTGGTGCACCGCCCCTCCCACCCTGCCCTGCTGTGTCCCCACCTCCCCGGCAGCACGAGGCAGGCCCCTTCTGCCATCTCCAGTGCTGACAGCGTGCGGCACACCCCTGCGTACCCTCACTCACTCACACACCCATCTGCTGGCTGCCTCCCACGGACAGGACCACAGAAATCCCAATGAACTGTTTCTATCTAGTGGCTGCCTGGCACAGGGCTGTGGGGCAGCCCAGGACAGCATTCACAGGTCCTGCTTCGTGTGAGTGGGCAGACTCCTGGAGGGTGACGCTGGGCCAAGGGCACATGCGATCTGCATGTCACCAGACATGGCTGAACCACTCCGGGAGCAGCGAGGGAACCCCATGTCTCCAGTGAGCCCCCCCCACCGGGACTGCCGGTAGACATGCCCTTTCTGGTCTCACCTGTCACAGGAGCCCTGCACCTCTCTGAGGCACGTGAGGAGAAAGGCCATCGCACATTCAACCTGCGCTGCTTTCTGCCTGCCCATGAACTTGGGCATATCATCATGTGTTTTTGGCCACCTGGAACCCCCTGTTCATATTCTCAGGTTCTCTCCCCTTTTTCTTAAACAAGGGGGTCCTCTACCTTTCTTCTCGACTTGTAAGAGCTATTTAACCCTCTGTCTGTTCTGAGAATTGCAAATAGTTTCCCCAGCCATTAGGTCTGCTTATGGCATCACTATACTTAAATTTCTATTTGACTGAGGTCCAATCTCTCTCTCTCTCTCCTTCCTTGTGTGTTGTTTCGGTAAAGTGATCCTCTTCGAGCTCCAGGCTACAGGGATCTCTCAGACACCGTTCTAAGACTGCTGCTTTATTTTCACACTTATGTCCTTAACCCATTAGGACTGTATTCTGGTTGTCATGTGGGCACCGGTGCGCCAACCCCATCCTCTTGCTCGCAGGCAGCACAGCACTGGCAGCAGCTTTTACTAGATAAACCAGGCCCCACTCACGCTGACATGCCAGCCTAGGCTCTCACTCCCAGCACCGCTGGGCTGTTCTGGTTCTGATAGCACCCAAGAGGGCCGCAGCGGCTCGGAGCGATGTCTCATAGCAGCTGTGTGTGTGCTGAGGGCACACCCTGCACCACTCTATCTGCGGCCCTTTCCATCAGTTCTGCCATGTCAGGCAGGTACCTCTCACTCCAGCTACACTTTAAAACCACCTGATCCAACTGTGTATGCGCACGTGTGCACAAATTTTGTGGCTTGGGACACCAGAGGGCCCCGGTTCGGATCCGACATGAGGGCCAGTGACACTGCCCTCTATAGCTAAGATGCTGAACAACAGCTCAACCTGGAGTTGGGCTGCCGTAAGTCGCCGGCGACAGTATAGGCTGCAGCCACTGCTGCAGTGGGTTGCCATGGGCTACCGTGTGTCGCCAGCAGCCAGCGTGAACGGCCAGCAGCCGCAGTGAGCGGCCGTCCAGAAGCCGGCGACTGAACTGCCTCGCCCGGGAAGAGCCGCAATGATAGTGCCAACTTGGGCCAGTGAAGCAACATCCTCCACAACTACACTGAAGAACAAAAGGACAGCAAACTTGTCTGTTCCCCTTCCCCCAATAAAAATCTTAAAAAATAAAATAAAATAAAATTTAAAAAGGGGGTTACAGGGCCGGCCGAGTGGCTCAGTTGGTTAAGAGCTTGCTCAAGAGTGTGAGCTCTGAGCTGCCAATAGGTGGCAGGCCGGCTCAGCTAAAAAAAAAAAAAAGGGGGTGGGGTGGGGGGTGTTACCAAAAAAGACTGATGGCAGGACCCACGTCTGGAGAGACATGCCCCCAAAATGTCACTAATTGCTATCTCTGGGGATACTCCTTTTTCTCTACATGCTTTTCTTTTTTGTTTTTTTAAATAATAGGTAACACGTTGATGATCAAAATTAATGCTAAAGCTACTTAAATATAGCAGTGGGGCGACTACGTCTTGATAGAAACAGCCGGGTTACGTGAACAACCCACGGTCTTGGTCCTGGGCCAGCCAGAGCCTGGGAGGCTTCACATGAGGGACCATATACGTCCCACGGAGGGCAGATTCCACGAGCAGGGGCATGGCTAGTGCTCAGCACACACCGGACACAAAATAACAAGCAACAGTATGCAGACCGTGTTATTACACCGTCAGTCAGCAGAACGCACACCCCTATTATCACACAGTAAGTACATTTCGAAGTTCAGAAACAGAGCAGAGCCTCCTTCATTTTCCTCAATTACCTACGTTGGGCTAGTCATAAGATTTCAATTCTTTCAACAGCCGATTTGCTAACAGGTACTTTGTACCTGATATTCGTTGAAATGACCTAGAATATGCATCATCCCTTTAAGGCTCAGTTACCCTAAAAGACGCACAACAAGCACGTGCTGAAAAGACAGCAAGTTACAAGCAACATAACAGGCACAGTTTCAAGCAATCGCAATGTCACGTGTAAAGAAGGAATACATAAAGCAGCAGGGGCAGGAGTCGGCCTGCAGGAAACAGACAGCACTGGAGTGAGCTGCCCACCTGCGGCCTCACCTGTATATGTGCACGTCCGTGCGCCGCCCGATCCTGTCACACCACTCCTGGGCCTTGGCGTCCATCACTGGGTTCAGGTCGTTGTCATAGAACACCACGGCGTCGGCCTCCACCAGGCTCACGCCGGTGGCACGGCTGTGAGTGGAGAGGATGGCACAGAACACACGCCGGTCTCTGTTGAAGCTCCTCATCAGCTCCTACGATGACATGACACCCCCGCGTGACACGCCTGCAAACGCTGGGCCACCTTCACACTTCCTAATGCGTATCGGTTAGAAATTGTCCCATGACCGGACTGCTTTGTGTTTCCGTGTTCAAATCACACCAAGTTTTAGCACTTTACTCTGGCTCTTTTTGGCACTTGTGTCCTCTTGCTTACTGGTCACAAACATCCCACACACCGTTTAAATCACACGACTCGTCACTTGCCAAAAGGAAAACATCAGGTTCCCTGTATCAAGGGCTGTCAGCTCAATTCGTAGGCCCCACAAGAAAACAGAGTCTTCCTGGGGAGAGTCTGTGCTTTTTTCATGTACCCCCAGGCAATGCCAGGGCACTTTACAGCAGAAAGCCCCTGGAGTAAGGCTGAGGGCGTGGGAGGAGCTGGACGCAGGCCCAGCACCCACTCTGGGCCAAGAGCTCAATGGCCTTGCTTGAACCATCGCTTCTGCTATTGGTTCAGCACCAAAACAGACCATAATGGTTTGCAGCATCACAGCCGGAGAACCTGTCAACGAACAGTGCGAGCTGCCCTCCAGGCCCCGTTGGCGTGTGCACACCAGTGAGGTCCTGTGTGTGCCATACAGCATGGCGTGGGCAACACGATCAACAGGCCAGCCACTCACGTTCTGCAGTCAGGAACACTGTGCCACGTTACTCGACCTGTTTCCACACAGCTGTGGACGAGGCCTTCTTAGTCACCCTGTGGACTCCTTGGGATGGTGTGTGGCTGCGATACTGCCCAGCCCACTGGCACATGGACAGTGCACTGCCCACTCCCCCACTACTGGCCCAGGACCTCGCTCCCGACTGGGAGGTGTTCCCAGGTTTCTACAGAGAACAATGGGGTGTCAAGGCTGCAGGTTGGTGCTGGGAGCCGTGGGTCCGCGACGCAGCATTACCAGGCCCGGCGCACCATTTCTGAGGCTCACCGTGCACTCCACAGCCTGCCTTCTAAAGCTGTCCCTGCCTGGGCCCCAGCAGCAGCGTATGAGATGCCGATCTCACTTGCCTGACAGCAGAGCTGACACGTGAGAATAGCACGCGGCTTTAACCCATGCTTCCTGACCTGCGAAGTGCCTGGGCGGTGCACCCATGTCCCCCAAGGCCCCCTCCTGCATATCACTCTTGTCCTGCAGTGGCTGCACGTCACCAATTTTGATTCTGCAACATCCAGCCGACTGGGTGGAGCTACAGCCTCACTAGAGTTCAAAGACACACGTTCAAACTTGCTCTGTACAGAAGGGTTGTGGGAGCACCGAGTTTACTCAGCTGGTGACTAGTACACAGCTCCTTTCTTACCTGCCGCTGTTCGCTGTTGGCATTCTCATCAATCCGTATGTAGGTGAGGTAATGGAAGTTCAGGAACGTCTCCAGGATGTCTAACATAAGGACCATCTGTGACAAAATCAGCACCCGGCGCCCTTCTGATTTCAGCTTCTGCAGCAGGATCGCCAAGGCTTCCAGCTTTCCTAGGAAAAAAACGACACCGAGCATGCCTCACCGCCCACGGGAGTGGCTGTGGCACGTGGACAGCACATGGGTCCCGCATACCTGAGTCGAGCTGGACCAGCCTCAGCTCGGGGAACCGCAGCGAGCGCAGGGCCGTCGCCCGCCGAAGCTGCTGGGCATAGGGCGCCGTGTGCTCTCGCAGGCGGTGTCTGAAAAGCCGCATCCTGTGGCTGTAGAGGGAAGGTGGCCTCGCCACCCACAGGGATGGGGGCGCGGCCACCACCGCCGGGATCACGCACACCACCCTGAGAAGCAGAAAGCAAGTTCATCACATGCGGCGCCCTGGCGTCTCCACCAGGCAGCACCTCTGTCTCAGATGGTGGAGGCTGGAGAAAGCAGCAGACAGAACCCTCTGACAGTCAGAGTCACCAGGGTGCCTGAGTCTAGTCATCATGAGTGACAAGGCAATGGGCCCCCAAAGTCACAGCGACCACGAACGGGTCCCACCAGTCCTGGCAACGAGGGCCACCCAAGGCCGAAACCCCAGCGTAGGACATGCCTCAGAGTGCAGGCCCGGGTGCAGATGGCCCGTTCCTACGAAGGGCGAGTCCTCTGATGGGCATGTGGGACACGGGCACGCTATGTCCTGCACGGTCTGGCTGGGAAAGAACGGGAACCCAGAGCTGCCACAGCCACTGTGCCACCAAGAGGAAGCCCGATGTGCGGAAGGGGTCCGGCAGAGACAGCCCGTGATGGCTCTGATGAGCCGCAGCAGCCAGCCTGACACCACCGCCCAGCCTCCGGGCGCCACCTGCAGCAAAGACCCTTACTCTGGAAGTCAGCTCAGGTTGGGTTTTGTGACTGGCTACAAGCTGTGTACAAACCAAAAAGCCACCTGTCACCCAGACGCTGGTGAACAAAGTCAAAGAACTAAACCAACACACAGCCATGTCCTCAGGTACACTCCACGCAGTTCAGAGGTCAGCTTCCCAACTCAATGTGCGGACTCAATGCAACCCCATCGAAACCCCAGCAAGGTATATTCAGCGCATGCTGTCAAGCTGATTCTGTAGTTTACATGGGGAAGCAAATGCCCAGAACCCCTAGCCCAATACAGATGGAGGAGAACAAAGTCGGAGGACTGACACTCCCTGACTCTGACTGACCGTCGAGCTACAGTCATCAAGACAGTGGTTTTGGTGAGGAAGAGACAAACGGATCAGTGCAACAGTGCAGAGCCCAGAAATAGACCCATGTAAACACAGACAACTGCCCTTTGACAAAGGAGCAGAGACAGTAACACAGCAGAGAAAGACTGTCTCACAAACGGCACTGGAACCACAGGGCATCCACGTGCAAACACCAGTCCAGACACAGACCTCACATCCTTCACAACTGCACCCAGACCGGAGTGTAAAGTGCACACTAATAAAACTCCTGAAAGATGACACACGAGAAAACCACGATGACCCTGGGTTTGGCAATGACTTTTTAGACATAACACCAAAGACACAATCCATGGAAGAAAGAAATGATACGCTGGACTTCATTAAAATTAAAAACTTCTGCTCTGGGGCCTGCCGAGTGGCGCGTTGGTTAAGAGCTGGCTTGGGACACCAGCTCTGGGCAGCATGGCCCCGGTTCGGATCCTTCATGAGGGCCAGTGACACTGCCCTCTACAGCTAAGATGGTGAACGACAGCTTGACCTGGAGCTGGGCTGCCATGAGTTGCCGGTGATGGCATAGGCTACAGCCCCTACTGCAGTGGGCTGCTGTGAGCTACTACGAGTGGCCGGCAGCCAGCATGAGCGGCTGGCAGTGGGTTGATCTGCCAAGAGCCGCCGTGAGTGGCCGACTGATGACCGGCAACCGACTGCCTCACCTGGGAAGAGTGCAATGATAATACCAACATGGGCCAGTGAGGCGACGTCCTCCACAACTAGACTGAAGAACAAAAGGACAGCAACTTGTCTGTTCCCCTACCCCCAATTCCCCAATAAAATCTTAAAAAACAAAACAAAACAAAAAAAAACTTCTGCTCTGCAACAGCCAGTATCAACAGAAAAACACAAGCCACAGACTAGGAGAAAATACTTGTAAAAGACATATCTGATGACTCATGTGCAAAGTATATGAAGAACTCTTAAAACTCAACAAGAAAAAAACAAATAACTGGATTAAAAATGGGCCTTAAGGGCTTAACAGACACCTCATCGAAGAAGACATGCAGACGGCACGTAAGCCCCTGAAAGGATGCTCCCCGTCGTGTGCTATCAGGAAAATGCAAACTAAACAACACACCACTGCACACCCGCCACACGGCCACAATCCTGCAGTGACACCACCACATGCCGGGGGGACATGGAGCAGCAGGAACCCTGCTGGTGGGGATGTGAACGGTGTGGCCACTTCAGCAGACAGCCAGGTGGGTCCTTACAAAACGAAACACACTCTCACCATGTGATCTAGCAATCACGCTCCTTGGTATTTCCCCAAGGGGACGAAAACTTATGTCCACACAAAACCTGCACGTGGACGTTTACGGCAGATTTATTCATAAGTGCCCAAACTTGGAAGCCACCGAGATGTCCTTCAGTAGGTGATGGATAAACTGTGGTCCACCCAGGCAGTGGAACACCACTCAGTGATAAAGAAGAAATGAGCTATCAAGCCATGAACAGACAAGGGGGAACCTAGTGCATGTGACTGAGTGAAAGGAGCCAGTCTAAGAAGGCCACACACTGTGTGAGTCCAACCATGACATTCTGAGAAAGGCAGGACTACGGGGACAGTGAACAGGCCCAGGGTTGCCAGGGCTTGGCGGGGAGGGATGGACAGGTGGGGCACAGAGGAGTCAGGGCAGTGACACCACCTCACCTGTCGATGACATCCTGGAGGGACTCCTGCCGTTGGGTCAGCGTCAAAATCAGGCCCTTCTGAGTTTTGGAGGGTGATATGTAACGGCTCGCTGGCCCCGCCCCCTTCCCATGCCTGCTGTCCGAAGCCCCGAGCCATGGTACCCGTTCCATGCCGGGCAGGGAACAAATCCCCAAGAGATCCCTGCCGTAGACGGGGGTGCGAGAGCAGCGTCGTTCATTGACAGAAAAAATCTGATCCAGCCGCTCTTTCAAAAGTCGGGCTTTTTCCTCCTGTATTGGAAACAGTGATGAAAACGGTTCCTCAGAAACGGCAGGCCAGTTGCCGGTCGCCCAGCCCTGCAGGGTCCCCGGCGCACAGAGCACATCGCGGCGTGCGGGGCCTGCTCTGCGGCAGACAGTGACAGAAAAGCAGCAGAGAAAACGTGCGGCTTTTCCCTGACAACGTGGTAAGTTTTCTGAGACAGTAAGCATTTCCAACACCCAGAAGATGGACAGAAGAATATATTAATAAAAAAAAATGCAAAAGGGAGTTTTTGCACTCATAAAGCCCAGTTTCATTTCTTTTATTATAGAAGTGTTTTAAAGTCAAAATTCTACAATTTGGACTTTTTCTAAAGGCACAGTGACGGATGACGCCTCACAGAGGCTGTCAAACATCACAACCATCCTGTGTCACCAGCAGCTTGAAGGGGCAACTCGGTTCGTGACGGTGTTGGGCCGTTACCTGGGTCGGCCCTCCGATGGGGGAGGCTGGTTTGCAGGCCATCGCAGAGTCTCCTACAGTCAGGGGGTTGACGGCCACTCGGCCAGGCACACCGACTGCAATCAGAAATGACACGATGGGAACAGGCTGCCGACCCTCTGCAGGCCCTCGCCATCCTCCAGTGCGCTCTCTGGAAGTGCCACGTGTCCCTCGCGCAGTTTTGGTATGCGCAAGTTCCCAGTGAAACTGTTCAGAACTGCTGGCGAAGCCCTCCCGCTCTCTGGCCATGCTCTGAACTAAGCAAGAGCCAGTCTGTCTCTTCCCTGGGTGAGTGCCCGTGTGCACCCAGGCCCGTGGTCATCCCCACGGCCATCATGCTGGCGAGCAGCCACCTGGGCCGCGGCCCTTGGTCAGCGTCAACCCCACATGCCTGGGGTCAGCACTGCCCTCTGGACCAGCAGGCGAGCCCAGCATCCCACACACCTGCTGCTCAGAGCTCTGAGGACCAAGGGGCCCTGGTCAGGTGAGCCAAGGAGAGGGCAGAGGTGACTGGGATGGGCATGTCCGGGAGAGCAGGACCCGGGTGGGAGGCAGGCTGTGGAATGGATGTGGCCCAGGCCAGCCAGACGGAGGCGGGCACAAACCCTGCTCCCTCACCTGTCCTGGGGAAGTTTCCGCACCAAAAATCTACGCTGAGCGAAGGCTGGCAATATTCAATCAATAAGTTTGACAGGAAAAGAGAAAGCAAACAAAGCAGGCTGGCACCGGCTGGTCTGTGGAAATCAGATGGCCACGGCAGCACCGTGGGTCGTGAGGCACCACAGTCAGAAATCCCTAACGCCATGAAGTTACCCAAGACGCAAAGTCAAAAAGAAGCTTCACAGCCAGGTCTCCTTCCTGCTCAGAGCACTCTACCTGGTGGGGTCACAGGTGCAGGGCCCGGGCCGCCGGCAGGGGGCTTGCTTCCCAGAGCGTTCAGGGCGCCTGCCTGGGACACCGTCTGCATGACCACGGGGCCTGGCGGGCGCAGGTAGGACTGCCCGGGGGCGGACACAATCTGAAGAACGCTGCCTGCAATCACATGTGTGACAGGAGGGTCAGTCCCCAGCCGTGTGCCTTTGCCTCCTGGTCACACTCACTCCCAAATGTACACAAACAGGGCATGCACTGAAAACCCAAAACCAAATTTACACCAACATGGCAACATGAACTCAATTACTTGGAGAAAAATGAAAACTCTTCCTTCACAGGAAATAAAAACCGTTAGGGACCAAGTCATTTTGCTTCATGTCGAGAAGAGGCTCGCCTATTCCTAGCAATGCCTGACGTGGGGCAGCACCAAGGAGCCTGTCCCGTGCTGGGAGCCCGAATGCCGTGCCTGTGGCACCGCTCAGGGTCCTGGCCGTGTCAATCTGCCGTGTCGATGAGTCTTTCCCACGGAATGGCCCACACACGACACAAACTAGCATCCACCAGAGATGTTGATTGGTGGCCTCGTTCCTTTGCTCAAAAAACTGGAGGAATACGGGATTAAACCAAATGGAACAGTCTTTGCTGCAGGTTCCTGGGGCCTCTGCTCTGTGGTCTGTGTGTCTCTCCTGTGCCCTGACGAGAGCCATGAGCAGATACTCCCAGAGGCTGCTGAGGGCAGGTGGCCGGAGCTGACCCCTAACCGACAGTGGAGGGACAAGGCGACTGAACTTCTGCAGCCATTTAGGACGCACGCCAGCACCACTCAAACTGCATCCCTCGGGCCCTTCAGAAAGCCCCTACTCCACACACACGTCGCCCTGGGAGGCTCTGTCTGTAGTGGAAATTGTGACGTCTATATGTACAGGAGCATAACGTCTACATAAACTGCTGGTCCTTCGGCATTTGGAGGACAATTCAACTCACAGTAAAATTAGAAAGTAGCAAACATTTCTATTTTGATTTCAAAAATAGGGAACTTTTAGCAAAGGGCAGGTTTTAAAAAACGGCTATCGTCTACTGAATAGGTGTCCGGACCAGGCGGCCAGGTGACACACATGTTATCTCACTGAGGCGGGACCAGAGGAGGCGCCGAGCTCACAGTCACGGCTGCCCGTCATCCCCACCCGACGGTGCCAGGTAATGTGCTGGTCGTGACGGCCGGCTACTGTCTCGTACCTTGGAGCTGCAGGGGCTGGCCAGCCGTGAGCTGCCGCAGCTGGCTATGGGACAAGGTGAACTTGTTTCCTTGGAACTGCAGCGTCACAGGGGTCTCTGGCTGGGCGACTCGGCTCGGTGGCCCTGCAAGGGAAGCCAGCTGGGCTATTTTGACGACCTCCCCACCTGCAGAAACGCAGAGGAAAAGGGAATGTGAATTTCTGGGGTGAGTCTGTAAAGGTTATACTGACGATTGTGTGTCGTACAGAATGGTGTGTAGTGAACCAAAGTGTCACAGAAACACTGGTTAGGTAGGCAGTGCTTTCTAACGCTTTCAGAAATAACTATTTTAATAGAACACAGAAAACAGAGTTAACATCAGATTTTAATGGTTAACTTATCTACTTATAACTGGTGGATTTTATAGCCCCAAATATTACTCTAATTAAGCAAACTATTAAGGAACATTTTACTTTTCTCTCCAACCAATAAATAAGTCGTAAATATCAAAAACAGCAGAAATCTCTTCATAATACACTCTGAAACTCTCGTATTGACCTCAACTTTCAGAGAACTTCCAAAATGTGAAAAAGTGCATGTCCAATTTAGCTCACAGAGGTAAACAAAGACATTATCACTACAGACAGGAAAGAACACAGAGGTAGCTTCAATTACACCCAGAACCTCATCAAAAACGGAATGTATTTAAGTACATAAATACATCACATCATCGTAGCTTTAAGATAGGAAGTTTCACACTAATTTGAAATAGACCATAGGATCCGACTGCAACATTTACTGTCAAACGCACACTTTAACACTGCTTCATATGCTTTTTTGGAACCATAACTCGATGGAGTCATATGCACCTAACTCAAAAAGGGGCTGCCTTCAGGCTGTAATTGAACAGGGTTAACAGTTCTTTCACCCAGTGGTTGACATCTGAGCCTAAATGTTCCTCCCAAGAAAATCCATGCGAGAATTATTAGTGATGCTACAAAGAGAATAGTTAGCAAGACTAGAAAGCCATCCAGAGATATCCTGGGCACAGAAACTGTGAACAAGGCAAGGAAACTGAAAGGAGGCCGCAGAGATGTGTGGGAGCTGACTCTCCCACTAGCCCTCCTTGGTCCACGGAGGTGAAGGCGGTCAGTGAAAGGCGCCCCGCTGACTACGCTCCCAAGCGCAGGTCCCACCGCACAGCCCGCCTAACTCCCAGCCCAGGCAGACCCGTGCCGCACAGGCCGGTGCTTCCCTCCCCTAGGCAGCTAAGCGGGCGATGGCAGGGAGCGGGCTGGCCTGAGGCCGGCCACTCCGCAGGGCACCACGCCTGCCCCCGCTTCCCACAGGCCTCCACACAGCCTGTCACACCCCAGAGCCTAACTAAGGTGGCTCTGAAATGGTGTAGCCCACGCCGGGTCCATAAGGACACTCGCTATGGCAGAACAAACAGGGTCCAGGTGACACTTGGGGATGTGCTGACTGCACCGGTCACAAGAAAGAGTTCTAGTAAGATTTAGTGAGTTTGTGATGTCTCAGCCATTGATTTACTACAAAGGGTGTCAGCTGAGCAACAACTCATGCAGGTTTAAATCTGGCACAGCCCGAGACTAAAGGAAGTTCGGTTTTAGAAACCGAACGCTTCCATCTTATGACCATCTGTCCCCCAAGCTGAGCCTGGGTGCTGGCGGCCCGAGGCCTGGCCACGCTAAGGCACACAACAGCAGAGCACGAGCGAGGGAGAAAAGCAGAGCTGAGAAAGGACAGCAAGGACAAGGCCCTGGACACTGGCCCCAAAGAGCCCGTCAGTAGGTTCAGTGCCAGAAAGGACAGTGTGGCCAAGGAGGCAGGGGCGTAGGGTCGGGCAGACAGGGCGTGGAGCGGGGCCTTCCCACAGCACTGGTCTGAACATGACTTCTTGGGTAAAGAGGTGGCAGAACCGACCGGGAGAGGCGAGGCCACTTACTGGGCAGGCGCGCCTGGGCCTGCGAGGTGAGCAGCAGCCCCTGAGGCACTGTGCCCTGCCCCGCGTGCGAGGGGGCCTGGGGCTGGGGCGGGGGCGGACCCGGGGTGGAGGCGGGGGCCGCGGCCTGAGCCCGCAGTTTCGCAGGATGGGCTGGGCTAGCTGCTGTGCTGAAGGTCGAGGCGGCCTGTGGTCTCGGAGCGCCGGTGGGGGCCTGCGAGGTCTGAAACGGGGCTGCGGCCGCTGCAATCAATAAGGTGTTTGTGCAGAGCTGTTAAAGGTTCTCAACAAAGGCAATTCTTTAACCGGCTTTCAAAGACACAAACAAACATTTCACTGTGGCTCAAATGAGAGGCCCGCTAGGAAAACCGGTGGGAGGCCACTGTGGACAGAGAGAGGACGCACTTCCCTCCACTCTGAGCTCTCCCCACTCACTCCCCGTCCGGAGCAGGCTGCACGGTGTCTCTGCAGCCAACGGCTGTGACAAGTCTGCCTGTGCAGCCCCGAGTGTCCACAAGGAGCTCTGGCGACAACCAAAAACACTGTGGACGTGACCCCGAGGGCCGCTACTTAGGGTTGGGCTACCTTATCACCTGTCCTGCCGTCTAGCCCTATCCTTCTCCACAGTGACAAACGTGACGTGGGCGATGGCACAGAGCACGACAGGAGGAGTCTCCTCAGAAGCTCTGGAACCGACGTGGATGTGCAGTGCCCTGCATGAGAGTGCGTGTCCCCACAGGGGCGTCCTTGTTGCCACACCAACAATGACTCCGTGAGAGTGCAGCATCTTGTACAGGGAAATCCAGTTTAAAAAAATAAAAAAGGCTCAAGCTCATGTGGCAGCTGCACGTGGCCCCCCTGTAGTGCCGGAGCAGAGGTCCCACTCCTGCTCAGGGAGAGAGTCACGTGTCTAGAGGGGCCAAAATGCGAGGAACATCTTTCACAAACACCCTCTGTGACACCGAGAGCACCCCCACGCGAGGCCTACCTTTGGCATCCGGGTTTGCAGAGAACGTGGCGATCGGCGGCCGTCCTCGAACGTGGCCCTGTGGAGTGGCAGTGGCCGCAGTGGAGGCTGCCGTCCGGGGCGGGTGTGAGCTGGGGAAGGCCACCGTGCGGCCCTCGGGCTTCTGGCCGTACTGCACAGGCTGGAACAACCTAGACGCCCACGTGGGCAGGAGAACAGCATCACCGAGGCGCAGAGGCCCGGGGCGCCCACTCCCAGAGCCATTTAAAGAGAGGCGGGGGTTTCTAAGCACGGAGTCTAGCTCCCAGTGGGTCTCAGGGTAGGTCACAACCGTGGTGTACCCACCCCATGCTCGGGCGGGAAGGCATGACCGTCACTTTAACTGTGAGGACTCTGCGGGTGTGCGTCAGGAAAAAGGCACCTAACAGAAGTCCCTGACCCTGAAGTGGGGTGAAAGGTCACAGGGCAGCACAGCTGACGGACAGAAAGGGCAGAAATGGGAACGGCGCCTCTCAGATCACAGCCTCAACCTGAAGAGGAGGGTCCCCAGCACAACTGCCACTGTCGCATTTCATCACAATGCAAAATACTCCTCACGGTTCTTTCACCTGGAAAACTGCAAGGGCAGGAAGGCTGCATTTTCAAAACACCTGCGCCACACGACCCGGCAAAAGGCCAGCCCGAGTGGGCGGCAGCTTCGTCACCCATCTGTGCACTTAACTGAGGGCTTCAGGCCTGGCAAGTGCAGGCGAGGCGGACGAAGCGAGCGGGGTCGGTCCTGCATCCCCAGGGAAGTCACGTACAGAAGCAGCAACCGGGACGGCCAACAGTGTGCACAACCGACCCCTTTCTCTCGAAAATACTAATCTTTGGCTTTTAACCCGAGCAATGCTGGGTTCAGCCTGTCCTGAATCATTTGGGTTCTGACTTCGTCGTCTAACCCTCCCAGCTTCACGGCATTGCAAAGTCCTCATTTCAGGCCACCCTCATGCTCTACGCCCTGCAGGGCCCCAACCCCGCCTGACGGCGCGCCCCTGCCATCACCATGCAGACACCTGGCCACGACAGCTGCCACCCCACATGCCAGGGTCCATCCAGACTGACAACCCTGTCTGCAGCCTCCTCCCCATGGGGACCCCTCCTAAATCCCAATGTCTCTTAAAGGTCATGAAAAACGCCATTCTTCAGGCGGCTGAGAGGCCACACCTCTGCCCAGCAGGTCTGAAGTGCTCACGCTCCGTTTAAGATGAGCGACGCAGAAACCAAGGTCGCTGGGCAGCTCCCAGGAGAAGCCACTAACAAATGAAATGGCCGGCCTTTCTTTCACTGCCTGTAGCCCAGGTGAAACTCAAACCCTGTCCCGGCCTCCCTGAGGGGCTGTGGGGCCGGGGCACCTCGGGCCAGGCCGGGCAGTGGTGGGTAGGAGGCGACGCTCCCTGCCACACACCTGCTGGGCTTCAGCCTGACGGCCGGTGGCCTGCCCGGCGGGGGCGGTGCAGTGAACAGCTCCTCGATGAGTTTCCGTGTCACCTTTTTCTTACATAGCAATTCTGCCTCGTGGCGAGTCATTTTATTTTCTAAGCCAATTAGATCAAATATAGAAAGATCGGTTTCCTACGCAGAAAAAGAAAATAAAAATTAGCTAAGGCAGTAGAAAAAGCACTCGGCTAACAATCAAAGTACATTCCCAAACAGGAAAACTGGGCCCTGAGCGGCCATGTGCCCCGAAGAGCCCACCTGCACCCCACTCTGGGGCTCAGTGTGCCTCGGTTTCCCCATCTTTCAGACAGGAAAGATGGCACTGGGTCACCCCGAGGGGCAGTGGGAATGGAGGCAGAGGAGAGGGGAGTCTGGACAGCACAGAAGTGCTAGGTCTTCTCCAGAGGAGAGGGCTTTGGGAGAGACCCTGGGGGACAGAACCGAGAGCTCTGGTGCGAGAGGCGGACGTGTGACACCTGGCACCTGGGGACGCATTCCTCGGTTAGGACGCACTGTCCAAATCCCCAGCTGGGGACCCCCCACAAGGCCCCCCCCCACCCCCCTTGGCTTTTCTTGGACTTCAATGATGAGAGTGCAGCTCACACCCACTCAGAGGGTGGGCAGCAGGGGTCAGGGGGACGTGGAGAAGGTGGCACATCCACCGGGGGAGGGGGGGGGCTCTCACACACATGAGGGGCGGGGGAATGAAAAGGTGCAGCTGCTGTGGAAGGTCATCTGGCAGCTCACCAGAAGGTCAAATGTGACCCCACAGTTCCAGGCCTAGACACGTGCCCCAGGGACACGAAGCCGTCCACATGAAACCTGTACAGCGGCATATTCACAACGGCCAGAAGGCATAAACGACCCAAATGTCCACCAGCTGGTGGACGGACAATGCAGACTGTACCCAGGGTGGGCACTAGTCAGCCTCACAAGAAGGGAGTCCTGTCATCACACCATGAACTTGGAAACATGATGCTGACAAGGAGTCCACACACTGGTGCCATTTACATGGAAGTGGAAGTTTATATGAAATAGGTGAATCCAGAGAGTACACACAGGTGAGGGCTGCCTGGGGCTGGGAGGGGTCAGGGGAAGGACAGTTACTGTGCAGGTGCTCTCTGGGGTGATGGAATATTCTAGAATCAGTGGTGATGGCTGCACAACTCTGGGAGTACCCTGAAACCAACACGCAGTACGCTCCCGAGGCTGCATGTCATGGTGATGAACTACGAGGCACAAAGCACAATGCAAACTCTACCAGCTTTACAACCGCTCCCCCCACCACCACCACACACACACACCTGAGGCCCAGTCAGACCCACCTGTCCCGCCCACGGCTAAGCTGTAACTTGGTGAAGGACACGTCCCTCCAGGAGTGACCGTGGTAGCAGGAAGAACAAGCAGGTGGACCCTCCCAGAGCACTCTGCTCCCCTCACTCCTCCAACCTCCCTACATGGTGAGGAAGCTGAGGCCAGAGTCCCTGGCCTGTCCTGCCCACCCAGGACACGAAGTGGAAGGTTCTAGGTCCCGGCCCTGTAAGTGGTGCCTGCCGGGAGAGGCCACAGCAGAGAACTCAGGCGTCAGGCCGCCCCATGGCAGCCGGCACACACCCAAGGCAGGCCTGTGTCCTAAGCGGCTGTCACCACAGCCCTGGTGCACACTGCCTGCCACATGCGGCACTGTGCCCTTTCTCACGGCCCACTGCACGGCCAGGCAAACACGCCCCGCGAGTCAGTTCTGGAAGCAGGTTCCGGGTCGAGGGGTGGGCCCGTCACAAAGGCGGCTCGCTGCCACCGAGCGACCGGGCGGGGACGCAGTCATCTGGAACTGACCTGTGGCTGAGCCCTGAGCCCCAGACTCTTACCTTCCAGGAGTCTCGGTCGAGTGCCTTGAGGACGAGGGAGGCCAAGCGGTACTGCAGCTGCCCCGCCGTGTAGGATGACTCGGGGCGCCGGGGCGCCACCAGCCCGGGGTGGTTGCAGATGCGCTGCAGCCGCAGCAGGATGCTCAGCACGCCCACAAAGTGCCCGCTCTTCAGGGCCTCCTGGGTCCTGCTCGGGGACAGAGGAACCGTGAGCGTGCCAGGCCCCCCGCCGTGCCACTCCATAGTCATGCCCCACTCCCTGCCTATGGCTGACTCTGGGCCTCACTGCCCCTTCGACTCAGGACACACAGGACGGGAGCTGGGGAGGCTCAGGCGTGGGCGTGGCTCTCCGCGCATCTGACCATGGGAAGAGGACCTTCTAAAGGGCAGTGTGATGCATTTCAACCCAATGTGACGAGTGCATGCCGTGAAGCCGTGAAGGCACCTGCACAGCTCGGCGCGAGAACACTTGACCGGGAAAGGAGGAGGCTTGTGAGCGGCGGTGAGAGCACTTCTCACAGTGAGTCCCTGCGTCCCCTCTTGGCCCTAGGAACAGTGGGCCCTAACCCTGAGGTTCAGTAAAGAAGACAAGACACACAGACCTAACCACACAGCACACCACTACAATGCAGGAAACATGGGCTGCAGCCTGGAGTGCTCTGGAAAGTTCCGGCAGAGACCTCTGGGCGAGAAGCGGGCCACCCTGAAGGACAGTCCTGACAGGTGAGGCGGGAAGGAGCCATGGAGGATGGGCAGGCCAGCGGGTCTGCAGGCTCGGGGGCAGAGGCAGCATGGAGGGAAGAGAGGGAGATGCAAGGTGACGAAGGACAGCCAGTTTCTCCCCGAACACCGGGCTGATGGGACCATGCCCAAGGCAGGAAAGCCCAGAGAGAAGCAGGCTTAGGAAAGTCACCGGCATGACAGTCTGCACACATGCCTGCAGTGCTCAAGGGACAGCTCAGACAGCCACAGGACGTGGTCTTGGCCGTGACAGAACAGGCCATAGCACACGGGGCAGGGCAGGAGTGGGGTGAAGAGTGCCAAGCCCGCATACACTCTGCAGAGCACGGCGACAAGATCACAGACAAGCGACGTCTGCACGAGCATTGACGCACAAGACGTGCTTCAGAAAGGCGGCCGCAAACACTGGAAATGCAGGCTCCCTGCAAATCCAGGGGGACTCAGAGCCACGGGGGGCTCATAACAGAAACCGGTAGGCAGCAGGACAAGCCCAGCCGGTCCGCAGGGCTCTGTGCAAGGAGCAGAGATGGTCTCTGAGAGGGGCGAGCTCGTGTGAAGGCGGTGGGAACACGGGATGGTCACCGCAGAAGAAGGGAAGGCGCTGACTGGGAGCGATGCTCAGAGCCCACTCGAGGACCTCCAGACCATGACATCTACATGCACGTAGGCAGCGCCCCAGAAAGTCACTTATCAGGAGCAACAGTGGGGTCAGGAGTGGGAATGCTCACTGCCCGCCCCGGCCCAACAGGCTCAGGGAGGAAGGGGCACCCAGGCACAAGGGGCAAGTTTCCTCCTGCAGGCCCATCGCAGCAGATGCCACACAATAGCCCAGGCTCTGCTATCCCCAGTGGGTTCCAGATCTGGGGCCTCGCCTACAAGGCATACGGAGTGTCCCATACCCGATGGGCGGGATGACGCTGTCGTCCCCAAGTGCAAAGCAGCGCCATCCACTGGCACTACCGGGGAGCAGCAGCCCAGCCGACCCGAGCGCGGCGTGTTCCTGGACCCCATGGGAGCCTGTACCCACTGACGCGGGTCTCACCACGGACACCTGGTCTTCACAAGCTGAGGTTAGGATCCACCGAAATACCTGACCAATACCAGGCTTTACCAACGTTGCACCTTTCCCGCTCACACACGCAGGATTTCCCTGTACTCAGGGAGGACGTTTTATCACTGGGAATGCTGTTGGGGATGGGGGTTTTCGGGGCTCCTGCTCCCGACGGAAGTGGTAAACGGACTGCAGCATCATCGGTGCAGTCATCAAGGACTAGGGGACCACACATGTGAGTAGCCGTGAGTCCCTCACTGTCTTCACACACACAGGAATCACCCCGTGAGACCAGCGTGATGCACAGCAAAGCCATTTGCTGAAGGCGTACTGTGTGCAGCCACGACTCTGCCACATCACATACCCTGCAACGTGGCCTCCCAGCCCCACAGTGTCTCCTTATTTTACATGGGGGACGAAGCAGTGTGGGGCTGTGCCCAGGCGACTCAGCTGGTTGTGGAAGGGCCACCTGCGCCCCACACTGATGTGCATGCCGCCTCAAGGCAAGGCGCTAGGTCACCCCGGCCCCCACAGGTAGCGGAGCGCACAAGCCAGGTGAACAGGGGGTTGCCCCCCTGGCAGAAACGCGGGAGCTTGCTCTGGAATGCCGAGTGCCCTTCCAGCCACTGAGGTGCAGCTTGTGGTGACCCGTGAGCTCTGCGTGTGACTCCTCAGCACCCATGAGAGGAGAGACACTTGATCCCTTGAGCACAAATATACTCAAAATCTTCAAAACTACTAGTTATTTTTGTTTTTAAATCCTAACTCAGGAAAATGGAGAGCGTGATGGAAAGAGCCAAACAGGCCATGTGTGAGTATCACGTACCCCACGCCTCCTGAGCCCACAGGTGGCTGCCGCGACTACACAGCAGTCACTCTATGCCCTTCTGACTGTGCTGCCTGCGCCCCCACATACAGCAGCCCCCCATCCACAGCTTCACTTCTGTAGTTTTCAGTTACCTGCAGACAACCACGGTCTGCAAGTATTAAATGGAAAGTTCCGAAATAAACAATTCATAGGTTTTATGCTGTTCCGAGCAGCATGACAAAACCTCCCGCTGCCCTACTCCATCCCGCCCAGACGTGACTCCTCCTGTCCCAAGGCTCCGCTCCTCGCTGCAGATGCCCCCACCCATTAGTCACACAGTAGCTGGCTTGGTGACCAGACCCACATAGCGTCACCGGGCCTGCCTGTGTTCAAACCCCCCCGACTTTACTTCCTAATGCCCCAAAGAGCAGGAGCAGTAATGATGGCAATTCAGATATGCCAAAGGGAAGCTGTCAAGTGCTATCTTTAGATGAAAAGGTGAAATGAAAGTTCTTGACTTAATACAGAAAGAAAAAAAAAAGTGTTTGCTGAGGTTGCTAGTGTATATGGTGAGAACGGACATCCACCCGTGAAACTGCAAAGCTGTGTTACGTGTTCACAGGACAGACTAGAGGGGACTGCACTGGGCCCTGGAGCGGACCCCCGTGGGTCAGGGGACTGCTGTGCGCAGCCTTCCTGCCGGCTCCAGCTGGCTGGAGCCTGCAGTCCTAGGTCCTGTGCGTGGATGTGCAAAGGTGAGCTGGTCAGTCGGAATGTGTCTCCTGCGTGAACGTAACTGACACTGCAGGATGGGGCGGTGAATCCCGGGGTGCCTGCCCCAACTGGGTTAGCTACGAGGGACAGAGCCGCTGAGTGGAAGCAGGGTGGAAAGGGAGGGGACATACCAGAGAGGGGACAGCCCAGGCGAGCCTGGAAAAGCAGAAACCTGCCAGGGCAGGGCATCCCCCTGCAGACCCCCACACACCTGGCCTCAGAGCCCAGGAGGGGACAAAGCACACATGGCCCCACACTCACCCGGGCTGCAGGATGACGTCCTCATACAAGGCTTTCTGTCGGTTAGAAAGGCGGCACTTCAGAACATGCTCGAATTTCTTCGTCAGTTGCTTTTCCACATCTCTCTTGGTTCTCCTCAAAATAAACGGCTGGGTCACCTGAAAAAGGAATACAATCCTTTTTACTCTAGAATGATGTCACACACACAGTCATGCATGCCTCTCCAGGATGATGTCACACACAGTCATGCATGCCTCTCCGGGATGTCTGTCACACACACACAGTCATGCATGCCTCTCCGGGATGTCTGTCACACACACACAGTCATGCATGCCTCTCCAGGATGACGTCTCACACACACAGTCACGCGTGCCTCTCCGGGATGATATCACACACACGCACAGGTCATTCGCGCCTCTCCGGGATAGCACATTCCCCACCACGGGGGTACAGGGCCCGCCTTGTACCCTATGCAGCCGTATGACCACTTTGTGGTAGTAGTCCTGGCTCTCCTCGCTGGGGGCTTTCAGCGGGCAGTGCCGGTAGGGCCTGGAGACGCCCGGGATGAGGAAGTGCACCGTGGTCCACAGCTCCAGGAAGGTGTTGTGCAGGGGCGCGTCTATCAGGAGCAGGCGCTGCTGGCTGCACACAGGGCGGGCGTGCCTAAGTCCAGGGACCAGGCTGGGCGCACACCGAGCAAAGGGGCTGCGCTGGGTTTGTGGGGCTAACGGGCACGCGCCTGGGGGAAACAGGCTGAATTAAAGGAACACTCTGGGTGTCCTCAGCTCGACGCGCTGTGGACAAGGGGATGTTCGTAGCTCAGGCAATTCTGTGTGTGCCTGCAATCAACTAAAGGCCTTCGAAAAGACCTTCACAGAGACAGGGGCACACACAACACCGAGCCGAGCGGGTCAGACCTGTGCAGGGCGAACACGGCTTCCCAGTGCCTTTCCGTCAGGCCCTTGACGCGCTGCATCTCGTCGATGACCAGGCAGCGCCAGCGTACGCGCGCGAAGGCCGGGTAGCCCCGGAAGAACAGCTTGTAGGACGTGACGCACACGTGGAAGCTGTTGGGCTCGGTCCAGCCCTGCACACACAGAACACAGCCTCAGCCGTCTTCTCCCCCCGTCTCCTAGAATCAGTGTCTGGGGCACGCTCCCAAGTTTTCACCACTGAATTAAGGAACCTGTCCCCACCATGGTCACCGTGCTTGTGCTTCTTACAAACTTCTTATCACTGCGCAGAAAGGGGCTGAGTGCATGTTTTTATGGCCTTTGCCTCTAGGGGTCTCCAGCAGTTGTGTGGACAAAGCCAGAGGCCGCTTTGGAGATACAAACAACTGTTTTTGGAAAACAGACTGTCAACTATGAGAGGATCCTGCAGTTGGGACCAGCTTTTTAAAGGATATAATCTGAGCAAGGGGAAAACATGCTAAGGAGACGGGAGGAAATGTGGAGATCTATGCTGTGACAGGCTACATTATGAGCTTCTTAAAACAAACACCCAGAGACACAGAAAATACATTCCAAGGTATCACTTTTGCAGTAAATGATTGTCAACACAATAGTCTAACGATAAGCCAAAATTTCATCTTTGATGGGAAGTGTGATCTGTATGTAATATGCTCTTCCTTAGAATCTAGTACTTGAAACCACGGGGTGGAAAAAAGAGAGGAACACAGTCCAAATTCGTCCTGGGTGCTCACTGCGTGTTACAGACACTCCTCACCACCATGTGGGGATGAGTCTATAGATCTGTAATTCAGAACCGAGGGGCACCAGGCTCTCGTCTGTGTCTGGAGAGCCAACGGGCCTACGGTGTGAAGAGCTGCAGCACCCCCAAGGCCCATGTGAGTCTGGGAGGAAGTGCCCTCAGTTTCTGGGCAGTGAAAACGGGGCCGCTGCACCTGTGGCCCTCCTTCTAGGGAGTGACCAGTGTCAGGTGGAGTCAGTGCTTTCGAGGGGCTCCGAATCGAGGGGCAACTTACAGGGCGGGTCTCTCACAATGATTACACTAATAAACAGGCACACCCTGACATTTTGAAATTTGTCTCCTTCAGGAATTAAGATGGTTTCCTGTCTTGTTCTGTTCCTTGTTTAAACTTAAAATACCTGTCTCTTTGCTTTGAGTTCTCTGTGGCTGCCAACATATAAAAGGGTTTTGAGCCCAGGACACCAACGCTTCAATTCCAGCTCCCACTTGAGGATGTTACAGCTTCTCACAACGACAAGATGAGGGCCCCAATTGCCTACACAGGAGAGAAAACACTGTGTTTCCTCTCAGCTAAAACCACTTGGCAGTGCAGGCCCCGCGCTGTGCCGCTCAGAGCAGTTCAGCAGGTGTGTCGGAAGTCCCCGTGCGTGATGGAAACAGCCATCCAGGTGGCACAGGCGTCCTCTCCACCATGTAACCTGTAGTCAGACGGCTCCTCCCCACACCCACGGGAGGCTGCCATGGACGGAGTCCAGGCCTGAGTCTCAGGGGCACTCCGGCACAGAGGGGCTATATGAGTAATTACCCAATGAAATGATTTATTCAGAAACCTGGCGAACCCCTGTGAGCATGGGGGGAACACCCGCCCTCAGGGAACAACGCTCAGAAGCAGGCCGCAGGGTACCCCACAGCCCTCGGGGCTGAGGCCTCCTCCAGCCCCCCGTCATGTCACATATGGCTCGTGGTGGGTCCCCAACCTCTAGTCAGAACACCTAAACCACCTCAAAATATACGGCTTCAATTTCATTCTGAAAAATAGGGCTTTTAAAATATTAAAGTGACACACATAACAAATTCCAAGTTTTGTGCTAGAAATGAAGCATAAACCAAGTCAGGAGCAGGAAATGACAGGCCTGGAAAACACCCGCAGTGCACACCCCGACAGCCATCACTGCTGACGGGCGCGCTACGGCCAACACGGAAGAACGCCAAGAGGAAACAAATAGGCTAAGACGCTGTGGCCAGCTGGATGGGGGAGATGGGGCTGGGGGTGCGGAAGCTGAAGGGACGGCACGAGGAAGACAGCGGTGGACCAGGGATGCTTTCCAACCAGCCCATGGTGGCGCTCGGCGGCAGCAGAAGGGGCTGACAGGCAGTGGGACTCAGGAAGTCCCAAGGCCTCGGTCACAGCCTGCTGGGTCTCACATGACTGACGTCAGATTTGGAATAACAGTGAGTCACCCCCTAATGGTGACTGTGATTGAGTCTTTTGCTCATTCATGCAACCTGTCCCCTCGGGTCCTGGACCAGAACCCAAAGCAGAGGAGGCAGGCCACCCCACCCTGGGCCATGCACGGCCTGCGGCTCAGTCCCCACAAATTCGTTTCTCTTACCTTCATTACAAGCCAGGTGTGCAAAAAAAGCGATGACCTGCACTGTTTTGCCCAGCCCGGCCTCATCCGCCAATATGCCATTGAGATGCTTCCGGTAGAGTTTGGCCAGCCAGTCCAGGCCGACCTTCTGGTAATCTCGGAGCACACCATACAGCAGAGAGGGGGCGCTCACCTTCACCTGCAGTGACAGACAGGCCAATGAGCACTTCTCAAAAGAATTGCTAGAACTTTCTCTCCAGAGGGAAGTCCGGGCACACGACAAGCCTACTGGAAAGTACACAGCAAGAAGGAAAAGGCCAGTGTCTACTTCTCCTGACAACTCGGGCAGGTGGGGTCAGCCCTCCCCCCCGCCCCCCCATAAAGTGGAGCGCCTCACCGGGGTGCTGATCCGAGCACTGCCCTTAGGCAGCACAGCTTCAGCCATGGCGGTCACCTCCGCGATGTCCCTTGTGTGAGGTCTCCCAACACCCACTCTCTCAGCAGCTTTGAACTGGTCCATGACGAATAGCGAGTCGATGACGACCACGTCCTGCCGGCTCTCCTGGTCACCTGGACCATCTTCTGTGTCTGTGAAAACAGGATTTGTGACTGCTGTGACAGTGGTATGAGCCTACTTAACTTTTTTTTTTAAGGAAAAAAAGCTGACAGAATCCAAATACTTGAAATAAATACAGAATTAAGCAGCATTTTGTTTTGTTTTTGACCCACTTTATATACCTAACAATGCTATCCAGATAAACTGGTACAAACTCTTACAAAACTACCAAGCCTAGGACCACCCTGGAAAGCCCTGAGGTAAAAATGGAAAATACGTCTGTAACAATTAGGAGCTAGTGTTGCCAATAGATTTATGGGCACCCAAGGTCTTAGTGGCTGTCCCTCCACCACCAAGAAAGCAAAAATCAGAAGTATCTCCAAGGCAAAAGCATGGAGCCCCAGCCCTTCCCCGCCTCTGCACTCACAGGCATGCCTACCAATGACAGCAGTGGGATGAGAGCGAGGAAAAGCAGACAGTTTGTGGTACAGTCTGTGAATCTGTTTGGAATGTGTAACAAATTCCTTATAAAGGGTGTGTGAAACAAACACAGCATAGCCTGAATAAATGTGGTAAAAATCTAGCTCCGCAAAACAATGACTTTCATAAACGTAAAGAAAATCAATTGTTCACAACCTGATCAAGTGCTGATAATTGTGCCAAGTTTATAAATAAAAATGAAAAGCACAGAATAAAACTCTTCAATATAAAATTACATGTTAAATACATTTCCAACTCCTTTCATCAGGCTAAAAGAAAACGAATGCAGTAGTCCAACTCTGGTGAAGCACCCTCCTCCCTCCGTAAGCAGTTTGTTTTTAAAGCTGAACCCGCTGAAGACACTGAAACAGACCTTCGTCCTCACTCGTGTCCTCACTGCCAGGGGGAGGTTGGGGCCACTGGAAATTCGGCAAAAAGGCACCTTCATACAACTTCATCAAATCAATTAAGGGCAATTCAGCTGGAAAAGATTGCAGGAAGAAAGGTGGTTACTTCACATCAACAGAGTCCGGCAGCTGGGAAAAAGGCACAGCCCAGGGCGGCCACAGCAATGGGAAAAGGGCCTTTTTCACATACAGTCCTTCTCCGGGCTTTAAATAATTCCTTGGGAAAAGCATGTATTTTCTAAAGACTCATTTATTTTTTTTCCAAAAACTAAAAATAGCCCATTATTGATACAAAGTCTAAAATAGTTTTATAAAGATTAGAATCTTTGAAATAAAATGAAGAAAGTCAATTTTTATTCATAAAAGAATAAATATTTCTGAAACAATCTAATAAAGTAAAACCTACTAATAAAGATAAAAATACTATTGATGGAAAATAATTGATGGATATGACACAAAAATACAAAATGTCAACTAGAAGTCAAACAAAACAGAAAAAGCGTTTGGAAAGCACAGTAACAGGCTGTTATCCTTTCTGTGCCGAGCGCTCCCCGTAACTGTAGAAACCCCAGCACACACGGTAAAGCCCAGACATCCGGGAGAGGATAAGGACCTGTGTCACGCACACACTTATAAAGGGCTCGTCACGTAGTTTTGTAACTGAGCATCTCGGGGAATCAGACAGTACACAGTGTGTCCCCAACCAAGTCAGCAACCGCCTTGAAACCTGACTCGCTGGTGAATACAGTGAAGTAGGTGCTCCTGACTGCGGTGGTGGGGCAAGGGCCTCACACTCCTGGAAACCAGTGTGGAGGCTGAGGAGCTTGAAGTGTCATGGCCGACCTCATCTGCGCTCCTGCGTCTGTCGGGGTGACCAGGACCCTGGGCCCGGACTGCTGTTTCCACAGCTGTTCCATGGGCGACAGGAAGGAGGCAGCACTGCACTGTGGCCTGTGACGTGTGGCTCTCTGCATGTGCGTTATGTCAATAACAAGTGCACACAGATGCACCCCAAAAGCACATTAAATCACCGTGCATTTAAGGCTAATAAAGTCCAGTGGCTCTGCCTGCTGATGACTGAGTGGCCCCCATCTGGCTGAAAAACTGCAGACTCCAGGTGGTGGGACATACACGTACGTGGGTGTCAGAAAACAGTTCTTCCAACTGCTCTGTACGTCTGAATGTTTTCCTAACAAAATGCTGGCAGATGCACATGTACATCACATAATGACTAAGTAGGAAAAACGGGAAAACAGAAAAAGGAATCAGAGTAACAGTATCCAGGAAGGGGTCTTGGCACAAACTTAACACAAAGAAATACATCAATAGCCTTCGCTTACGTAAACGAGTTAGAAGATACACTGGGAGGCAAGATTCCATTCAGAGAGAAAACTAAAGATGGAGAATTAAACTTAAAAAATGCACACCGTCTACTTGAAGGAACTGCTAACCAGTCCCTGAGGAGCACGAGAGGCCTGGACAAGAGGCAGAGCCTGTGAGTGAGAGAAGCTCAGCATCATGGAGGCTGTGGCACCAGACCCACGCAGGCCAGGGTTGACCCGGGGGACCGCCAGATGGTGTGAAATGCCAGGGAGTGGCTTGCAAGGCTTGTCAGAGATGCTGCATGATCAAGGGTCACTTGCTCTGGAGAGACCAGCCACCACACATCACAAGGACGCCCAGCAGCCCGAAGAGGAGGTTCCCACGTGAGGAACTGGGCTCACTTCCGCAGCCGGCAGGCCTGGCACTAGAGGCCAGCCACGGGGACAGAAGCCAAGCACTCATCTGATGGGAACCAGCCAGAAGCAGCGGCCAGGCTGCTCGTCAGCACAACTAACAAGTCACGAAGCTAAGTCCCTGTACTCGGAAAGCACCAGTACAAGGATACTGAAACAGTGCAACTGAAAGGCTGAGAGGGCACTAAACACAATCCTGGATGGGAACCAGGAGACCAGGACAACCACCACCACATGCTGCCTTTCCGGTGACAGTGTCCCTTTCAGGTCAAGAATAAGCCAAAGGCCACACCTTACTGCAGGAAGAGGAATGAAAGGCCAGGATTACGAAGAGAAAACTGCCATTGTACAGAGAGGGAGAGCTTGTAACACAGAATTAACGTGAGAGCTCAGCGAAGTTGCTGGATGTCAGATCAATAAATAAAAATCAACTGCATTTACATACCAGCTACAAATTAAGAAGGTAATTTGTAAGAATACACCATTTACTACAATTTCAAAAATATAACACAAAGAAAAACAAATCTAATACAAAATATGCAAGCATAACATTTTATTGAGAGTTAGTTAGGACCCAAGCAAACAGCAGAGCTGTAGTTTGATCACAGACTGGAAAAGCTCAGCTTCATAACGACACCCATGAATTCAAATAAATTCAAACCAAAATGCCCAACTGGTTTTTCTGTGAAACTTGATGAGCTGATTCTGAGATGTAGCTGAATGAAACAGGCCCCCAAACAGTCCAGACTGTCCTTAGAAAACACCAGGCAGAGGGGCGCAGCTGATCAGAGCTCCAGAATTATCACAAAGCTGACCAGTGGAACCCTAAAGGTGCCAGCAGGAGCCGAGCACGCCGGGAGACCTGCCCCATGCGCCGGCGTCAAATGTCAGGAGGAGCGTGGGCTTGTCACAGGGCATTGGGCAGCCAATTGGCCACTTCACTACAGACAAAGTCATTGTCAATGGGTTAAAGACATGGATATTAGAGTAAAAACAAAAAACTTTAGACAATACAGGAAAGCTTCCTTAAAATCTTGGGGTAAAAAGGTTTTTACAAACAAGGTTGATAAATTCAACTATATTAAAGTAAAAAGGTACAATGAAGAGAATGAAAATGAGAAAGGTCACTGCAACGTACAACTGAGAGGAATTCATGGCCAGAATGTGCAAAGGACACCGACAGGGCAGTTTGGAAAAGAACAGCCCACGCCACAACAGGCACGGGCAGAGAGGGGCCCGTAGGGGCTGCGCACCACCATGGGGGGGCCATGCTCACCAGCCGAGGGCAGATGTGCTGCGGCCGGATGCCAAGGGTGCCGCACACGCAGGCTTCAGTGCAACCGCCCCACTCAAACTCCGCTCAACCCTGTCACGCCAACCAGGTATTATGCACCCTCCCGCCTGGGCCCTCCGCTCTGAGCGAGAGGCCATCTGTGACAGGTTGCACGTGGAACACTGCAGCAGCGAGAATCAGCGAATCCGTGTGACAACATGGGGACCACCCTGATTCCGTGTGCGGCTCCGACACATGCCAGTGAAGCAGCATGTCCAGGGACACGTGTAGGAGCTAGGGAACAGTGCCGCCACAGGGACCAGCGTGAGACTCGGGCGCTGTCACCGCTGGGATGGGGAGAGAGGCGGGATGGGTGCTCTGCTCTGGCACGACGTTCGGTGTGCTGGGTTCTTCCATCCCGCACGCTGTGACACGCTCTTTTCCACGTACCCAACGCCTAATGAAGCATTTCAGGAAGACGCACAGGCCTACCTTCCTTGGCCAAGTCTGACAGCTCTGTCTGGTGGTCCACAAGCCCCTCATTCGCTTCTTCCTCTGCAATTGTCTCCTCCTCGTCTTCCACTGAAACGGAAATGCCAGTGCCGGATGTCACTTCATCTTCTCAATTACACATCAAACGCTACACGGCTTCCAAAATGCTCTGCACTGCTACTAGAGGAGTTAAAACTAAGCCTTGTAACTTCACAGGTTCAATTCGGAAAGGACCATGTACTGAGTGGGCAGGAGACAGAGACCTCCGGGTGTGAAATCCAGCCTGCTTTCTTTCCTGACTCAACGGGCCTGCTTGGGCCGGACCACAGGCTGAGGTGTAGCTTCTCGGCTACCTGGGCTGTGCTGCAGGACCATCCCCAAGCGTGCCTCCTGGGGCCGCTGTGAATCTGCCATCGCCCACTTCGACTCCCTCAGAGCGGTCCTGTGCAGCCGCCATCTCTGTACCCTGCGCCCCACGCCCGGAAGCTGGGCTCCTATGCATGGGAGCCGACCAGCCCCAGCAGTATGTGTCCATCTGTGGCCATCGCCCCGCCGAGCAGAAGCCCTCGTCACCTGGGCCCTTGCCAAGTGGGCCACACCTCTCTCCCACCTGCCTCAGCCCCAGCCGGCTCCTTCCCGAGTAACTCACTGCCTCCCTTCCCTAACGCATGCACGCACATGCTCAGTCCCACACTCTCCCTGCTCCACAGGCCAGCGCCTTAGGTCTTCGAGGAAAAGCCCCCCCCCCCAAGCCCACAGCCCACAAGGGCCCCAGTGGTCCCGGCTCATGGCCATCCTCGATGTCATGGCTGCCCCTAGTGGTGTGTTCCCCCCCCCCTCCCCGCCACTGCTGAGTTCAAGCACTGCAGAGGGGATGGCAAAGGGCCCTGGGGACAGACCTTCCTCATCAGTGAGGGATGTGCTCGCTTTCCGTTTTCTTGCAGGTGCTCCCAAATCCTGAAACAGAACCAGAACGCACACATGTGATGGGAAAGCACAGGATGGAGACCAGAGCAGAAATAGGTTTAACATGCCTCTCGGGGGCAGCATGTGCGAGCCTCTGACAAGTGTGCCGCTATCAGGCCTCTGGTGACAGGAAGGCCTGGGGAGTGGGGCAGGAAGATGAAGCCCACGCTGCCCTCAGCTGCACCTTCCCTCAGGGCCCAGTTAACCCCTATCAAAACCAGCTTTTCTCCAAGGGAGATTGACTTTACAGTGACTAACTCAGCATACAGTTTCTCCAGGTAAAAACGAGGGACTCCATTTACAGACACAGTCTGACTCACCCTGCTGCCACCCCCTTACACACACAGTTCAGTGACAGTCCTGAACTTACCAGAACACTTTCCGGTAACACATCAAGTCCCTTAGGTCTCGACTCTTTTCCTAGAGAAACAGATCACTACAGCTGTGGAGGGGCATCTCTGCCAGTCCCGGCTGCACCCTGCTGATGTCTCCTCTGTGAGGACACAGCAAGGCAAGTCCCGCCTCCCCCTGGTGACAAGGGCAGCAAGGCAGCGCCAGCCACAGCTCCACACCCGCCAAGGGTGCAGAGACCTGCCTGCAGGACCCAGCCAGACGTCTGGAGAGCGGACGGGCTGGACACAAAACTGCTCTCTTAGGATTTGTCTGGTCTTACAGCTGTGACTTCAGCAGTGGTCACCTCTCCATCTATTTCCTCACCCATAAAACGGGAGGCACAATGTCCTCCCCACCCCATCTCCAGTGACGCCACCTCACTGGTGCCTGGTCTCCACCCGTGACAGGGCAGCTACCGTGGAGCGCCGAGAGGCAGTGCATGGGCCACACAAGGAGGACTCCACAGTCACATGCCTTGGGGAGTCCATGTCCCCGCCCAGGGACCGCCTCAATTCTGAGAGCACCCCAAAGCTGATCAACCTGGGGGTGCTGACTCATCCAGCAAAGCTCAGAAGAGCTGAAACATGCAGCTAGAGCAGCTCCACTGAGAGTAGCGTGTCCATCGCGCAGACCACGTGCTTGCAAACGCTGAGCACACAGCCGCCCTGGGCGGCCACCTCGTAACAAGGTGCCCGATGAGCAGGGAATCAGGCAAATGACAACCCCAAAAAGGTAAGGCTTTTTCCCAAGTATCATACCTTTCCTGAACACTTTCTGTAAATTTAAGGCCTTCTTCCTTTTCTCTTCTAATTCTACTTGCAGTTTTATTTCCACCACCTAAACACAGAAAGTTAAACGAAGTGTGTTACCGACGAGGTGAGCTAACACAGCTGCAGGACGCCGTGTACGGAAACCTCCCAGCTCACACACACTGTCGTCCCAGCCTCATTCCCATTACTTCAGAAGGAAGTTCCCCGTTTGGTCCTTTTCATGTATTTTGTATCTAACTGTATCCTGCCCAAATTCTGTCAGGTAGTGAAATGAGAATTTTTTTAAACGGAAGGGGAGACAGAGCAGCCATTCTGGAAATAAGCTCCTTTAGTGACCTACGCTGTTGGAGGGGCCTCAGGGAGCTCACAAAGCCCGTGGGGTGCAGCCGACGTGATTTACACACAAAGAGAAACAGACGAGGGCCCCACCTCCTGAGGAGCCAGCAGTCCCGAAGGCACCAGGGTGGCGCGGGGCCCACCTCGCGTGCTTTCTAAGGGACACGGAGGCACCATGTCATCACCACGCTGTTCAGAGGCAGCTCGCCAGCCCTGACAGGCTAGGTTTCCAGGACCCCACTACTGGCAGCCTTTACCTGTTCGATGTTTGACCAGAAATACTCAATTTCTCTGGCAGCTGAGGCAGCTATCCGTCTCAGCCGGCTCTGCTCCTCTCTCTTCCCCCTTTCCTCACGGAGCTTCTTTTCCTCATGATGCCGCGCTACCGTCCTGACGAGCTAGCAAAGAAGTCCAAAACTTATGTTTTACGCTGTGTCACGCTATAAGAGAGTTTCTCAGAAGTCTTCTCGGGGCACGGCTCCATGCTTCTCAGTGAGAGCAGCATCTGCTAGGACGGCCTCGAGAGAGCTGCGCTGCGAGGCCCACCGCCCCAGGCACTGTGACCTCCTAACGCCCAGTGGTTGAAACCCACCTTCCTGGCAGCGGCCACTTTCCACCTCCTCTCCTGGGCGAAGTCCGTGGCCATCCACTGCATCTCCTCTAGCAGGTAGTCCCAATGAGCTCTGGGGCGCGGGGCCTCCTGCAGCCTGGGCAGCCGCCTAGGGGACCACAGGCCTTCCTTCCTCAGCTCTGCTATTCGCTGATGGATCTGGTTTTCCTGCGGGGACCGGGTGGGGGAACACGCAATTATTAAGTGTGTTCCACTCATTCAGATCCCAGGTCTGTGAGCCCCACTATGTGACAGTCTCAGTCACAAAGGTCAGAAGGGGCGGGCGACTTCTCCTGGAGCCACAGGCGCCCAAGCAGCGGTCCTGCCGGTCTCAGAACTCGGAACACAGCTCACACCATGCCCCGGCGGGGAACTGCACGGGACAGGGCAGCCTGGAATCTGCTCTCACCCCAGCGGGAAGGGGGGACGGGTCAAGTAGGTCGGGCCACACACGATCACTGGGTTAAACCTGGTACAGGCGGTGCTGGGTTTATCCGATCCTCCCAGTGTGGGTTTCTTTTAACTCCTCTAATGAAGCTGAACAGAGGCACTACTCAGCCTCCCCAACAAACAGCGCCATCGGCTCGGCCGGGACCCTCACCGACCTGGGGACTCTGAGCGCTGCCCCCCAACCTCATAACACAGCCCGCCTCCTGGTCCCTCAGCTATGGCCTGAGGTGACAGCAGCCCCGAACGCTGGCTTCAGCACAGAAAAGACCCCACACAAGTCTCCCTCCTCCAAGACAGGCCAAACTACTTGGTTTCAATCTTGGTTCCCGCTGATTACAAAGCAAGTGGACTGTCCTTACTGTCAGGTGTGCAGCTGTCAAATGCTGCATCCTGAGAGATGAAGCCAGACGCATGTCACAGTGTCACAGTCGGAAGGCACCCAGTCTCCTTACCAGTGCTATCTGTCCTGCTAGCTTATCCTGAGAGGCGTCTGGGGGTGGGGCGGCATTCTGAGCTGGGCTCTGTGGCTTTGGCGGGGCTGACACAGCTGCCCCCGGGGACCGGGAGGTGACCGGAGACAGCGACTTGCTGGCTGCTGAGGGTCTATTCACTGGGGAGGCCCGTGCAGGCGAGGGTCCTGGGCCTGAGCCGCTGGTGGGAGCAATGGCCGAGGCTGAGGAGGTGGGTGGGGGCCGCTGACAGGGCTGCGCGGGGTCCACAGGGGGTCTCGTGGACGTCACCGTCTAGCAGGCAGAAAAGAGGCGATCAGGTGAAGATGCGACTCCAGCTCCACTCACAGCACCCAGACACCAGAGACAGCGTACGGGCACATGTGACGGCACCGATGCCTCCCCCACAGCCACGCAACCGAACACAGATCACATCCACAAACCACGATGACACAAACTAAGTTATATTGGCCAGGAACACACCCTTTAATCCACAAAGCCCCATGAGACTCCATTATAAACCCCACATATTGTCTTGTGTCATGTAAGCTCTTCCTTTTTTTGTTTCTGCCTTTGCTTTTTTCAGCCTTTCTCCTGTTTTTCTCAAGGGTTTTTTTAGAAACGTCCATTGTGCAAGTTGCCTCTTAGCTGAACGCTACCGAACGCTCATCCTGCAGATTCGCTCTGAAGGGCGCGTACACAGCTGGTGGCCTTCCCGAGAGATCAGGGCACAACTAGGGCCCTTCCCTGACTGAAGGCGAAGATCAGCCCAGACAGCGGTTCTGTCGGGAAGAGGGGAGCAGACAGCAGGGCAGGCCAGCTGCACTATGACCCGGGAGGGCCGAGGGCAGGCAGATGCCACATGGAGCCACACCTCCGGGACCCAGAACAAGCCAGACGTGCCTGTCTTGGCGTGCGGCTTCTGCCTCTGCAGCTAAGGAGCTCCCTCCTACTTCAGGGTTGCACACTGGTCGGTCGCAAACCTCTGGAGAGAAAACCCGACTGGCCGCAACACAGCCGTCCCTGCATGCCCCAGGGCTGCTCTCGCCTTCAGCAGCAGAGCTGAAGGACTGCGACGGGAACCCCCCACCTGCAAAGCCTCAAGTACATTTATACCCCTCTTGGTGGCCTTTAGAGAAAGCCTGCAGCCCCTCCTAATCGAGAAGGGACAGGTTTCTGTGGATTTGGCAATAAGCTTCTTTAAACTCAGGTTCCACAGCTGATTCCTCAACAAAAGTCCGGTTCACAGATCAGAGAGAAGCCTCAGTGGCACCTGGAGTCAGCATATGTTCACAACCCGAGGCCCACAGTCAGTGACGCCCACCCGGTGGGTGTCCCCTCAGGGCGGGTGGCCAGAGCTTCACCTGCACCTGGGCTGCACTCACAGCCTCCAGTCAATGGCTAGTTTACTTGGCCTCCCTGGCCTCAGTCTTCTCATGGGGAAAACGGGGACAATTATCTGCTCAAAGGGTTGCGTGGCAGAAGAAAGAAAATGCCGGTAACTGCTTCTCTGGCCTGGCGCCCGACGCACGTAAGGAGAAAGTGCTCTGAGTGACTGGTACAGAAGATCACACTTTGCCATGGAGCTCAAGGAACCAGAAAGAACCTGAGCGCAAGGCCCACCTCGGAAAGCCCTTGTCAGTGAGAAAGCGGCTCCTGAACACGTGTCTGCAGGGCGTCTAAGGGGGCAGGTGCCCTTGGGGGTAGCCTGGCAGGCAGCTTGTTGCAGCCGCATGGCCTGCTGCAGCCCCGCCACCCCGAGCTGCATCTGAGCACGGCCCCTGATGTCCACCTTACTGGGCAAAGCGGTGAGAGACAGTGGACACAGGCCCTTTGCATGGCTCTGTGCTGACAGCAGCAGCAAGAACCGCACTGTTTTCTGATAACTGAATGACAACTATAATCACAGGGCCTGATGAAGCCATGCTGCGACTGCTGGAGTGGGAGAGCAGGCTGCTGAGGGCAGCGCCTTGCCATCGGGTCACACAGGTGGCTCCCTCCCCCCCATGCCCAAGGGACAGAGCACAAGGGCGCAGAGTACCTGGGGCTGGCACGGCAGCGGTGGGGCCTGCATCTGCGCCTTCCCGGGCATGGGCACGTGCAGGGCCGGTGGTGTGGGCTGCGTGGGTGCAGGATGCTGGCCAGCGGAGGGTGCTGGGACGGGTGCATTGGGTGGTGGTGCCTTTGCCTGTGGCTCTGCCGGCTGCGGCGGCTGTGGGAACTGCAGTGCCGGCGGCAGGGGTGTCGCAGGGAGGCCGGCCGGGGCCAGCCTGCTGGGGAGCTGCGGGGGCGGCGTGTGCAGGCTGGCGGCGTTCTGCACCGGGGGCCCTGTGGACGGGTCATACTGCTGCTGGTTCGGCTTCTGTCCTGCGAGCTGAGCGGCCTGGGGGGCAGGAGGCATCCCTCCTATAAGACAGGGGAGGCCCCGCAGCACTGACCCACACAGCTCAGGAGCACGTAGGGGGTCAGACCACCCATCCTGTCCCACCCAGCACACGCGCAGATGGGAAGTTTAACTGGCGAGAGCACACAGCTATAGCAGGTCTACCTGCAGGGGAGCACATAGAAGAGGAAGAAGGCGCCTGACCTCTACCTGTAGTGTCACGCAGGATGGTGTTGGGGACACGCAGGGTGTTCTCAGAAAGACACACAAGTGCAACTGGAGACGCCTGGGGACGGGGCACCTGGGGCCCAGCTAAAGGGCTGAGGCCTGGTCTCGGGGGCGCGTCCCACGAATGACTGTGCTCGGAGGCACCAACACGCTGGCCCGGCCGCACATCTCTGGCCTGGAGCTGCCTCGGCCCTGCCCGCACTCCCTCCTGAGCTACAAGGGCAAGCGCTGGGGCTGGGGCTTACCTTGAACTGTCGGCATTAACTGCTGGAGAGGAACTCCCGTATTCACCCCTGGGTGCTGGAAAACTACCCCTTGGTGACCAACTTCAAGTCGAGATCGCTTAGATTGCTCTAGAATAATTTTCAGAAAAGGTGCAGTTTGATATAAAAATAAAACCATAAAAGGAGTAAAAAAACATGTGTAAGTGCTTTCATAATATTTAAACAGGGAGACCTTTCTATGCATGAACCAAAATCCAAAACCATATAATTTTTCATTAAAAATTTGCAAATATAAGAAATAGTATCAAAAAAAGGCAAAGGACAAGCTACCACCTAAGAGACAGATGTGTAACACACGGTGGCAAAAGGCAGGTCTGGCCAACGTTCAGAAAGCTCTCACAGGTTAACACGGAGTGCTGACAACCAGACGAAATGGGCAAAGAACACAGACAGCAAGCAGAGGACAGGCTCAGAAGGCCGATACACAGGAAGATGCTGTGGAGCCTTATCGAAATTGAAGAAATCCACATCGAAACAAAAGATTTACATGTTCACCCCTCAGATTCACAAAGATTAAGAGAGCAATCATACTTAATACCACGGCCCAGATGTATGGGAGCGGAACCGCAGATGGGAGTCAGAGCTGGGCCTACCCCTTAGAGGGCAGTTTGGCGTCACCAACACTCAACTGCACATGCACCCTGATCTAGCAATTTGGTTTGTAAGAGCTGTTCCTTTTGATAAATTGACAAACATGCAGGAAAAAAATGTAAGATAGATGTTCAACACTGTGTTGATTAGAACAGAAAAAAGGTGGTGCTAACAAGGGCTTGATAAATTAAGGAACCGCCCATGCAATGGAATACTATGCAGCCATCAAAAAGAACAAGCTAGGAAAGCTGGCCCAGTGAGTTAATATGAAAGCTGTAACAGTGTTCAGATGCTCACATTTGAGTTTTTCCAGCATGCTCACATTTGAGTTTTTCCAGCATGACAGAATGACACACAGGTAACAATGCTTGTGTGTGGACAGATGTTAACCACAGCTACCTCTGTGGTTAAGGAGTGAGCAGGAAATACCAAACCAGAGGTAGGCTTAAGTTGCACCCTTTGAGCCGTTCACAATTTTAAAGTATATTAAATTTGTAATTTGAAGAAAAAAATTCAGTTTGAAAAAAGGAATGACAACTTGAAAAAGCAGATGGTTTTACATTTAATCGTATCCTGAGGATTAAAGAGCCTAAAAATGCACTTAGAAAATCAACACGGAATACTCCCACTCGACTGACAAGCCCCTGCGTCAGTACACATGAACAGCTACAGAAATACCTTGTTGAGCTGGTACTCGTGATAAGAAAAATTAACTTCCAAAGCAGAAACTAACCAAAACCAAGTTCTTCAGCGTTCACGCTTTAGAAGCGTGTGGCCACTACACCGTAATCCCCACTGAGAAGCCCGTTGGTTTTGAGGCAGCCTGGGCGTCGGACATACCTGCCGGGGGTCCCGCCTGCTGTCTCCTAAAGGGGTCCGTTTCTATGGCACTTCCAGCCCCTGTCACCAGGCTCCCTGGGAGGCCTTGCTGCTGAAAAAGAAATAATTTAAGTGCATTCCAAGAATGAATAAAACTACTACCAACATAATCACCCCAAACATTAGCCTCACTCCTTTTTCATAACAGAAACGTTATCTACCCAATGTATTTAAATATGCGTATGCAATGTATGTTTCCATATAGTAACTTGAAGTTCTAACTTACCTCTGGAAGAAAAAAAGGACTTGTAAAAGGTGTACTATTCAGGTTTGAAATGGATTTCAGACCAATGCAAACCTACAGTCCTTATGAAGCACACTGGCCCTGCTCACAGAGCGGTGGCCAGAGGGGAAGAGCCAGGAGGCATTGCTCTTAGATGTAAGACTACAGCTGAGCCTCCCTGGTCAGTCACACAGCCTGACATCACTCATCTCCCCAAAAAACAACAGCTGAGTAATAGAAAGAAAGGCTGCAATTGTTTTCCTACTGGAAAATTACACGAAAACCCCAATTAATAAGTCTAATTAACTTGGATCTTCGAAATGGTATTTGGACAGTTAGCACCCCACCCACTTGATACACGCAGTGTGTGCAACAGATAGAGGTCATGTGAAAAGTCTGCATGAAAAGCTACTGGCCAAGACAGAAAGGAGCCGAGCGGGCACCCTACACCTTTCCCGTCTCTGCGCCATCCTTCAACCTAACGCCCACTGGTTGCTAATTTTTAAAGGTTCAATTATGTCCACTCTACTTAGCAAGACATTTTAAATGCAAAAGTTACAGGCGCCTAGGCAAAGCCACGGGTCTGTGTGGGGGCTGCTGGCCCTGCCTCCCATGGGAGTGGCTTCAGAGGGATGGAGAGGGAAACTACAACCGTTTACATTTAATGGAGATGAGGGAGGGAGGAGGGGGAGGGAAGGATGGACAGGGAGAGAGGAGGAGGGAGGGAGGGAGGGAAGAAAAGAATGATTTGAAAAACAGACAACATGTGGATGGTGGTTATCTCTGGGGACAGAATTACAGGGAGTTTATAATTTGTGTGTGTGCACTTTTCTAAATTCTCCAAACGGTTTACAATGAACACGTATTACTTATATAACCAAAAGAAGGGTTTGCTGTGTGTTTTTTTTAATGAAACAAGTTGATAAAAGGCTCTGTGTCCAGTAACAGCCAAGTCCTTCCTACTGGACCAAACGCACCCCAGATAAACACAAAAACATGGTGGGCAGACACAGGACGGCCCAGTACTTGCAGGAAGGGAGTGGGACCAGGCAGTCTCCGGCTTTACTTGACGGCTCTGGCAGGAGGGCTCATCTGTGCTGATGGTCCAGCTTAGGCCCACACACAGACTCACTGCTCTCAGAGCCCTGGGGTGGGAGCAGAGAGCCACAGCAGGAGAGGCAGGGGAGTCACCACAGGAGGCGGCTGCAGACGGGGAGGACCACACTCTGTCCATCAGCTCTGGCTGCCTCCTGAGCCACAGACACAGAGACCCCGAGCACGACCGCGTGCCAACAATGAGACTTCAGGTGCCGACACTCGGGAGCCTGAGTGCACGGTTCCAGTTCAATCATGCTAACAAGCTGTGAAAGCAAAACAATCAGTGCTCCTCAGAAGAATATAACAGAACCCAGACTCTCTACAACCTATTATTATTCACAACATTCGAAATCCAATTCAAGACTATCCCAAAACACGACACGGGAAACACGAGCCATACTCAGAAAACCATCAGTGGACCCATACCATGGAACTGGCAGTGGCTTTAGTAAGTATGTCCAGGACAGAAAGAAATAATGCTTAACGAAGGACAGAAAGAAACTATTCACAGAGAAAACCAGGTAACAGCGACAGAACAATTACTGGACAGAGGGCTGCAAAGGTCAGCGCACTGGGAACATGCTCCAGAGAAGAACCTCGAGACTCGCCATGGCCTCCGGTCACCAGGACGGCACAGTGTCACTGAAGGATGGACACACAGGTAAAAAGCACGGACCAGGGAGCCCAGAGGCAGACCCCGTAAATGACTGCCACCATCACGTCATTTCCTAGCTTGGGAGCAAAGGGAATGGGAAGTTTTTTCAACAAAATGGTGCCAAAAGCAATCGATGTGAAAAACTTGATAAACTGGACTTCATTAAAATAAAAACTTCTCATCAAAGACCCTGACAGGAAGGGCCAACCTCTCTTCCTTAACTGCCTCACTGCCCAACTCTTGGTTTTCAGAGCGATGGGAACTGAATTCCAACTGCCCATTCTGAGAGACAATGTCAAACAAGCTTTATCCACTGAAGACAATGAAGTGTCCAGCAGTCTAGCAACTGCCTCAAGAACAGAGCACCTGAAGGAACTGAGGTGCAGCTCATAGAACAGGCATGTGGAAGGGCTGCCACCTTGAAGAGGCACGGGCTTACGTCCTTCTGGACAAAGAATAAAAACCAGTGGGTGTGGTGGGCAGTTACCGGGGTAAGTTTCTGCCCACTTCGAATATACAAACAAACTGTAAAGTCACTGGGTCTGTGGCGTTCTGAGGCTGGGCGCTCACTCAGTCACCAAAAGGATGGAAGGGCTCAGGGAATGAGGTGACCTTCCTGATTCCTGAGCGCTGTACATCAATAGGACTTTGGGCCGGGTGACCTCAGGTCTCTCAAGTCAGGACTCTGAAAGAAGTCTCCCCCGGCTAAGCCACGGGCCAGGGTGCTAAGGAAGGCATGGACTGCGCACCTTACGTTCTTCTTCTATTTTTTTTTTTAATTTTAATTTTAATGGGGAATTGGGGAAGGGGAACAGCCAAGTTGTTGTCCTTCAAACTTAGTTGTGGAGGGCGCAGCTAGCTCAGCTCCAAGTCCAGTTGCCATCCGGCCACTCATCAGCAGCTCGCGGCTGCTCAGCTCAAGGTGCCGTGTTCAATCTTAATTGTGGGCGGGCGTAGCCCACCATGGAGTCGAACAGGCAACCTTGTTAGGAGCACGTGTTCTCACCAGCTGAGCCATTCTGCCACCTGTTGGCATCTCAGCGGCAGCTCAGCTCAGGTGCAGCTCACTGGCCCATGTGGGAATCGAACCAGTGAGCCTGTTGCTCAGAGCTCACGCTCTTAACCAACTGAACCACTTGGCCGGCCCCTTACATTCTTCTTAAAGTGTGTCTATTAAAACAAACTGAGGCCGGCCAAGTGGCTCAGTTGGTTAAGAGCTGGCTTAAGAATGCGAACTCTGAGCAACAGGGTCGCCAGTTTAATTCCCACGTGGGCCAGTGAGCTGCGCCCGAGCTGAGCTGATGCTGAGCTGCCAACAGGTGGCAGGATTTCTCAGCTGGTGAGAGCACGTGCTCCTAACAAGGTTGCCTGTTCGACTCCATGGTGGGCTATGCCCGCCCACAACTAAAAGACTGAATTCGGCACCTTGAGCTGAGCTGCTGCCCGGGGTGGCTCAGGGGATAGAATGCATGCTCTTAACAACAAGGCTGCCGGTTCGACTCCCGCATGGGATGGTGGCTACGCCCACCTGCAACTAAGACTGAACATAGCACCTTGAGCTGAGCAGCCATGAGCTGCCCACGGGCAGCCAGATGGCGACTGACTTGGAGCTGAGCTTGCTGTGCCCTCCGCAACTAAGACTGAAGGATAACAACTTGGCTGTTCCCCTTCCCCAATATCCCAACACTGTTCCCCTCCCCAATTCCCCAATAAAAATCTTTTAAAAAATTAAACTATCACCTAAAAATATGAACACGTGTGTTAAGAGTAAAGAAAAACAATTGCTTGGGGACTGGGGTACAGAACTATAATTATTTTCTCTAAAATTATAATCATTGGAACACAATCTCCAACTAGGATGGTTAATGTCTAAATAACTGTAATAAAATAGTGTTATGTTGTATATAATAACTGCACTCTTCAATACCACCTCAAAACCTGGAAGCAAAGAGAAATGAATCTGTATGTAAGACAGAGAATGCTGAATGTACTTCTAGAGCTTAACCAGCAATAGTCGAGCTTATCATAAAAATCCTGTAATTGGTTGCAGATAATAAAATTCACCGTGAGAATATGTCTGAGCCTCTCTTTAGAAGGCTTCACAGTGCTGGCTGCAGGAAATCTAGGGCCACTTTTAGCTGAGAACAAAGTAACAATACATGGTGAACACTCGGAATAGACTCAGCCTTTCTTCGTTCACTGATGTCACTTGGAAAATAGTTTTCAAAAGAGAATAACCTAAAATTAAAGTGGTTTAAATGAATCACAGTTCCTCAATGTGGTGGGAATGAGGAGCTGTTAAAATAAGGATTATTAAAAGTATAAACATAAACAGTGATTAAATGACATTTTTAAAAGTGTAAATATACTGTCAACTGGTATACATATAAAAAAATCTCTGGAAGATGGAATTATGGGTCTTCATTGTCTCCAACAGAAAGATCACTGAGGTACTCTCTAATTGGAACGGTACTTTTCATAGAAGTAAACATGTGTGTGCGTATGTGTGTATTGTAAACACTTTTCATGCAACACCTTGGCACTCTGTGATACTACCTCCCAGTCGTGGAATCAGAGGTTCATACGTATGTACTACAGGGAACTCTTACCTCTAGGGTTTCATTAGTCAATATAAAAATGTACAATTGGTTGTAAATACTAAAAGTCATACTGAGATTTTTTTTCCAAAGAAAACAAAGGGTATGTTTTACATTTCAATTCTCTTCTGACAGAGCCTCCAAATTCCTATTTCCTTTGATATCCACTAATACTTGCCTCAAAAAACCTCTAATTTAGAAGGGTGATTCCTTGGGTTGCCTTTTAGTCTCGTAAACATTTTTATTATGAAATAGATCATATATACAAAAGAAATTATTAACATGCATAATTTTAAAAGCACAATAAAAGTTCGTCAGAATTTAAATGCTGGGATGTGGGTGTTCAGTGAACACTGTTCAACTTTCCTCTATGTTTGACATGTTTCATAGTAAAACGTGAGGGGCAAAGTGGGAAAAGTTATGTGCAGTTTAAAAGAGCAGTAACAGGGATCACCGTGGACCCGTCACAGGGCTGAGGACACAGCTGCTCCTGGCGCCTGAGGCCCTGCACACTGGGAAGGCGCCCGCCCCCCTCCTACCCGGGGCCCCGGCTGCCTAAGCTGCGGGCCATTTCCCGTAATGCCCTCACCCACACATCTCGTTGGGCTGTGCTCCTGGTGCGCGGTCACTGAAGGAACTGCACCTATGCTCTCCTGTCAGCCCTTCTGCGGCACAGGTGTGCTAAGGCCAGCCCATGGCTACGCGTGCTGGGGCTGTGGTTCGCTCATTTGCACTACTGCCCTCTCGTGAGCGTGCGCGATCGGCTGCTCTGCTCTGCTGCCGGTGGCCATCCTGGTTCTTTCCGGGCTGGGGCTCTGAGACAACGCTGCTAGGACACCGGCATACGTGTTTTCTGGAGCGCACACAGCGGTGCCCTGAGAGCATGTCTGCGCGCCTTACCTTCTCCAGGTCATGCCAGTGTTTCCAGATGTCTCCACACAACACTGCCATCAGAAGTGGGTGACAATCCCACTGAGCCACATCGGGCTCTGCCCAGCTTCGTTTCAGCAAGCTGGAGTGTGCTGGTCCATGGCTGTCAAGACTGCACATCTCCACAAGGCTACCAGCACTCCGAGCTTCCACTGTCCTGTCCCAGGGTGGCCTACATGTGCACTAATGCACCGCATTCTTCCACACATCAACAGGAAAAATGCCCACTGATCAACTTCCTGACAATCTCCAATTTCACGACTGTATCGAACATGTGACAAGAGGCCCTAAGCGTCGGGCTCCATTTAGTGACCTGTGACAGGAGAGAGGAGCAGGCCCCAGGTGCAGGGCCCGCGTCCTGGGCTGGATGAAGCCGCGGGCACGATGCGCCTCAGTGTCTTGTGCCACGAAGGAAGGAGGTACTCGCAGGGCGTCTCAGGGAAGGGGTGTTAGGAGCATGCCGCAGCCTGGGGGGGGGCTCCAACCGGCCAAATCAGATAACTGAGCATCAAAACCATGGGGTGGGGGACTGAGCAGCAGATGACTAGTGGGAGCACGAGCAGACATGACAGAAGTGGACATCTTGACAGGTGTGTGGGTTATATGGACACTTTTCAAAAAACAAACCGTCACACTCAAGATGTGTGCACACCCTGCTTACAAGCTATGCCCAGCACACGAAATCCACTACACGTCCAGACCAAAGGAAAGCAGCACACGGCCATGCAGACAGGTGCAGAAATAGCATCAGACAGACTCCAACATCCATCACGATAAATACTAGGACTAAAGGAATTTCCTTAACCTTCTGATAAAGGACATCTACAAAATCTACAGGTAACATCATACCTAATGGTGAAAGAGTAATGTTTTCCCTCTAAGACTGGGAAGAAGGTAAGAATGCCTGATCTTACCACTCCTTTTCTCGCCTTTGCTAATACAGCAAGGCAAGAAAAAGAAACATAAAACATAGACAGGAAAAAAAAAATCTTGCTTTCTTTGCAGACATGATTCTCTCGGTAGAAAAACCCATGGAAATCTACAAAAAAGCTAAACCTAATGCGTTTGGCAAGGTTGCAGAATACAGGTTCAAATAATCAACTGTATTCCTATATACTTGCAATGAACTACAAAATTTCAAAAATTTAAGTACCATTTACAATACCACAGAAAAATCGGAATACTTGGGTATAAATTTTAAAAAATACATACAGAATTGGGATGCTGAAAACTACAAAACACTGAAGAATGAAATCAAAGGAAACCAAAATAAATGGAGTGATATACCCTATTCCTGGCCTGAAAGGTGCAATATAGTCAAGATACTGCCTTTCCCCAACTGGTCAACAGAGTCCATGCAATCCCAGTCAAAATCCTGGCAGGATGTTTTGTAGGTACCACAAAGGGAAAGGAACTGGAATGCCCAAAACAATTCTGGAAAAGAACAAAGGTGAAGAACTCCCACTACCAAGCTCATACTACAAATACTACAAAACTACAGCAGTCAGGACAGAGGGGCCCCAGCAAAAGATAAGCAGGCGAAGGAAGAGTCGAGACACAGACCCACAGACAGGGTCGCCTGACTTCTGGCAAACACGCACAGTAAGCTCAACATATATAGGGCAGTCTTTTTAAGAAATGGTGTGGGGACAACTGGGTATTGACATGCAAAGAAATGAACCTATGCTTGTCATGTTAAACAAAGCTTCACTCAGAATGGATCACAGACAAAAATGTACAGCATAAAACTGTACAACTTACAGAAGAAAACATAGGAGAAATTTTTATGACTTTGGGTTCAGCAAAGAGTTCTCAGATATGATGTCAAAAGCACAATCCATGAAAGAAAAAAATTGTTAAAATAGACTGCATCAAAATTTAAAACTTTTGCTCTGTGAAAAAATATTATCAAAGGAGAAAAAGATAAGCCACAGAATGGGAAACATTTTGCAAACTTATATCTGACAAAAAACTTATATCCAGATTATGCAAAGAACCCTCAAATACAAGCATAATGAAACAACCAACGTGAAAACGATGGGAGAAGAAAGTAAACAGGTGTTTCCCCCAAGAAGGCACACAAATGGCGAGGGAACACATGAGCACGCTCTCCACATGTGCCTTGAGCTACACAAGCTGACACCCCTACGTGTCTCGGAATGACTACAACAGGACGTCCTGGTGAGGTGCAGGACTAAGGCGGCCGCTGTGCAAAGTCTGGGGTTTCTTATAAAGTTGAACATACACCTAGTCACCAACCCAGCAATCTGTCTCCTGGGCATTCACTCAAAGGGCACGAAGGCCTACGTCCACACAAAAACCTGCATGTGAACATCACAGGAACTTTATTCCGACGCACCCCAAACTGGAAACACCTCAAGTGTCCTTCGAAGGGGGAGTGGGCAAACTGGGACCACGCAAATAACAGAACAGCACTTGGCAGCACACGCGACCACCCATGCGACCACGCGATGGCCCCCATGGCACTGTGCCCACTGCGAGCAGCCAGGGCCACAGAGTCCACTCACTGACATCTCATCCTGGGAGAGGTGGAATCGCTGAGATGGGGACAGGATCAGGGAGGGTGCATTTCGACCACAAAGTGGCACCAAGGGAGCGGGACGCGGGGACACAGTGTCCTGACTGTGATGGTGGCTACATGACCCTACGTGCCAGTCAACACTCAGGGAACTACAGACCAAAAAAGTAAATTCTACTGAATTAAATAAGTTTCAGTGAACAAACAGTAACATATTACAACCTACCAATTAGAATAAGAACCCATGTATACATATATAAAGGGAAGAGAAAAGAAAGCTCATCACTATAGCAGAATGCCAACTAATAAATGCAGAAGAAGTTATGGAGTTAGAAAATCCATTTTGCAACCTTTAAGGGGATAACTGGTTTTGGCAAGACCCATCATTAGATGCTAGAATAAGTGGTCAAAAAGTTCAATGAGATACTGGATATTTACATGGTCTCGAAGTATCTTTCCCAATTTACGTATCACTGACCCAAGGAAAAATAACAACCTTCCACTGGAAAAGCCTGGTGGACCCGTTATGGGGCAAGCTGACACCGAGGCTTCCTGATCGCACCCTGAGCTGGACACAATGTCACTTCTATGGTATTCCTCTCAAAAATGCACACCTGGCACCAGACACAAGTGAAAACCACACAATCCCACATCAAAGCACATTCTACAAAGTAACTGGCCTAAACTCCTCAAAGCTGTGAAGGTCCTGAGACTGAGGGGCCAGCCCAGATTAAAGCCAACCAGAGGCCTGACGACTAAGCATGGTGGCAGTCCAGCGGGGGAAAGGCTGCTCCGGAGGACATCGTCCAGACAGGGCCCGTCTGCCTGCGAGTGCGTCTCAGTCCCAGGGCCGTATCACAGCAGTTTCCCGACTTGACCGCTGTGCTGTGCTCAAGCCACATACCACTCTTACCTGGGACATGCTGAAGAGCTTAGGGACAGAAGTGCACGACAGCACGCCTGCAACTTACTCTCAAATGGTCTGGGGGAAGTGTGTGCGTGTGCATCGATGAGAGAGAATGAGAGGAATGCAGATGGGGCAAAAAGTCAACAACGGGTGGATTTGGGTAAAGGCTATAAGGGGAGTTCTTCGTACTGTTATTGCAACTTTTATATGCATTTAAAATTGTATCAAAATTAAAAAACAAACATGTCACCACAAAGATGAAACTGCTTTCAGAACCCAGCATAACCTATTCCAAAACTACTAGAATCTGACCCATACTTTTAGGTCCTTGGCATTATTCATGGAACACGGAATGATTTCATTTCAAAAAATTAAAAATAATCAGTTTGCATTCAACTAACATCCATTTAGGAGCCTAAGGCCCTGATGATTTCAGGTGTGTTTCACGTCAGTGTTTCTTCTAGCTACAGAAAATGTCAAGGTATCATCTGCTTAAATCTTTCTTTTTCTGTTTTGCACTGTTCTCAAAAATACAGAGAGAAGACACAAGAAAGAACCCACATTTAAACAGCACATAGGGACCCTGGGCACACACTGGACAGGACTGTCAGGGTTAGGTGACATGCACGCTGACACCACACTGCATTACAGGTCAATACGAAAATAATGCATTACGGTCTGGGGGTCATTGACTCATGCAATTTAACTTTATAGTTCTATATGCAGGAAGGTTTATCTTTTAAAATAAGGAATGGGCTCTGGGAAAAAAATGCTGAAGAGCAAATAGTAATCGAAGGTTAAATACGTGATGAAGGAAAGGTTTGGGATGAGACTACATTTGAGAACCATCGAAAAGTACCTGAAATGGTTGCTGCTGGGATGAAAAAGCAGCAGAAACATTTGGAGGAAGCTGGGTTGCTATAGCAACGGGAGTACCAGTCTGCCCATCCTTTCCTGTCACAACCTTTACCTGAGAGGAAATATTTTGAGAAAAAAAGGCAACATAATTTTTAAGACTGCTCAAAATTTCATTAGAGTTTTACTGCTGATAGCTCACTGATGTTTGGTGTTTAAAAATGGAACGTTTTTGCATCAAATCCTCTAAAAGGACAATGAACTGCTTTTTGACAGATTTGTAACATAACAACCTAACTCAGCAGCAAATCTTGCAGAAACTCCAACTTAAGTCACACGTGCAACATCCTTAGATTCTGCAACTTCAAATCCTAGGAATGGGGATGGCAGACAGTTCTCAGGCACAGACCCTCACAGCCTCCCGGGCAGTTTGCACAGCACCACGCCATCACCCACTAGTGGAAGTCCAACAGGAAATTATAAAAAGGGACTTGTTTCTCTTCATAAGCACAGATGGGGACTGCGCCTACAGACAACATTGGCATACAAACATAAAGAGGATTGACTTCCACTATTTCGCAGGGGTGAAATCCTCACAATAATCATATAAACCTTTTGGAAAATAAAAATGGTCCATCCGGGAAAGGGTGTTAAAGAAAACACAAAATGGCAAAGCCACACAGATACGTCCATAAGTATCAATGAGGACGGCTGAGCAAAGAGACCAGTTTTTGTTCACCAAAGGCTGATTTCTTTGCAGGAAAAGCATTGACAAAGATTTAAATTAGTTTAGCTGTATCGTAAAACAAAATCTGCTCCACCGACATAGTATACACCACACGACACAAAGGCACAAGGACAGTGCATGAAGCCACCTCACTGTCGCCCTGCTGTGCTGTGCTTCATTTTCAGAAGTGCAAATAAAAGGACTAGGAATCACAGTAGTATTAAGAAATCTCAATTGGGGAGTTTATTAAGGACAAATTCCAGGCACCCCAAAATTTCACTATCTTAAATATCACCCAACACGAATTAGCAAAAGTGTGAGGTTAAAATGTCAACTCTAACACTACAGCTGGAAATTCTCAAATGTAGCTTTCTGCCATCATAACTGTGTTTTATTCATGAAGACACCATATAAATGTTTACATTTACTTATATTTACACCCCTTGTTTAAAAACCACGCTCACGGTGCTTGAACGGGTGGGCCTACGTAAGTGAGACGTGCAAGCTGGAAGGCCAGCCGGAAGGTGTGCGCTGTGGCCTCAGGCCCGGCCCGGCCGTACCCCCAGGACACCAGCGAGCAGGCAGGGTCTCGCCAGGTCCCCTGTCCCACCAGGAGGAGCCCTCGCTCTAAATGAAGGCTCGGGGAGGGTCTGCATCCTCCTGACACACAACGCCTGTCCCCAAACAACTACAACAGCCGTTCCCTCCCGCCAAGAAAACCAAAACCCACCTTCCATTTCTCCCCTGGGCCAGGTTCTCATGAAAGCCCATCTGAGCACCCCCGGCCCCCAGGGCTGTCGTAGGCAGCTGCCTAGGCAGCTGCCTAGGCTCCCGCCTGCGCGGACAGCCCTCTAACGGTTAAGCGGCCGTGTCTCACCTCGTCGTTGATGACCTCGGACTTCTCCTCCTCCTCCTCCTCCTCCTCCTCGTCCTCCTCCTCCAGGTCCAGGTCATTCTGCCTCAGATAAGCCTGCAATGGGGCGTAGTGTTTCTTCTTAAAGGCCAGGAAGTCCATCATGTTCCCTTGCAGGTGTTGCAGGAAAAACAGCTCGATCAGGTACTCCCTGAAGGTCTCCCTCAGGGACTCCATCTCCCGGTGGTGGTGGTCCAGGCACTGCTTCCGCATCTGGGCCAGCTCCTGGGAGGCCGGGGGGATCTCCTCCAGCTTCTTGGGGGCCTTTCTGCCCCCCGCGCTCCCCGCGGACGACAAGGGAAGGCTGGAGAGGCCTGGGGGCACCGCGGTCCTGGAAGGGCTGCTGGGGGGCGGCGGGGACGTCATCCCAAATGCCGGAACCCCCCCAACGGCGACCCCGGGCAGCAGGGGTCTGGGCAGCGGTGGCCCCTGCAGCTGCTGCTGCTGGATCAGCTGGCCCTGGATGATGCTGCTGATTTGGGGCGGCAAGCTCGCCGTGGCCATGTGGCCGGGGCTGGCCAGGGGCGGCAGGCCGGCCCCGCCTGAGGCAGCAGGGCTCTGGGGCCCCAGGTGGTGGACGGTCCCCCCAGACTGTGCGTGGGGCTGGGACAGCCTCCGCTCCCGGACTGCCAGGGGAGGCCCTGCATGCTGCAGCGGAACCTGGGCCCCCGGTGCCATCTGGCCGAGGCCCGAGCCGTCCTGAAACACGAAGTGCCCGCCCGTGGACGGGCTCAGGCTGATCTGCCTCACCAGCACGCTGGCGTCCACAAAGCCCCCAGTCGGGCTGCTGCACAAGCCCAGGCCGGGGCCCGGGGCACCCGCACGCACACTCTGCAGGCCTGGCCCCGGCCCGGGGCTGGGCTGTGTGGGACTCTGCGTCTGCACCTGCTGGGACAGTGGTGAAGTGACCTGGATATACGACGGCGATCCGTGCTCAAACCGTCGTGGCTGTGCACTGAACTGGAAGCCCGGAGATGTGGGGCTGGGGAGCGGCAGGGGGGCGAGCGTGAGCGCTGGGTTTCCTCCCCCCACTGGCCCCACAGTCTGGAGGGCCAGGTTCACGCTGGGCCCGGCTGCGGGGCTCCTGCTCATCAGCTGCTGGACTTGGTAGCCAGGCGACTGGGGTGCAGACGGGCTGGCCGAAGGCGCAAAGGGCGTGGCAGGGGATGGGGGTGGGTTTGGGGGGGCCTGTGGCTCTTCTTCGCTGCCAGCGAAGGCACGGGACCTCTGCAGCTGGTGTGGGGCGCTCTGGGGGCCGCTGCCGTGGTGCATTGTTGCCCCCCTTTCTTATCCAACTCAATGTTCTCCTGAAAAATCAAAGTTAAAATCGTGTTACTTAGAGGCAAACACAACCCCCGATCATGGCTTATCACGAGACCCGCTTAGCAGCACTGGCGACACGTGAAGGTTGGTCCCCTGCAGCCGCTGCGACGAGTCCTATCAACTCACACCGAGCTATGCGTGTGGTGGCACTGGACACAGTCTCCTTCAGCACGGACCAGGGACAGGTCCTTCTGGGTCACTGCTGTGCCTGGGCCAGGGCGCAGCCTGGCAGAAGCAGGTGAGTGATGCCATCAGCTGCCTGGGAAGGTGACGAGCATCACCTGCTCAAGGCCAAGGCCCTTGGGACCAGCGTTGCCTCCCGGCCGCCTTCTCCTCAGCACAGGCCTTTCTCTGTTCCCATGCGCAGTGGGCTGTGCACCCCGTGCAGAGACGCTGACCTGCTCACTGCCGCCGGGCCCAGGAGGCAGTGGTGACTGTGCTGATGCAGGCACGCAGCATGGGCTGTTCACCACAATCCATCTCCAACACCGCAGCCAGATCCCTCGACAGCCAGCAGTTTCCACGAATGCCTGGGCTACCTCCCTCTAACACCCCGTGAATCGAGTGCAAAAGCAAGGAGACCCCAAGAGGCCACAGACCCCACACTCCCACGGGGGGCAGAAGACAGGCCTGGGCATTACGTGCCGCCGGCCCTGGGGAGGCACAAAGCCTGTCATGTAGCCAGGACAAAATCTGAAGGAGCCTCACCCTGCAGCCTCTCTAGGAGAGAACGGGTAAGAGGAAAGTAAAAAACAAGATCTCACAGGAAAAGACGGGAATGGCATGGAGATGCCCCATCAGGGGTCCGTGAACTCTGGGAGCTGATGCCACAGCTTCGAGGGGCTCCCAGCCCCACACCACTCAGGACTAGAGAAAGGGGTGTGAGAGTGGAAGGGACTGCTGAGGGAGGCCAGGCTTCAGGACAGGAGACATCAGAGCACAGAGTGGGAAGAGACTGACTCTGAGGTGAGACGGGGGAACTCTCTCAAGGAGACAAGGCTACAGCCTCAGTGTCCACTGGGAACTGGACAAGCACAGCCCCAGAAATGTCCTTCCACCACTGAAAATCCTCAGTCTTCACAGACACAGCAGCTACTCGGTTCTTGGTGTTCCTTCCTCCCCACCCACAGACAAGCAGGAATGCCACTTCATGTTCTGGGTGCCACTGCTTACCAGAGAAAATGCATAAGGAAAGAAACACATCATAAACTAGGAGTTACAAAACTTATGAAGGTGAAACATGTGCATGTATCAGCACTCTTGCAGTTCTCTCCCCTGGTGAGATACACACGTGTATGAACTCAAAAGCTATGGACTGATGGTTGCTCAGCAAAGGCTGAGGACACACAAGTCAGTGTGTCCTGTAACTAGAAGGCTCTTTCTGCTCTGATGGCTAGCTCTGAAACGGAGTTCCCAAGCCATGAGCAAGCTGCAGCAAAAAGATCTCAATGGGAAATCAGCACGGGGGGAGCAGCGTTAATTACCACCCCAGCCTGGGCCTCCGAGCAGAGCCCCCAACGAGTGGGTGGGCTCCGCAGGTGGTGGGGCAGTGTGGAAGGGGGACACTTAGGTATGTTACTGCTTTCAAAACAAGATTTTGATCCCGATCTCTTTAAGCAAGCATTATGAGAGATTAGTGCGGGCCCCTGGAACAAAACCAGAATAAACAGAATAAACAAACACATCAGGCATATTTAGGATCACTCAGAATACAGTCCCAGAATATCAATGAGAGAACAAAGACCAGAAAGAAAAATAATTCACAAAACTGGGGGGGGGAATATTATGACAACTGACACATTAAAAAAATTCCATCTAAATTCTCATCATACATCATTCACCAAAACAAATAAATTTTTATAAGCTAACATTCCAAGTTTGTGGGGTTTTTTTTAAACATCACCAATGGGTTTTGTCACCTTGCAAAGTCTGAATTTTAAACAGATTTTTGGCCTGAGGGCTCATATCCATCAGCTCGTTCAACTTGAGCCCCGTCTTACCCCCAGGAGCTTTTCCAGAGCTGCCACCCTCACTGTGAAGCTCCATGAGTTTCCCCAGTTCAAGCCTGGGCTTCTTCAGCTTTCTGACTTTTCTAACGAAGACATCACGAAGTGGCTAAATAGACCGGCATGTCTTTCCCGGGGCTATCTGGGATCGATTCGTTGAGGACTTCTTTCAGATCGTTTCTCCGCAACTCTTGGGTCATGATTTCCATCATCTTCTGGGTTCGGCGGACTTGCTGATGCTGAGCATAAGAGGTCTTCCAAATCTGATTGTTGCGCTTTTTTAGTAAAACCAACACAGACTAGACGAAGCAAATAACCATCGGGAAGTAGTCTTGATGTCAACACGAGCCTCAATCGTGGTCGGCCATTTTTTGACCATGGAGCACGTTTTGTGACGGTTAAGATCCAGACCATGGACACGAGTCAGGCAGTTGTCGCCCTGAACATCCTTAGTCGTTAGCTTGAATTTTCTAAATGCAACTTCATTATTCTGCAGATCAGCTAGGCTCGCGTCAAAAACACGACCCTCGGGGCCACCAGATGCAATTTTGGTTCCTTGAGTTCTCGTGACTAGTGTTTTCCCAATATTTCTTATATCGAACATAGCTGGTGCTTTCACATCATACCAATCTTTCTTAAAATATGGGTCAACCGCTTTTTTCTTGGCTCCCTTCTTGCCGCCTTTCATAAGGCGCTTATTCTTGCCAACTGCCATAGTGCTTGCTGCTCAGAGAGCCAAAAGGACTAACATTTCAAGTTTTGTACTAAGTGGAAAGAAATCAAAACAGAAAAACTTAAAGAATCCAAAAATAAATATTTACGAAAGCTTTGAAGGGAACTCCATTTCCTAAACTTAAAACAGTAAAGTTGTATCTGAAAAGATGGATTTGAAGACACGCAATTTTAAAATGTTTAAAGCTCAAAAGTCAGTCATTAATCTAAACCAAGTATCTTGGGAAGAAATCTGAAATGACTGTAACAAGGAGCTATGAACAGGATAATAGAAAGCACTCCTGCAAATTGACAAAACACTGAATCTCAGGAGAAGAATGAATTAAGGACAAGAAGTTCACAAAGGACGAAAAACATCTACTTCACCAGCTCAGGGGAGAACATCCACCCTCACTTATAAAAGCCAGGCAGATTGAAGGAGCTCCGTCCCAGATCCACTCAGCCAAGACATGACATCGCACAACTGGTGCCCTGCCCACAGCACTATCACCCCCGCTCCTGGGGTGTGGGGGGCTACCAGGGAGACAGAGCAGCAATCACAAAGGCGCAGAACCCACAACATGCCTGCCAACAGGGTGGGGATAGTGGTGGGAAAGGAGAAGTGACTCATGTGACCCCATCACCTTTGACCTAGGAATTCTTCCTCTGGAAATCTCTCCTAAGGAAATTCACCTACCGACCTTTTTAATTGTGCATAAAAATATTCGCTGCAGAACAATACAGTAAAGTAAAAAGAAATGTAACCAGAAACATCCAATGTTCACGTCCTACGTGGAGACTAGGTGATGAATGTGGAAAAAGTTTCACACATGTTAAGTGAAAAAAGCAGGACACCAATTAGACAACACAGCCACTACCGTTAAAGATGGGAAGTAAATAACCACCCGCAGCAACACTGAAATGTGAACACTGGCCTTCGCCTGGCGAGGGGCAAACCACTGGAACAGCCACCCAAGGGAGCACGTCTCAGCAAAACGGGGACTACGCTATGACACCCACACCACGACTAGGCGCAGGCCACCAAGCAGTCCGACATGACACGACATCCGTAACAAGCAAAACCACAGGGACACAGGTTAGTCACACCCCGCCAGGCTGACCGGGGAGAGGTAGGAGGGAGTCTGGGGATGTGGAGCCCTTTCTGTATCTGCTTGGTGACAATGGTTACGACACTGAATATGTCTGTCCAAATTCGCAGACCCACACGCTATGCACGAACTCTGCGATATGTAAAGTACACCTCAACTTTTAAAAAGTGGTTCCAGATTTCAGTAAGCTTATAGTCAAGTCAGAGAAACCAACCACTGCTTATCACAAATGTTTCCCCAAAACATGGTACAGTACCCCACGGAGAGCAAAGCTACCACCAACAGCAACTCAACTTCTTTTATTCTTAATTCTTAATGGCTATGTTTCTAACTTTAAGGCCAATCAGAAAAAGCCAGAGCAGACCTGTGAGGCTCATGATTTCGAGGACAGTACAGCTCGGGATGTGGCAGCGGTCAGTGGTGGTGGGTGAGAGCACTGATGCAGCCTGGTGACAAGCAGGGCCAAGCCCTCCGGGTCACTCTGGGGACGCTCACCAGTGCCACTGGCAGGGATGGTGCCAACCACAGACTCACCATCTGCGCTTGCTGCTGCTCTCACGGCGACGCTGATATCACAGGGCACATCTGGACGCTGGGAAAACGCCACTCTAAGAAACACCTACCTGGGCCCTGTTCTCAGTGTAGGGTAGAGGTCCCCCAGTCAGGACCTGAGGGAGTGAGGGGTAGAGAGCGCTGGGGACTTACAGCAGCTGTTCCCACCACCCTTCCCAGCGTCTCGCCAGTCCTGGCCGCTACGAGTTGGGAATCCTTTTCTTCCCCTTCAACAAGTAGGGTGCTCATATCATGAGCCCTGCTCCCTTCCCAAACCATCTCCCTCTTCCCTCTCTGCCCCCCACATTTCCCCACACAAATATGGAACAGAAAGGCTTTGGGGAGTTCGGCCAGATAAAGAGCACCCGGCTGGATGGAGAGTGAGGTGAAGGGGACACAGCAGCACAAGCGCAGGGCAGACAGAACACGATGGGAGTGCAGGCAGCATGACCAGTGTCTGGGAATACTTTCAAGAGGAAACTCCAGAAAGCAGTTTGACAGTAGGTGTCCAGAGTCTTGTAGTACACTCACACCTTCTGACCCAGGAACCTGACCTCTACATCAGACCAAGAAAAAAAGTCAGCCGTGTTCCAGGACACAGGATGC